CATCCGATGCCTCTGTGTTGAAAGGGGGTCCGCTGTCACCATTACTGTGGGGTCGTCTTCTGTTGACGAAGAGCGCTCGTCTGGCGATGAAGGTTGTACTCCATACATCATTTGTCTTTACTCACTAACCATCTTACTCAGCTGCCCAGCGTGTTCAACTGCAGCTCGCATCCGGGACGGTCCTCCCAACATGCAGCCGAAATCCAAGGGTACGTAGTATATACATTTTGGTATCTACATATTGTTAACTTATTTGCTCTAGCGCTCCCCAAACCAAAACGCGTCACAAAGGCATCTCGGGCAGCCATGCGCCGCGTACACCAGATGATGTACGAGATCGATTCAGAAGAGGAGGATGGTCCAGGTCACAAGGACTCAACGGCAACAACAGATGCTGGAAAAGGTGGTGTCGTGCTTGCAGACCCTCAGCCTGAGCCCGCAGCTCAGCCAGCAAACCCTGCCCCAATTGAACTGCCAGCTACTATGGTCGCCCATTTTCGCCACCAGAAGTCATGCCCAGCGTGGCTTCACAACACGAGGGCTCTGACCAACCCCAACCCTCGAACGTACACTCCAGACCACGTCTTCCCCTTCAACACCTAGCAATGATGAGAATGGCAGCCCCCAAGCTCAATCCATGGACCGTCCATCTTCACATCCTACTGGGGAGAAGTCCCTTCCACAACCTGAGCCGCTTCACACTGATCCTCATATTGAGGCGGTCAACCGCTATGCCCATTCTCCATTGCTTCAACGTGATGCTCCTTCACACATGCACGAGCTCCCCAGAGATCCTCGTGAGCCTTCTGTGCCGTTGCGAGAGCCTCTACTTCATCCTCGGTGCACCTTCTGTGCCATCGCGAGACCATCTGCATCATTCTCGAGAGCCTTCTGTGCCGTTACGTGGGCCTCTGCTTCACCCTCGCGAGGCTTCTGTGCCATTGCGTGACCATCTGCATCATTCTCGTGATCCCTCAGCACACTCTCAGGAGGGACCATCCTACCCACACGATGCCGCTCACTATCGTGAGGTGGCACGACTCACTCTATGATCGGAACAGTAACCATTCGCACCCATCCCCATCCTACTAGCAGCCTAAATCCCCACGGCCTTCCACGCACCCGTAATGTTGAAGGAAGCTCGGTATGCTCGTGTACCTATGGATACGGCCATTATCCTTCTCGTTATGACTCACCTGGTGAAGGTTACGACGACCGCTATGATGACCCGCAGGCATCCATCAGACCTCTACTATCAAGACATGCGCGGTCATGAGGGGAGGTACTATGGAGATACCAATAGATGGGCAGAACCGCCGCTGATAACTTTTCTTGTGCTTGCTTTTACCAACATTTCTCTTCTGCCCTTAGTAGGCAAACTCCTGCTGATACCTTTGCTTTCACCTTTTTAGTGTAGTGACGGTCCATTTGTTACCCCACGCTTTCCTGGTCTCAGTTAGTTGAATGTAGTGACCGAGAACACCCGGTTGCCTCAAGCTGTGTGGGAACATTTGTAAGACTTGTTGGCAGTACTTCGAGATCACATGATCAAAAAAATAAGAGATCGAAAAATGCATAGTCGGAGGATCGAACATAAGAGTCCTGCGAAAAATCACTACAGTACTAACACTTCACCACCGTGGCTCTGACCTTGCAGCATGCACATATATATGAAGGCGTTTGCCATTCAAATACTTCGTGCGGTGTGTCGCTCTCATGTGTTGCTTCTATCGATCATCAATTATCGATGGAAGTTATGGTTGTTCCCCTCCCTCTTGCTTTTCTTCTTCATGGATCTCACTCAGCTCGATCATATTCTCGAACGCTTGGCATCGTGCTACAAGGTGTGACGCCCAGGAGGTCTTGGACAAGTGGTTGGAGTCGCGACAGGTTCCGTGATCCTGAGGGATGGAAGTTGCTTGATGGAATACCTTGCATCATTGGTGGTTTGACAGCGCTTCTCGGTAAGTGTCATTCACATCATAGTATAGAGCAGCTAAGTATTTTACAGGGACCCTAGACGGACGAGGGGGAAACTTCCCATGGAAGACACTACCCTCCATTCTAAGCCCATCGTGGGTGTATCCTTGAAAACTACCCTGACAACATCCTTCTGCCCGGCGAGAGACGTCCGACACTGGCAAAGAGCAAGGGCATACACGATCTCACAATGTAATGAGCGCTTTAGACTTGTGGACGCCCTCAAGAAAAACACCCTCACCGTCAAATCTGTTGCAACAGACGCTCGCAAAGGTCTTACGGCCTCACGTGTCCCTGTCATCATTGGTGAAGCGCCCATTAATTCACTTCACACTCGCGGGCGACGAATGTTTGCCAATGGACGCATAGATAGGCGTGGCCTGACCCGTCTGCCGCGGCACTTCTCCTTCAAACTTCTGGCCCACGTCATCTAATTCACGCAGACTCCGTATGTTCGTAGAGGGTACCACTGGCGCCGCCCTCCTGGAGGTTGAAGGCAGTTCAGCAGCATTCGCCAGATTGTTGGACCCAGTCATAGTGCCCTCATCCCACAGATCACCGCCATCAATAATGAAGATACAGGAGTCAGCAATCCCGCTACCGAGGACGAAGGAGAAGTTGATCAGCTTGTCAGTTCGCAGCCTGTAGGAGTGAACTTGATCTGTGAGCCGCTCGTGCCTCTCTCTCATGTTCACGCAATTAATATGACCCTCGAGAGCCTCTGTTCGACCCTCATGAACCTCCATTTCATCCTCGCGAGCCTCCCGTCATGGCATATACTAATCGGCACAGCATTCGTGCACGTGATCCTGTTGATTCAAGTGCGGCATCATATTGCCTTCTATCCTTACTCTGTCCCTTCACCGTTGTCTGCAATGTCACGCTCTTCCATCTGTGTACACGCTCGAGCACAATACAAGCTTGTCTTGTATTTGTGAATATCAGGACCAGCATGGGGTGATGATGAGTATAGATGGCCTGTTAGTAGTTAGAGAGGGACAACGAGTGTGTATTTTCTTCGTGGTTTGAATGTCTTATCGTATCCCTTTCATGTTCATGGCTTCTTCGAGTTGTTAGTGTCTCTGTCCTATTCACAACCAAATGAACTGTCTGTTTGCACCATCATGATAGTATCGAGAATTCGCCGTGTTTGAAACATTGTTGTAAAACATATGAACCAACTATTTTAAACAGCGAGGGTGCTGCATGGCCTCGCGCGGTTGATACCTACCCTCGCGAACCTCTGGGAGTACAGAGGCAGTACACTAAGAAAAGGGCAGGGACCTCTTGTGGCAATTACAGGGAGCCTCTGTGGAGAGGCATACCTCACAGGTAGGTTTGCTGCAACATAGAAACCCCACCTGATAGATCGTGAGACGGGCGCTAAAGTGCTGCCAAGGGTGATTGATCTTCGCTTGAGGCCAATGGCACAGCACCACAATCAATGTGTCCCAGATGATTGAAAAACAGGAAGAAGAAGCCGTGATCAAAGCGGTTGCAGGTACAACATACGCAGGTGTGATTTAATATCTAATACCTTACAGCCAAGAATGTTGATGGTGATATTAGCCGCTGTTGAAACTGTTCATATCTATATAATAGCATAGTCCTCGCTGACACCTTTCTAGTCATCATCAGCGCTGTCAGCTTTCATGATGGCGATGATTATGTTCCCTGAAGTACAAAAGAAAGCTCAGGCAGAGATCGATCAAGTCACTGGAGGCACCAGAATGCCTGATTTTGGCGACAGGGAGTCGATGGTTTATCTCGAAGCCACATATTGCGAAGTCTTGCGATGGTGCCAGGTCACGCCACTGGGTGAGAACATCCCCTCATGAAACTCAAATTATGCATGGATTGACATGCGATTCAGGGGTACCTCACATGACAACAGAGAGTGATGTGTACAACGGATATTTTCTTCCAAAAGGTGACCTAGGTGTTAATCTGTAAGACGCAACTTACTGATATTGACGATTCTGCTGTTAGACACAATTGTCTTTGCCAATATATGGTAAGGTAAAACATGCTTCCGCTTATGGTCTAATAGACTTCAATAGGGCGATGACACATGATGAAAGGATGCACCCTGAACCCTCTAGGTTCATGCCTGAGCGTTTTATTCAGGAAGATGGAACACTTTCGAACGACCTCGGACAGCAACAATTTGGATTCAGAAGACGGTATTTCAGGTAAATACTGCAAGTGATGAGAATGCTCACTGAGACTCAGGATTTGTGTTGGGAAATATCTCGCTGAGGCATCAGTGTGGATTGCTATGGTGTCCATTCTCGCTGTGTTCGACGTGAAGAAGGCAACGGATGAGTTTGGGAGTGAAATCGATGTCACCCCTCAGTACACACCAGGTGTGATTATGTAGGTCGTTTGAGCTGAAAGCGTGTCACTCTTATTTACGAGTCCCTTTGCAGTCATCCAAAACCCTTTCCATTCTCGATTACACCTAGGTCACAGAAGGCAGCAGCAATGGTCCAGCCTGCTGCGTCTTCGACGGGTTGTGGGTTACTAGCGTGATGGTGGTCTCATTGTGTGGAATGGCGATGACTGCCAGTATGTATTTAAAACACGTCTCAGATCTCGCGCGATATATCAGTGAAAGGGTTTGTGTTTTATGATGTCAGTAGTACAAAAAATGTAGCAGGGGACAATGATGGCAAATTTACTAGCCTCAAAGTGACATCTGTGTGTGAATGCAGTGGGATGTAGCTGCAAAATAACGAGACGGAGGCTGTGGAAGGTTCAAATGGGGCTCGCAAAGGTTGACATGGCCATCAGCAGATTCAGCACCGAGCACTGGAACAGCACCCGTACCTTCCTATCGTGACTAACTAAACATGCGGTGCTCACGGCACTGCCGCTGCCGTATCGAATGCGAGTATGAGGGAATTGAATTGAATTGGGGTTGACACAAGTTGGCAATTGCATAAGATACTGACTACTAGTATTAGTCTAGGGACACAGAGCACCTAGCTATGGTCGGGTGGATGTCGTTAAAATCCTTACGTGGTGCAATGAAAAGCAACCAACAAGAGATAGCTGATATGACGGAAAGTTCCTGTTGGGCGGTCGTTGTAGGTTTCCCACACTGCTCTCTGATACCGTGCTCTCACTGGCTTCTACAACTATACTTGACACACCTCCCAAATCGAATGAATTAACCGTTTCCATGCCGCTTCTTTTGTGACTTTCCCTGGTCTGAATTGCTCCTATCTGGATCTACCGTCTTACGCTATCTTGGGGTTCGTCATGTACCGAAAGTGCTTTTTTCCGCCACGTTTCATGCTATGGGGGTAGTTTGTGAGGCCAAGATTCCAAATGGTATAGCACCACAGCGGCATAGCTTACTGTGGATATAGCCACATTTAAATTCTGGGGTGTCAAGGACGTCATCGACTTCATCCTCAAGCCGCGGAGATACAATTCCCTCACAAAGTGCCGCGACGTCGGAGCGGCTTGCTCCAATATTACATAATGTGGAATTTCCTGAGCTCCGTCCCTACGATAAACGAGCTCGGATGTGGCTTTCCTGTATACTAGGGGCCGAAAAGGAACTGGGTGGTCTACTAATGAAAAGTACGTTGCCTCTGTAAACTTGATGCTTGTGGAGGATATTTTTCGTTTGGAAAGCTGTTTTATCCATTGGTCTTCTGCTCCACTTTCATGTTTTGCTTCTTTTCTCAATTGATGTGTTATCCTTGTGAGACGAGATTGACTTGTACGATGATCAATGACATAATGTTTTATGTTTTTTTAAAATCATTGTTTATTGCCATGATGTTATTGCCCAGCCGGAAAGTCAATTGAGAAGGGTAACACAGGATTAATATTGGACTAGCGTGCATGCACGACCGGTCATCGGGATACATCATGCATGACGTGATCAGTGTCTTATGAATGTAGTATGCTTCATATGAACAACTTGCCCGGGGCGATAAGAGACCCAGAATGATTGCAGGGTTAAGAACACGTGCGAAAGAGGAGTGGGGCATAAGCACCGTTACGATTTATTATTGGATGCCATTTGTGTCACTCCAATAATAAATAAAAGTGGCTAAGTGAATTTTCTGGATTCTGGTCTATCGATATGAAAATGTAATTAAGACGTCCTAGGTCGTGCTTTTGGTTCTACATAGTACTAGTCTGGCCTTGGATACCGACGTGATCGGTTTCTTCTCGCTCCGCGATCAAGGCAAACATCACAACTAGTGGTACTGATGATGTCGGACCTTCCCTGCCACACCATGAAAGCGAAGGAAATATCTCACCTAGCCTTCTCACCCGGATCATGAGAGCAAGGGCTCATGTTATTCAAACTACTTTTCTCATTTATCACATAACCGGATTCCTTGGGTGAAATCATAAACAAGACTAGACATATATATACATGTCAAGCATGGATGTAGTAGAAGTCGCGCGACTCTGACTTGACTACATGATTACGAATGAAATGCAGGTAAGTAAGATGCCTATGAAGAGCAGTAGAAACTGAACGTCACAGATATGAACCAACGGTCCTCCAGTCTGAGGATGTTTTCTCTTCTGTCATTATCATTCACAAAGACGTTGTATCGCTTGTTGACCATGCTCCATTCGATGTTAAGGTAGAAGTCATGAAAAACCGACACACCCCATGTGAGGTGACAGAGTGTGACGCTATGCAGAATGGTTGATGCCGAAGTCTGCCGAACGTGCTAGCGAGTGTATGTAGTGGTGGTGCATACGAAATTTTAGTGGGATTATACTATGATGGATCTATGATAGACAGTGTATATTTTAAAGTGTATATCAAGTTAAGAAATAAATGGTACCAATGGACTCAAACTTATACTGCCTAGTGAGCATCATCAAATTCTTGCATGATAGCCTGAGGGACATATTGTTTGACAAGATACTAATGCCTGAAGTATTTGCCATGTCCCCCAAGGGGACCTGTACCTGCATGGTCAATTCCGGTGTGTCCATGCAATCCTCCGCAATAAAATCGGGCGCTGACGCAGTGTTTTCGAATTGTATAGATATACTACAGTTGCGGACAAGCAAAGTCAACAATTTCAATAGCAGCTTACATTGAATTTTTGGTGTGAAACCAGTGCCAGATCTGAACTCAGGGAACAAAAATATGTCGAAAAACACTCTTCCGAAGCTTTTCCCACGATGTTTTTGGCCCGCCAAAATTTTGGGCAGTTTGGATGAACATTGTGTACCTCTTTTGAGGCTGCGCAGTTGCGTAGTCATTGAATTGATGATTCATAGTTGAAACTTAATCTGTCACGACAGTACTGCCTCAATAGCCATCATGGCACACTGCGAAACTTGCCGGTGTTGTTTCTGCTTCCGGACTGCCCATTCTGCTGCCTTGCCAGCTAAGCCTAATCTGTAGACACTCAGAAAACGGTACGAACGATTGATGAAACGTCGGATAACCTCCACAGGACACGCATCAAGAACGTCCAATGCCACCTTCTTTGCTCCAGCAAAATTCGGCTTCGTGACCTGTCTGTACCTGTACTTGCACCAGCCCCAGTACTTCAAGACGTGATTTTCAGTGAGTAAATGTCAACTTGATGGACGAAAAACTCACCATTTCGATAGGATTAAGTTCACAATGAAACTTTGGAAGGAATATACACTCGTGTCCGGCATCTCTGATGAGCTCCTCGATCATCGACGTCTGACAGCGGAAATCTTCTTGCTGGCTCAAAAGCCTGGCCATGCAACAGCCTGTGCTCTCAAAGGGACAGACTGGAGAGCATTTAGCTCGTAAACCTCGAACGTCGAAACCACGCTCCTCAAGAACTGATTTGAGCCCTTTTGGCCCACCGCTGGCATTTGTCATCTTCTGCTCGAGTCCACGTTTGGTTGGATCCATGTTGGTATCGGGAATAATGGTATCACGTTGTTTGCGCTGCTTTCCGCCATCAGACTTGTTCATCTCGAATGCACGCAAAGCATCAGGGGGCAAGGATGCATGAGCTGATGAGTTGTCGAAGATGAACAGTGCCTGACAATTAGGCCCGTTTATTTCTTCATGAATTTGAATGGCGTGTTTGACTTGCTCGAGGAGGTTCTCATGAGTCCACCATGGATTGCCATTAGCACCTGGGTAAATGATTTTTCGTGCATCTTTGATAATTTGACCATCAGTTCCCCACAAAACGAGTCGGCCATCCTCTTCATTAATGAAGTCCGAGACATGTATGAGTCGACCTCAACCTTTTCTTCCGCAACACATGCTCTCCAGGGCGAAGCCTGCAACACAATGTCAAACTAAAATTGGGTTGCTGCATGGGTATCACGCACCATGCACTTTTTGCGTCATCATTCACATGGAAGCAACACTCGTCATGATAATATGGTTTGATCTGTCTTTCACCTGGTTTAAGAGTTGGTTCGATGCGAGTGAGCTCCGGTCCTTCAAATCGAACCATTCGTTCCTCAAATTTCAACATTGCTGGCAAGTAAACCTCTTTCCGATACTTGACAACATCTTCTCGCTCATGCCCATCCATGTAGACTCCTTTTCGAATAATAGTTCGTCGCCACCCGAGTTTGATGAGCCAGCGACGGGCAGTTTCGCTCACATATTGGTTTCTTTGGGACAATTCCCAGCTTGGGGAAAATAATTGTTTGCAGTGCATCTTGAAGGCCACAAGGTGTGACTTACCGGTTGGCACATTTGACAGCCATGTGCAACAGCAAGTCTGCACGGACTCATCATGGAGGAATGATTGGGCATTAGTGATCCCACCACGTTTCTCTCGCGGAAGTTGCTCAAATGTCTGGTAGTGACGTGCAAGGGCACGAACATGATGGGCAAACCAGATTCTGTTTCCCTCGTGCCACTGCCGTGCAATTTCCACACTGGCACCAATCTGTGAAGCACCCTTTAGTCGCAGTGTTGCGAAACTGGACAGGATCATGAGCTGATTAATGGCAGAAAGGGGTAATGATTTGTGGTTCTTCTTCAAGTCATCTTTGATTTGATCTCGCAGTGCTTTCCAGTCTCGTATTTCACTGTGCCCTCTAATGGCCACATCCAGCTCTTCTTCCCACTCTTCAGCTTCACTCTCATCCATCAAATCCGAGTCTTCTTCAATCCCTGCAGTATGGGCGTCTTGCACACCAGGTGCAATGCCTTCAATGTCCATTGTGGTGTTTTCGGAGGTGGAGGTTTGGTCCGACTCGGAGTCAGAAGATACAGTAAGGATGGATGAGCTGCGAACACGGGGAATTGTAGATATATGTAGCTGATTTGATTCCAACAGTGTTGTGAGTTCCAAGTTGCGAGGTGGGGGAGCTTTCTTTTGAGCAGCCTGAGAGGCAATCTCTTTTTTGAACCCGTAAGTGTCCAGTGCACTTTGTCCATGCCATTTGGCTCAGTATCGTTGTTGAGTACGCACTGATTTACTCATTACATCAGGGCCTGTTTTATATTTTGTCGGACGAGCTACACAGAAATTGTAAGTAGGTGTTCATGATTCTGATGTACTAATGCCACTCACATTTACGATTTGCTTCACGTTTGAGTGCTTTCCTTGTCAGTCGTTCGGGAATCCAGTCTACATGCTTGTCATCTTCCTTCTGGACCATCTCTGCAAGCCTGCAACCAAATTCTTCGTCTTCAAAGATCTCGCACTCGAGCTCCTCGTCAATATCAGAGCCATCTGAATGGTCATCACAATAGTCTTGTTCAAAATTAATCTTCAGTCCATCAAATTGAAGGGTAGTGCCTTCAAGTTCGGCTGATTCTGACTCGGACTGACACAGGCTATTTGCAGGACACAATCCACCACTAGAGGTAAACGAGGCTTCGGAGACAAGAGAAGATGTTCGTTGCTGTCCATGGAGGCCAGAGATGTTTCTTTGCCTCTTTTTTGGATGGCCTCGGGGCATGTTTGAGTGCAGCTGTGGGTTCAAGCGGTCTGCAATGCATCTTTTTTCTCTCTCAATATTGGACCTGACTTTTTTCTGACATCGGAATCACATTCAGGTCAGCGAAAGGAGTCGATTCCGCATTTTTTTCGGATTTTTAGCGATTTTTTTTGTGGTACCGCCAATTTTTCAGGCATGACTCAGGTCAAACTGACAGTTGTACAAATTCCGCTCGTACAAATATACACTAGCATGTGTTGTGAACGTATCTACAATGTTAAAAATGGATGAGATTAGGTGTTAAAGTCAGGAAAATTCGGTCACCAAAATTGGTGACTTTGCTTGTCCGCAACTGTAGTGAGTGTTTTCAGTGAAACTTGCAGAAACTACTCACATTTTCGTCATTCTGTGGCTCAGAATTAGAATAATCTTTCGCTTTTTTGGATGCTCGCCATGCAGAAAGGCTATCAGCACGCCGTTTTCGCCAGGTCTTGTTGCTGCCCATGCTGCGCTCTGAATCTGCGAGTCGGCAATGCCACGGCTTAGCGGCACGCTGCGTCGGACTTTCAGCTTTACACTCTGCCGGCAGCACACTTTTAAAGAACATTGATTATCTCATTCGCTAGTTCACTTCTTGCAGTTCTGAAAAGATGAGTTTGTGCATAGAATAACTCTCGTCAATGCCATCTTTTCTATTTTTTTAACTGTGAGCTTTATAGTAAGTTAATCGCTATTTTCTGTTTGTCACGATTCTGTAACGTTTTATCACGTGATGTTTGTCGCTTTTTCGTGACTTCTACCTTACCCAAAATCCAATCTATCAGGCCATCTACGAATGCTGCAACTTGCCTGTTTATCTCTTCGTCATCAAAACTCGGGAGTGCATCTCTGCAGGTGTTGAAGCGATTCAGGGCAGCATGAAATAGCTTGCCAGCGTGATCAAATCTTTTTTGAAGATCGAGATGCTGAGTAGTTGGGTCCTTCTGAATAGCGACGATAATATTGTTCAGCGCGCCGTTATCGCCGCGCTCCTTTTTGAAGGAATATATGTCCTGAAACAGCAAACAGTTTGGTTAGCATCAGCAATTGTCCAAAGATATCTGAGACAGACATTAGCGATGTACACCATGTCAAGGGCGCTGTTCTCCATCTCAGCTACAACAGGATGTTGCAAGACATGCTTGGGCAAATATAGCCGGCGCGTAGAGCGCATCAGGGTGAAGCAAGGCCTAGTGCCGATGGTCTCTTTTCGCATGATCATGTATGAAGCGATGCAGCGTGTCGCTGTAATATCCTTCGATGCTTCACGATCGAGCGCCTCTTGTACGGTATTCTTCGCAAATTCAGCATTGGACTGGATGAATTCAGGCCAGTGATAAGGAGTTATAGCATTTTTCAATCGTGCTGCCATTTGTCTTAAACGCTCGTTAGAATGGTATAAAGCAGATTTGTCCAGCGTACTTAGACATGAGTTTGATAAACGGATGACGGTGACCCTGACCAGCTTGAGGGTCTTGTAGTACATCAATCCACAGTTCAGATTTGTTCTTAGCCACTTCGCTCGAACATCGATCGCTGTAGTATGCAGTCAGCTCAGGGTTAAGACATTGGTAGCGTCCTGCAACCTACGTTAGCTCTTCGAGCATGAACGACATTGTCATGTAATCAAGGATCGCTCTTAATTCCTTGGGGCTGGCCCGAGGCCACGCAAGTGCCGCAAGTAGAGGCATCTCTGCCTTAGCAATCTCCTTCGGAAGTCCTGTCAATATATCTTTTTGTATGTACTATTAATCGCGAAACTCACGATTGAGAAGAAATAGCCAATGTTATCTTTGACCCAGCGTTCGTACCCGTCCTTTGCTTCATTGAAGCCAGGATTGATGATAAATCCTGTCTTCTGAGGACATACAGAGAGCAGCTTGGGAAGGTGATAGACTCTTGAGAGCATTTTCGGATATGTTCCAGGAATGATTCCTAAATCATCGCAGATCAATATTTATATCTGGCAAAGAGACAGATACTACGAGTCGTACTATTAGGTCATTTGAGTTTGAACGGGAAAGGATATACAAACTAATGCCATTTCGCAACAAACTTAGTCCAAACAGTTTCAAGTCAGTTACTGGGGATTCGGGGTACGCTCTGGTGGTGCGAGAGTCGGGTTTTGCTGCTTGCCCAAATGAGCCATGGAGTTGCGCTGCCCCGATAACAAGCCTTCAGCACAAACAACTTTACATCGGTTACCGGGGATTCTCAAGCCTGAGAAGCACAAAGCGTCAGTGAACTAGCGGATAATTTAGAAATTATAGGGATCCGTACGGGTAAATCTTTGGGTATCGGAGGTCGTAACAGTACCCGTACCCGCTTTAAGGGTACGGGTTTTTCTGGGGGTGTCGCCAACTCAGACCCGTATCCGCACCCGTGCAGGGTTTATCCGCGGGTAACACATACAAATGTTATAGAATTACGAGCCCAAACGTACTCGATACAAGACCTTGTGTCGTTGTCGAGTGGATGGAAGGATTCGCACTGATTATGTCTGTCGTCGTCCGATGATACTGGTGTGGGAGATGTTGAGGGCGAAACTCGGAGATCGTTTTCCTCGTGTTTGAAAATTGCTGGTGTTGCAAGACGACGTGCACCAAGTGTTGCCCACGAGCTTCGTTGGAAGAGTGAGCCGATTCAACTACTAGTGCCCATTTTCCTCCCGCCCTTGACGCTATCGCTCCGGTATGCACTGGCTATCCTCTTCATTTCAATGGTCGACCCTCGCCGTTTTTGTGCGCGTCCTTTTGAATCAATGTTCATGGGACTAGGTACCTAGATCCTACCAGCTGCGAATGTGTGTCGTCACTTCCATTTAGTTCTCTGTAAGCAGACATCTTTTGTTTTGTTCAATGTGGCATTTGGGAATCCGAAGAATTCTGTATACCTGTCAAAATCGGGTTTTTGAATGTGACGTCAATGACTTACAGCAATCAATTGCCTTCCGTGAACTGCGATCACTGTCGTCTGGTTGTCGTTTATTAACTCTGAGCGATTGCTTCTCATCACCACTGTCCACATTCGTGTGATCGGTGGTTTCTGACAAGGTTGCCACCTTAGCTATGTTCACAAGATGCGTACAACAAATGATACTCCAAAACTTACTAGCTCCCCCATTAGAATTGTGTGACGGTGTTGAGCCTCCGCCATCATTGAAAGTGTAGTTAGCAGCTGCCAGCTGGACGTGGTCCTGAGAGGATGCCGGCGCATTATGTAGCAGACTTGGATCATCGTAGCACAGGAACCGGAATCAATACCATCTATATGACGCAGGACCTGCAGACGAGTTCGCCGAAGTAGCATAGAGATGGACCTGTGATAGAGCCCCTACGATGTTGCTATAAATAATCGATGTCACGGTGAACTTGAAGGTTGTCGAGTGATACCGTATGCCATCTCATGGCACTCTTATTCGTGCCACAATATCAATGACATGTGGCATTTCGTCGAAGATTTGTCGGCTTTCTTTGCCAGCACATTCAATTCTGCATCCATAACTTAAAGCTTCAGTGCCAGCTTTGAGTCTGCACTTGTGCTCATCTCTCCATGAACAGTTTCCGCAGAGAACTCAGGACTGCTACTGGTAGTACTCTCTTCGCACAAACTTGCGCTCATACTCAAGTCTAATCATACTAGTCTCGCGTTTGCAGCAGTACATTGTGACCACAGGTTCCTCTATACCCATACTTTCTCAACTTCTGTAGACGTAGAGCCTTTGGAGACACTAAAGCACAAGCCAAAAGCTAGCACACCACTTCGTCGTAGTGCATCTGCATAGATGCCCATTCGCTCCAACCCGACACCTACTAGAAGTTCTACCACTCTTATAACAGCGGTACGCTACTTATTGTCAAGACTACGCTCCCGTCTGCCGGATGCTCAGACACTCCACGATGCCTGGTGAGTTCCACACTGGGGCGACGGGGGCGAGATTTTTGTGTTCTCAAATGGAAGTTTTGTGTGCTGAGGTCTTGGGAAGGGAGAAGCGCGACGATTTGCACGAGAAGTTCTTGCACCCAGCGAGGTTGGCCGGTTAAAGGATCCAGAGACAGAGGAACTGGAATTTGTGACAGATCCAACAGAGTGAGTACTTAGTTCAACCATTTGAGCCGAATTTGCTTACAAAAACTCCCTTGTCAGAAAAACTCGAATACAAGGAGATTTAATTATACTTAACCGTATAGCACCACTCGAGCACCCTGAAAATGCTCCTTGCGTACCACCAGCTTTCCCTGCACTCCCTGCAGATACCCTTCTGGCGCAATATATATTCTCTCAAGCACTATCACGTTCTACATCTCTTTCAGGTCTTGAAGAATCACTTAAGGACTATCTCTCCTCCGTAGCACTTCTCCCGTACTCCCTCGAGAACACCGGAAGCCTTGTCTAAGCAGGGTAGCCCTCATCAAGAAGCTCAGAGCGTTAATGAAGTTTCGCCAGGGCCTTAACCTCAACGGGGAGAACTTCTCCGACACCCCAGACTTGTACTGGACCGAGCCTGGATTTAGAAGGTTAGCATATTGGTCATGAGTCCAAGTTGATCTAACGTAAACTGGAAGGTTTCAAATCGATGACAGCGGCTCTCGAAGGGAAGGCGAGAACCAACGCGGTCAATGAAAAAATCACCTACGCCGCGGAGGTGAGACGCTCAAGAATTGTCCAACTAGGTGCAATCAACTCTCCGTCAGCTACTTACGGAGGTGCGTCGTCTGACGTCAAAGATTGTGGGCGCATGCTAATCTTTTTGTAGTTATCGCCCTTATTGCCGTGGAAGTTGTCATCGTAGGTGCTCCAACGGTTATTTCAACTTTTACCTCCTCATCTTATGCACTTTCCTATTTCAGGCTCTGATACGGGATGGCCCCGAGCTCTGGCAAATGGTTTTTGGCTAATCTCATGTTGAAGATCAGATATCAGCTCCTCATTCATAAGCGATCAATATTCTCAGTCCTCATTGAACAGGAATCTTTACGATTTGTGGGTGCTGTTCTAAATTCAGACATCATTCGTGTTGATCGGGTAGACAGTATTGCATTATGTGTCTACACTACTCAACACTCGCAAGCTTTCACATATTTATCGTGGTCAATCTCCACTCAATCTACATTCATTATTGGGTTTCCGATCTTCACGTAGGTTTAATGTCGTGTAGGGGCCGCCTGTTACTCGCGCAAGTCAGTCTTTCTGTGTTTGCAGAGCGAAGCTCAATGGAGCATACAAAAGGTTTCGATCAGCTGCCAACGTGATCAATGTTGCGTGGCCGTTTGAATGGAAATCACTTTGTGCTGATAATGCCAATCCCGCCGTAAATTCGGCTTTCACAATGATTTCAGATCCGGTCGCATCCTTCCCCTTCCTAGTGCGCAACATTACCAAATTGGAGACAATGATCCAAGGCGCAAATACTCTGATCTGCAATGAACACTTCCGTCTAATTGAGATCTGGAACATCCCAGCACTGGCAAAACAAATGAGCGCAGCTCACTGTCCAAAACTAAAGTAGGGTGATGTGATACCTTCCAGAAGCTCTCTTGTGGCTGACAGGTGCCGTTCTGGCTTGAAGCTCATTGGATCATGTGTTATCGCCCTGTGACCCTTCATCACGGAAACGGTGAACAGATGAGAAAGTTATCTAAAGCAATATATCGTAGAGGATATCCCAACAATCTACATAAATCTGCTGACCACTTTTACATGGAAATGTTTGGTATTCAAGTTGTCGAGTAAAGAGTAATCCAGGTGACTTCAAGCCAAATAGCAAACCACGTGTTTACGACAACTAATATTCCTGGAGATAAGGGTTTGGTACAATTGATTGGCATTGGACTGCCAGCGTGGCTGACAATGTGCCTACCTCTTGCAAACGGAAGCTGGTGTGACCTCAACCTGATGATGAATGCTACCTACGACAACGCCTGAAGGTTCTACTCCTACTGACGAGCTACGCAAACACCCGCCTGCATCAACCCCCGCTGGAGGTACTGTCCACATGACTAGAATGTCATTTATACAACTAGAGGATCACCAAGACAATTCCATTTGGTTCATCCTGATACTGCCAGATTCGCGACCATGATAAGCTTCAAATTACCGCTGTTTGATCCTCAAAGAAGTACTACGAGTTAGTAGGCAGCGCATGTTGGTTCTTGTTTAGTGATACATGCAGATTTTGAATGAAAGACTAACTGATGCTGAAACACGTATGGCCATGACATCACCTCCGCCTTCAGCTAGTACTTACATAGCCTTCTTTTCAGATGTCACACATACTTCGTAAATCAAAACGACTGGCGTTAATCAAACGTTGATCTAGCGATCCAGATCCGTCAAGTTGTTGCTTTCCCGCAATCTCGAGGGGCGCCTCCAGTTTACGGAACCTTCTGGCCTAGAGTATGTTTGAAACCATTAATATTGCTTGGAAATAAACATGATTGATGCCACGCAACAAGTGGTTCTAGACTGTCATTTTGTTCACCCTCTTGTATTCTCGCTTGTCTCATCCTCGTGTCTTACTAGATCAATTCCCTCAACAAGCTTCTTACCCTGTTTGTTATTCTGATAGAATTTTTTATGTAATGGGCCGGCATAGAATATGGTGAACATGTTTCCGCCGCTCGCAGGTACAGAACTGCTCAATTTAAACAAGCAACTTCAACGATCTTGAGCGACTGTTCATGTCTGTAGGAAGTATATGAGAAAGTTCTCGAGATCATGGGCACCCTACACCATGCATTCTGAGAGTGATAAACGAGAGCAGGATAATAATTACACCACCGAGATATTAATTAAACTCATCGTCTCTTGGAGGGAGGTGGATCCATAAAGTCCTCTGCTACTTTCCTCTTCGCTCCAAAGCCAAAAGCCACTTTCGTCCGGTCCGACGGCACAGGAGTACCTGTTTGTGTCGGTGTATCTGCAGCTGACGATATACGAGAAAAGCCTGGCTTCATAACTGGGGGCGAGTTCGATCCACTAGGGGGTATAACAGATGAAAAACCCGATGGGGCAGGACTTTGCGAATTGAGGTGAGACTGCAAATGTGGCGCGGGCAGCGTCATGAAACCAGTGGACTCGAGCAATGGAGCACCGGTCTTCCCTGAGTCCTTCTTTTTGCTCTTCGCCTTTTCAGTCTTGCCCTTTGACAGCGGCTGAGGGTCCAAGAACTCCGACGCTTGGGGGACAGCACTATATGAAATACAATCAGAGGCAGTAACGGGACAGACACAGAATGAACGCACCCTCTGTTACCCACAGACAATACGAAGTGAGCTTGGCCAGTTTTCTCCTGGCGGATCTGGAAGGCACGGTTCATGCTAAGGGGGGTATCACCACTTGCCATAGCTGCTTGCTTCTTCTCTTCAGCAATTTTCTTCAGCCTCTTCTCCGTCTTCATCTTCCCGGAGCCCTTGCCATGGAATTTATGGGACAACGCTTTCCATGACTCCTTTGGTGTCAGCACACGGCCATACTCATCGTAGTAGACAATTTCGACGTCAGGCTTGTAGTCCTTAAATAGCTCCAGCTGCGCACGGGCCTCTTGTTGTTCTCGGAGTCGATTCTCGTATTCTCGAGTCGCTTGGTCTTTATTACCACTGCGAGACTGTAAGCGATCCGTTTCGCGTTGGATTTGTCGATGACGATATTCGGCGAGGAATCGATCCCTCTGTAACTGAACATCCTCTCGCGACATTTGATCTGCCGATGGCAGCGCCAATACACCCTGCTGCCGGAGAAGTGAAAGGGTGGCCGCCATACCAGAGCCAAACGTCTTTTCCCCTGATGTCCCAACCTCGGCATCGTCATTCACTGCGGCGGTCTTCTCCTCCGCTTCAGCCATGACTTCCATCATATCTTCGTACTCCTCTTCCTTCACAACCTCACCAGCTTCAATTTCATCGAGAGCCTCGTCGCCTGCAGCCACTGAAAGGTCACGAGAGGGTGATATCTGTTTGGCAGGGGTGGGTTCTACTGATTCCTCTGCAGGCTCTGTCTTCACTGCAGTCATGTTGTATGAGATAGCCCGAACGAATTCTGAGGTATCATCGAATGTCAAACCATTGGTGTCGCCATCCTCTGCGTCGTCTATCTGTAAAGGATCATCTGCTTGACTCGATTGCTCTCGGTTGCGTTCTTCTGCGACTAAAAACAGTCATTCTTAAGCCCTCGAAGGGAAGCAGCCCGGCTTACCTTTACGGGCAATCTCTTCCGGAGACAATTTCTTGGGTTTGTGAAGCTTCGCTCTTCGAGACCGAGCAAGGGCAGCTTGTAGCTCATCGTCATCGACAAAGTTGGCGTCTAACTCACGTGGCCTAGGCACAACCGGTTTCTCATCAACCTCCATAATATTCTCGTCGCCATCAATGGGGGCGCGACGTGATGAACGTTTCTTCTTGGTCTAATGGATATGGATGTCAGGCTTCCTTAACCATAGAGCCAAAACGTTAAGTGGCGCTTACCTTTGGTTTCTTGAAACCTACATCTCCCTCTTGCAGGTAATCGCGCGTTTCCAAATTTTCTAGAAATGGGGATGTATCAACAAAAGGCAAGGGACAAAATAGAAATAAAAACTGACTGGCGTAATCTATTGACAGCAAAGACTTATTTACGCTAGCTAGTTCTTGTTTCATCTGAACGCCACTGATCGTAGTAGATGTAACAGAACTGCCCAAACGGAAATCCTGAAAAATAGGTAAAGGATTAATTATGGTGGAATGTTGTGGACAAGACGTACAGTTTCCCTAGGACCTTCAATATCCTCGTCATATTTCGCCAGAATCGATCTCTTCATTCCAGCTTTGCCATCCCCAAATTCGTCATCGTCATAACCGGTGTAATCCCGTCTTTTAATCTTTAGTTCATTATTCTTGCGAGTGCGTTCTTCTTCGGCCATCTCAACATTCTGAAGTTCATCCTCTGGATGGATGAAATTAGGAATAGCAACATTGTAGTAAGGCTCGCAGTGGACGCACCTTCATTGTCAAGAATACGGCTGTCTTTCAATGTGAGAATACGGGCATCGCCTTCTCCGAGGTCTTCAAAGTCGTGACTGACTTTGAGACCAACCAAGTCCTCTGCGGATAGATGATCAGGCAAGTCATTCTTCATGTTACAAGAACTACACGCACTTTCCGTATAGTCGTCACCCTGGAAAGCTCTGTCCAAGTTCTCAAGTTCCTGCTGCCTTTTCTGGGCCAGCTCCTTGTCGCGCTTCTTGGCTTTCTTGATCCACTTCAGAGTATCTTCTGTATCGCCGTCGGGATCACCAAGTGTTGTACCCTTGAGGGAAGCATGGAGTTCTCGTCTGTTCCTCACCCTGTGGTTGCAAAATGAGCAATAGTCATTGGCTGAGGCCGAAGAGCCAGTATAAATAAATCGAAACTCACTTCGCTATCCGGTCAAATATTTGCCTGGAAAAGAGAAACGTCAATCAGAACAAGTCGTATACTCAGAAACGAACCATGTAAATACTTTGTTTCTCTCTCTTTGACCTGTCGCTCGCGCTGCTTTGCATAATTATCCTCCGCTTGCTTCTCTTTGTCGTCGGCTGGTGCAGAATCATCTGTAAGAGGTTTGAGACCGAGAGAGATACGGATCTTGTTCGTCTCTTCAAGGCTGATGCTTTCCTCCATTGACATTGTGGTTTAGAATGACGAGTAATAACTGAGTACTAGAGAGCAGAACACAGTGAACTTCCCGGAGTATGTTGGCAACTTGGGATCGAGTGTGCCATTAGTCACTGGTTTGGTGTGAATTTTTGCGTGGTTCCCAATTTGGTTGAAATAGATACTTATTTTTGTTTTGTTTTGTTTTTGGTCCTTAATATTATAAAACAAAATCTCAGGAATACTGGTAAATATTAGTAAGGAGAGCGTATCAATTCCATGCCAAAAGATTACATATATCACATATCCCCTGCGCCGTGCGACATTCATGCGCGTGAGTGCCCATCATTTCGTGAGTTACACTTTCTGATGGTTGGTCACGTGATGTCACTGTCAGTCACAAAAATCCTAGCCATACTTGTACTGGTCTAGGAACTCAATGTGACACGATGTACACTAAGAGTACCAGCTAGCTACGATCCCCTGCGATTTATTCGTGAGTGCCCGATGATGATCATTTCATCAGTGATGCTTTTTCGCAGAATTCTCTGAATTGACCTACTTAGGCCATTTGCGGGATGCCGGAGTACTCGGAAGAATTCTGAAAATCCGCCCATCAAAAATTGGCCTCATGTTTGGGCACATGATCGTATGATGCCTCGAGGTAAGGACATGAATGGCAATCCGAAACGTAAAGATCGGAGTGTGTTACATGCACACACTACCAACTACATGGATTCGCTTGCCACATAAACATCTTTTCTTACTTAGCCGGGCTACCAAGGCGCATATGAAGCCCGAGTTCTTTTGGCCTTATCTTCCTTCTCGGACCCTTACTTTTTTTTCAGGCCATCTTCATGTCCACATCAGCGGACTACCGTATTCCAGCTCTTGCTGCCATATCTGCGGTAGCATATGGCCTGGTTAGCTGGTGGTCACATAAGAAGAGAAACCCAGGAGGTCTTCCCCTTCCTCCAGGTCCCAAGCCGCTCCCAGTAGTGGGCAACGTGCTTGGTCTCAAGATTGATGAGCCATGGGTCACATACACACACTGGGGTGCTACGTACGGTAAGACATTGGATATGGTCCTGCAGTATACACAAAACTAATCCTCACAATTTATTTCAAGGTGAATTGGTGTACTCTCGTCTGCTTAACCAAGAAATCATCTTGATCAATACTGAGAAAGTTGCGAGGGACCTATTAGAGAGGCGCTCCAACAATTACTCTGACAGACCTGGCATTCTGTGCCTGACGAATGACTTGTACGTGCAATTAAACCTCGCTTGCGATTATCAGATTTACCGAACCACGGCAGTTTTGGCTGGTCATTTAATTCTGTCATGATCAAGTATAATGATCGTTGGAGGCTCCACCGACGATTGTTTCACCAAGCGTTTCGCCCGGAAGCAGCTTATACATATCAAACAATGCAGCTTCGCAAGGGGCGAGAGTTGTTAAACAACTTACTTGAAGACCCAGCTAACTGGATAGCGCATCTCCAGACGTAGGAGCACTGATATTGTGTACTATTTTGATACTGACGTCACAGATCAGGCACTCAGCCTCTATTATTATGTCTGTCGTTTATGGTTATGAAATTGGCCCAAGGGATGATCCCATCATTTCCATCGTTGAGAGAGCTGTCAACTTAGCGGTGTCTTCAATCAAACCCGAGGTTGCTGCTTTCCTTGGCGCATTCCCATTTCGTGAGGTTCTTTGCTCTTTTGTGACCTACTTGATGTCTCACAAACATACAGTGCAGCACATTCCATACTGGTTCCCTGGAGCTTCGTTCAAGCGGACAGCTATCTTATCCACGAAGTACGCCGAGGACATGATTGAGGCGCCATTTCAGTACGTTGAAAAGAATATGGTGAGGTTCAAGCATCTCTTACAACTAGTCATCCATCTCATCTGAGGCGAACTAGGCGTCAGGCTTGGCATCCCCATCCATGGTCGCTGACGCTTTGAGAAAAGCCGAAGATGAAAATGCGTCTGAGACGTATGTCAAAGCAATCAAAGAGAGCGCCGTGACTGCCTTCGCGGGTATGTTGATCTGATCTTATGTTTTCAAGCTGATCTCTTACACTATTGTTTCCATCTCAGCTGCCTCGGAGACAGTGAGTCATATCGCAACTGTCGCGCTTACGAAAATGTTGCTAACAGTTTTTCTCTCAGACCTCATCAACTTTGATTATTTTCATCTTGACGATGCTGCTAAACCCAGAAGTACAAGCCCGCGCACAGGCTGAAATCGACTCTGTGGTCGGTTCGGTCAGGTTACCGAATTTCGAGGACAGATCATCACTGCCATATGTCGAGGCTGTTCTCCGCGAAGTTCTCCGGTGGCACCCCGCTGTACCATTAAGTTTGTATCGTACAAACTATATGCTATGAGTGACGGACTAAACGTGAATGACACAGGCATCCCCCACGCTGCCACGAATAATGACGTCTACAACGGATACCTCATTCCGCAAGGTGCGACATATTTGATAACTTGTAGCTTGTCGATTAACACACATCAGGGGCTACGATTATAACGAACACATGGTGTGTACTTACCAATCGACAGACTTAAAATGTTTTTACCGCTGATCATTATCAAAGGGCGATCACACGCAACGAAGCCAAGTATCCCAACCCAGAAGAATTTAAGCCCGAGCGATTCTTTGGCGCCGATGGCGAGCTGAACGATGACACCGTGAGCTTTGCCTTTGGTGTGGGTCGCAGAATTTGTCAGTCTTGCTGAGCTCTATTTGCCTCCTTATTAATGATTCTGATTATGACATCATAAAGGCGTCGGGCGATATATCGCGGATGCATCCGTCTGGTCTGCGATGGTCTCGATCCTTGCTATCTTTGATATCAAGAAATGCAAAGACGAGCAAGGCAACAATATTGATGTAAATCCGAAGTTTACTGCAGGCATCACTTCGTAAGCTTCTTTTTTGTGTGCATTCTTGATTCTAACTATTCTAATACCTCCTCAGCCATCCATTGCCCTTCCCTTGTCTCGTTGTCCCCCGACACAAAGGATTTAACACGGAAAAACTTGCTGAAATGTTCTAAGGTTCAGTTATCTCAATGTCTGGTTACAGCTGGTTCTGTTGTTGTAAAATCTTTCTTGATTGTAGATTAGCTTTCCTATCCTCCACGTTTTTACGCTAACGATATCTGATGTCCACTCGAACTGTCCTCACGAGCATTCATTCATGTTGTACAACTACTCTCTTGACACGTCTGGGAAATGATCATGCACTTCACGTCGCAATCAACTACAACTACAAAGTATTAAGAAACGACGACTTCACCCTCACCAGCAGTGGCGCGAACGATAGAACAAGGTATGTCAGGGCAGGACACAGTATCTGGAACGAAGCTCTTCTTCGCAGGAAATCCTACAGGTTGGACAGAGACTCGTAGAACAGAGCCAGAGTGATTCCCATCGATTTCAGCATCAGACAGGTCGCAAGGACCGGAGATACAGAGAGCCGAGAGCGATCTTGTGTGCGTCGTGTAAGGAGAGGAAGATGTTCGTTCACCCACGCTTGTAAAGAGACCGGACGGTGACAAGTCGGAAACGGATGAGATTGATGACGAAGGGGTGCACGAAACGAGTTTCCGGAAGTTGCGTCCTCCACTCCCCGGAATACGTGTGTCGTAGCTAGGACGCAGCGTGAACACCTCTCGAAGAGCAGGGTCGTAGATCACAGTAGAGCTCTTGAACCTCAGTTTGTCCCGCGGCTTGGTGTCACCGGAAGCATCGATGACGGAGGAATCTACGTTGCCACGCGGAGAGCTAGCATAGACCGAGAAGTCGAGTAGATCAGATGCAGATGCGACAGAGGGGACACCCTTGAAGTATGGAGCAAAGTATGTGCTGCCTCGATCGCCGAATGGAGAAGCGAACCGATTCTCTCCTGCACTCGGCGAATAGGAGTAGTTCGGATGAGTAGGCGAGCGAAATTGTTTGGCTTGAGGAGAGCTAGTCCATACTTTGAGGGAAGCAGATGACAGAGACGTTGATAGGTCTGCGTTGTAGGGAAGCGAGTTCTTGTCGCGCTGGAGCTGCGTGCCAAAGACAGGTGGCCAAGAACTGCGGAACACATATTCATTGGAATGCTTCGGGAATGCGTAGGATGAAGGAGGAGAAAACGAAGGCATGGGTAATTCCGGGCGATCGAACAGCTGGGGATGAGACAGTCGTGGAGATCCCCGGAGATTGACGACATTACAACGACCAAGCTCTGGGTCACTGGAATTCGTCGACAATGCCATCTCTTGGCCTTGGGTAGTCCTACATCTGGCCTCTTCAAGCTGCCGCAGGACGACGTTCTGTGGCAGCACGAAAGGCTTCAACCCTTTCGGCTTCTGGGATGAACCAAGTTGAACGATAGTGAAGCTCTGGCCCTCAGTTCCTGGTGCATCGGATTCCTGAGTCGCTCGCCTTCCACCAGTAAAGAGACCGAAGAACGAGCGGAACAGTCCTGTAATGAGTGACAAGGATTTGTGAAGAAAGAGGACAAAGGTGTGCAGAATGGGAGACATTTTCGCGAGCGCTGAGTAAGGACAGTGGCGGACTCGTTCGCGAACGACACGGCGGTCGGGTTGCAAAGGGTATAAGAGCAGGGCTTACCGCTGCTGGCATATAAGTACTAGTGCAACATGGCGGCTGACATATAACTATAACTCTATCGTTTCCTGAATTATTTGGGAACTTGTCAGCCTCCCCATTTCGTAGGCGGTTGGCTGGAGACCGAGCGAAAATTGCCTCCAGAATTCGAATCAGTTATTGTCGTCGAAGAAACTACAGTACTGGCTGTGGGAGGTTGGAAGGAAGGAATGCTGCCATGCTGTACAGAGTGCTTTTATAGGTTTCCAATACTTTGAATTCCAAGGTCCTTGGTGACAATACACCGGTCTTTCTCTCTCCCCTTCCCGCCCTCGAATGCCTTCATTAATGACTCTTGTCCCTCGTCAATCCTATGAAAGGGACAGATGAAGTTCGGTATTGGCCAGTGAAAGAAAAATATCAATACCATTTTACAGAGTGAGCAGATTTCTCCAGTATGACTTTAACAGTCGTCCACGAAAACCGGACGATGGATGGGAAACCGAAAGTAGGGTCGAGTGAGTTCTTTACCCAATTTTGAGTCTTTGGATCTGCAACTGCGTTAAGCAAGGAAGCAGAATTTCCTGCGACTTAAGTAACATACCCGATGGATAGCCACTTCCGAATTCTCTGTTCCAGTTTTCTTTTCGAGCGTCCTTAGCTGCATTGTTGTCTTCTTCAATTAGTTCTTCGAAGGTCCAACCATCCACACACGCATCCCTTGTCACCTTTGCCGCCACGCTGGCTGCTCCCACAATCTTGAATTTTGAATCTGCTTTTGTTGTCACTGTGAAACTGATGCCCGGGAATTGTGAAGAAAGATATGCTTCATAAGTAGTTGTGTTTCCCAGTGCATCCACATATACCTAACCAGATGATAGTTTAGTATTCATTCGAAAACACAGGGCGCGTGTTAACCTCAGACAACTGGAGTCCACGCTGAAGAGCATCGCGTATGAGCAATACGGTTGCATCCTGGGATTGCTTGTTTAGATTTGTTGGCGGAATTCTCAACATCCCAGCTGATATGGCTTGTGGGCTAGTCACCATGAGAAGTCTCACAAAGGATAAAACTTCGGATGTGCGTACCTGATGACTCGGACAGACCATCCGAGATTCTGAGGATCAGAGTTAAGAACGTCTAACAATTGGGCTCGCTTTTCTGGAGTGAGTGTTTTGGAGTCTGGTAGAAGATATGGCTCGTGTCATGATGTAGTTGAGCGCTTGAGAGATGTTTACCAGCAAAGCCCAGCTGCTCTAAGTCTGTCTTCCAAGATGCAGGGCAGTAGGCAACACCATAAACAAGTGGCCCAAGTACAGGGCCACGACCAGCCTCATCAACACCAAGAATATATGGCCCTGGTGCTGTAGGCGTTGAAGAATGGTAGGTATACGAGTTTGTGAGTGGACTTGACGGTCCAGGCGCTGACGGAATAAGAGCAGCAGAAGTTCGGGACATAATTTTGGACGATGCCTTGTAGGTATCTCGGCTTAGACGTCTCTGAGCCAATATACTGTTTCCACGATTACAAGTCGAAGGCCGACGGAGGCCCGGGAAGACTGTGTTTACGCGTTCTTTGTACCTATTAATCCTTATTTAACAAAAGCCAAAATAGACGACACCCCTGTCACTAGTCACTGTGGTCAACTTGAAAGTCCTCTATCAAGTGGATAGATAATGGTCTGTGCTAAATTGATAAGTACCTGTAACTCGGATGGGTTTTTCAGGACACTGTAAGACAGATCTATGTGGTACATTCTGGAACTCGATCTATTGTAATAGATATTATATTGGACATCGTGCTACCAAGTCCGTCGTGCACGTTCAAACTACCACTATGGCACAATTAAAATTCTCCATGTTTCTCGAGGGTGCTTTTAGCACGTTCGTTTGCTACAGAAATAATATTTAGTGGGTTGTATACTTCAAAGGTTAAAGATCGCACCTGAATGCTTGGCTTTTTGCTTATCAAGTGCGTCCATTCCCTTGGTTTCTGCAATGCGGTCAATAAAGCCACCCGTCAGCGCCGCACTACGAAGAGAGTTTTCTTCAGATGAGTTCGGGACAATTTTGCACTATGATACTCACAGTAGCTCCACAGCCTTTGCATGGTTTGCAGGTTTTCCGTTCTTCTGGACGTGCTTCTCGTACGCTTTGGCAGCCTAAGATGATGTGATTGGTAACGGCATCGTGCTCGACAGGCACGAAAGACAAACCTCGTATGATGCGGCAGCGGCAAGGAGCTCATGGCTCAGTTTGGCGCTGTGTCCACCAGTCACCTACAGGTCGTTGAGATGACCGGTCAATGTAACACCACTGCAGCTTACCTGTGAGTGTGCTTGAGACTCTTCAGAATTGGATGTGAACCACATAGTGTTTGTGTAATGGAATAAAACTGAATTCAATGGTGAATGCGACGTCTTTTATAACTACAGAGAGCGGTGCGATCATAATGATGTCAGTGTGGGGTGTACACCAGTGTGCACTGGATGGGCGGAGCGTAGCATCACTTTGGTGCGTTTAGTGCCTGAACAATAATAGACGTAGTGCCACTAATGTTCGTCTCAAACTTCGGACTGTACCAATGTCTGGAGGGCATCTGTTAACTTTTCCAGGAGGTAAAAGCCAAGGATATATGGCCCTAGTGCTATAGGCGTTGAAGGTTGTGAGTGGACTTGACGTGAGGGAATAAGAGAAGCAGAAGTTCGGAACATAATTTGCACGAGGTATCTCGACTTAGACATATCTAGGTTGTTTCCACGATTACTGTTGATCTTATCCCCGACTATGTCATGCCGTCATGCGTGAAAATTACTTACCTTATTTGTTACCGGGTGCTGTGCCCGTCGCCCGATGCTATTATTGAAATTTGAACTTTGCGTTTATAATAAAGTAGGTGAGCGTCATCATGATAAGCTTACGACCATGACTGTTTATCTATCTGCCGCAGGCGGTCCAACGTGCTCCATTGCTTTTTTCACAAAACACCCTTCTGTTGTCTGTCGTCTGCACGATACAAATTACCCAAATCCGACTTTCGTGTGCTATAGTAAGTGCTGTCCGCACCACAAAGTACTGGACTCCCTCAGGCTGCTTTTTGTCGCGGTGAGCATGTTATGATTGGTAAGATGCTGGATGATAGTGAACACAACGCTATGTCCGTTCTGTTTTTACCTGTACTAGTAGATTGTATGTAGCTCATGATGCACGTGTCGGAGACTGGCGCGGCCGAGCGCCGTTACGATGTGGGAATAGCCACGATAGACGACACCCCTCTCACTAGTCATTGTGGTCAACTTGAAAGTTCTCTATTAAATAATGGTTTCAAACTTGGCAGTGCTAAAGTAATGAGTACATTATAGGGAATCCGACGGGATTATGAAACCCGGTTGATAGTCCTCTCTAGACGGAGGATCGAGTTTGAGAGTAGGACGGTTCATGTTCCGACATAGATGAGCAGAATGCGATGAATTATTTAATTGAAATGTCGAAAAAACTAAAAGTCCTAGCGTGACGACGGACAAATGAGAAGAGGCACATAAAGAATTCATGAACATGCCTAGCGCGACGACGGACAGGAAGGCAAAGGCCTCCTAAGTATCCGAATCTGCGCTAGGTAACAAAAAGAATCTCCGCTTGGAACAAAGATTGCTCAGCATGTGCGTCATGCCTGCAGGGGCGCCCGGAGCAAGGCAGAGGGACAGACCCTGGGTTGGCCCGCAAGTGCCAAAACGACTCGAAAGTATCAACCAAATTAGACTTGTATAAAGGAAGATTAGACTCGAACTTGCAATGTGTTCCAACTTGGTCTTAACTCGGATGTTTTTTTATTCAGGGCACTACAAGCCAGATTTATGTTGCACATTCTGGAATTCGATCTACCACGATAGATAGACTTGTACAATAAAGTCCACCTACTACTATGCACAATCAAAATTCTTCGTGTTGCTCGAGGGCGCCTTTAGCGCGTTCGTTTGCTACAGAAATAATGACTCAGGGGCGTTGTATATTTCAAAGGTTGAAGATCGCACCTGCATGCTTAGCCTTTTCCTTATCAAGTGCGTCCATCCCCTTGGTCTCTGCAATGCGGTCAACAAAGCCACCCGTCAGCGCCGCACTACGAAGAGAGTTTCTTTCAGATGAGTTCGAGACCGTTTTACATGATGATACTCACAGCAGCTCCACGGCCATCGCATGGTTTGCGGGTTTTCCATTCTTCTGGACATGCTTCTCGTACGCTTTGGCAGCCTAAGATGTGATCGGTAACGACATCGTGCTCAATAGGCACGAAAGACAAACCTCGTATGACGCGGCAGAGGCAAGGAGCTCATGGCTCAGTTTGGCGCTGTGTCCACCAGTCACCTACAGGTCGTTGAGATGACCGGTCAATGTAACACACCACTGCAGCTTACCTGCGAGTGTGCTTGAGACTCTTCAGAATCGGATGTGAACCACATAGTGTTTGTGTAATGAGAGAAAACTGAATTCAATAGAATATGGATGTGACGTCTTTTATAACTACATGTAGAGGGAGCAGTGCGATCATGATGATGTCAGTGTGGGGTGCAGTCATCAATGACATGGACACTGCTCTGGATGGGCGGAGCGTGCCATCACTTGAAAATCTTTGTGACAGGTGCGTTTAATTAGTGCCTGAAATGGTGTCTGTCTGACGGAGTCTGTCGGCCCAACAGCAGTACTAGTTCGTCTCAAACTTCGAGTCGGACTGTCCCAATGTCTGGAGGGCCCATCTAGGAATCAGGAGGTGAAAGTCTGACCGATCGAAAATTGGTCATGGCCGCAAGGGTGTCTGCCGAGCCTAAACTTTCCAGGGGTCAGCTTCCCAAAAAGAGGTGATTTCCTGGGGTGTCACCTTCTTTCTTTGGCAAAGATAAGTCGCCAAAGTTGCGCCAAAGGTTCACTAGTACTATTCAGGCCTCAGGAGCAACATATGATGTTTGTTCAATTTATTGAGCGCTGAGCAGCGGGACCTCAATTTAATTTTCTTACGTAATTAAAAATGTACCCAAATTCGGCTGGTTCGGTTCACTTGCAACCTTCCTGTTTTGGCAGCGCTGCTCAACACAAATATCGACTGTTCACTTAGGAGTTAATTGTAGCTATGTTCTGTAGTTATTCAAAAGAAAAAACCTACTTATGTCGAGAAATTTACGGTGGCGCTCAGCCAAAAGGCCACGCGAGGTCACGTGACTTCGATCGATTATGCTAGTAATTCAACCTATAGGAAAATTCGGTCCTGGCTCGTGATTGGTGGAAACAAGCTTTGGCGCGAGCAACTCGCGTGCCGAACCCTAAGTTAGGTGCATGCGGCAGAATTCCAACCGTATGTCACGTGACTTTGGATTCCCATTTTTTTTCAGAGCGAATCTGAGACGAATTCCCTTTACAGAATTTACCTTAGCTAATCGTAAATTTCTCCAGATATCCCGACATATAAGTTGTAGCGTCAGCTAAAGTGGCAAAACTCGCTACCTTTTTCGCCACTCGGCGTGCCACAGCAGAATGCATACTATCATATGCATATGGTGGTCAATTTATGTGTCATAATAATAATGTTACTGTCCAGGACTTCATGGTCTGTATCCGATACCCTGCTAGCAGAGGAGGCTGGAGCATGTCGACTGGACGCAGCCTCGTGCCTCGGCCAGTCGACATGCTCCCCTGAAATCATTTGCACAGCTTGATCACTGCTAAGTCAACTAATCGTATTTTACACATAGTGCAAGACAGACAAGTCTGCTCCAGTTCATGCCAATTATTTAGCACACTCGATGGGAGGGGCAGAAGGGAAAGGCGCACGATCAATTGGACTCCGAAATCAATAGCCATGACAGTTGCCCCTGAACTTCGTCTACAAGACGATAAAACTGCCCCAGCAATTGCGCAAGGGATGAAGACCGAGATAAATCACTACTATCAGCAGGTTCAATATGTTTGTTGTTACCACTAAGTATACACGAAGTTCCTGGAATAGCAGAGAAAAATCAGTAGACATGGAAAAGAGGACTATGACTCAGGCCGAGGGAAGATAAATCCGAGTTACCACTATCAGCAGGTTCAATATGGTCTGGATTACTACTAATTATACACATAGTTTCTGGAGCGGCCATAAAAAAGATCAGTAGATATAAAAAAAGAGGACAATGAGACGCTGTCACCTTGAGGACCACACATAGTAAAACGAAAATATGGATTACACACAGGATTCTTGTCTTCCCGCCCGACCGTGCACCATGCAGCAATCCAGTTCACCCCAATCAAAATGTCAGAATCGAGACTAGGCGCAATCTGGAACTCGACACCAGTGTAAGCGCACAACCATTGGAGCGGTGTACCCGTGACTGTGTGCGTGCGTGTCGCGAGCAAGGCAGGAAGTCACGCGCTGCGCTACAACAAACCCTAAGTGGCTTGCTAACTTGAAGCTACGGTGCTACTCGGCACTGTAGTACCCCTGACCCGGTCCCCTACTTCACCATCATAAGATGCCGCGAGAATTTCAGTGAACCGGGAATGAATGGCCGAGCGAATGCACAACTGCAGAAGTAACAGGACAGCATTGCAATGCTGAATCAAACGCGATAGAACCAGGGAATGACCGAGGCTTGAACGAAGTCATGGTGGTATATGAGCCTATCAGAGTCTAAGGACGATCGATCAACACAGCCTGCTACTATGGCGAACATAAAGGGGCGGAAAAATCGGACGAATCTGCCGCAAAAACGTGAAAATAGCGAGCTATAACCCACTCCCTTACGGTAGCGGGAATATATGAGATACTATTACGAATACCAAGATGAGTGTGTTTTGTGCTAATAGTGCTATACTAGTATTTTAACAATTTATTTCGGGGGGACATAATATTTGTGCAGATTCAATAGCATACGAGGGTAATCCACCACACTCTAGTTTGCGTATCTATTAAGATAAATGAGCTAGACAAGTCATTATGATCCTGCCTAATTTTCACAAGCTTGCGCCTTGCTAATTACAAATGCACACCTGGCAGCCTCCGCAACAGGCTGTCTCTCCATATAGCTACCACTCACAGTCGTCAAATTTTGTGGGTCCTGCATGAGAACCATCCGTACTGGGTTTAACTCAGTGTACTGCTCCCACACCGGAGACTTTTCCAGCTTGTAAGTATTCGGATTGCCGGTGCGCACGAAGGAAAGCCAGTAAGCAATGAGTTCGGAAGCAAACGCGAGTTCGGCGGGCGTCTGTGATGTAAATGTCATAGAGCCATTAAAACTAGAATGTCATTTCTATGAGCCTGTGATCTTAGTTAGATGGACTGAGGGTCGGATACTCACCCGGTGTCAGTGCCATCAAACATCATCCAGTTATCCGCAGAATGTGAGACAGCATCGGTACCGCTCGTCGGGTTAGGTGTGTTGTACCGATAAGTCCAAGTATTAGAATGTCGCGAAGATGGACCGCCCATGGCCTGGCACTGATTCGTATTGTTAGCATGGCTCAGCGGTGTAATGCTCAAACGTACACTGCATATCACTTCAGGCTCACCTGTTGCCACCTGGAATTGCTGACTCGAAGAATCAAATTCATCTACTGGATATAGAAGTAAGAATTCTCGAATGTCGGTGTTTGTCAGTGATGGGAAAAATTCCTGAAGTGTCAGAGAGATATTCGTCCCGCTAGAAAGAGTCTCATTGGAGGTTGCGCTATGAAGCGGTGTTATCAGCGGTAGCGCGGCACCGAAATAACTCAAGTGCCAGCGTACCCAATTATAAGCGGAACATGAGCGAATTCATTGCGTTGGAACTTTGATGTAGGGTGTCCAGTAATCAGCATGCCGTCCATGACGGGGCGAAATAAATTGTACGACCCAGAACTGCCACCCGTCAGTTGCGGAAACGGCTGTCTTGGGTAGGGTAGGCAGAACTTTTGGGCTGCAGCATCCTGTGCCCGTGCAAGCGCGCTAACGCTTGCACCACGGAGGCATGTCATTTGCTCTGCCACAGAACCCGTTCTACACCCTGCATACGATGCATAGAATTGAAAGAGGGGCTGTTTATGGGCGTTAGATGAGGTGCTCATCTCGGTAGGGCGCTTCACATGCCTGCTGTTGCTCAGGGGTGGGAAGGGGCGTCCTGAAGACGCTCTGCGCAATAGCGGCAGAAAAAAGCTGTTCATCCTCGTTGGCAATCATGTGAAGCTCCACGGAGTTACCACCGGCGCTCTGACCATTGATGGTCACTTTGGTCGGGTCACCACCGAATTTTCTGATATATGATTTGACCCATTTGAGTGCCTGGATCTGGTCCTTGAATCCCGCGTTAAAGTCACCGTGCGTAGTGTCGGCGAACTCGGGAGTGGCTAGGAAGCCGAAAGAACCAAGACGGTAGTAAACAGCTACGATGACGACATTCGGACTTTGATTGATCCAGCTATCAAATGGCCAGCTACGTGGATTTCCATAGATATAACCTGTCGCAATGAGACTGAGCAAATAGGTCCGGTAGACCCTGGAATTTGAAAACTTACCTCCGCCATGGATGTAGAACAGTACAGGCACTACATAGATCCATTGGAGTGGTGAGAATTTTTAACGCGTAAGACAGGACGTCTATAGTAAAACGTACGGTTGTCGCCTTCTTGGGCACCGTAGGGTGAGTAGACGTTGACGGTTAAGCAGTCCTCTGAGCCTGCTCCTCCTGCATCCCCAGCTGGACCAGTGTCAGAGAAAATATTTTAGGAAAGGCAATCACCCATACCACCCGTTGTTCCTTGAATGCAAAAGTCAGGGTAGTAGGTCGCGTTGACCACTCCCTCCCCGTTCAAGTTGGCCTCTTCACCCACACGGGTCGTGTTCAGAGGGACAGTTGCACGGAAACGCAAATGGCCTACAGGAGGCTCGGCGTACGGTATCCCGAGGTATGCCACCGTATTTGGATATGTCCGGTTGCCGAGATATGTCACATACCCGAGGTCAACTGTAGGGCGGATGGAATTCTGTGCAAACATACCGTTGAATAAGGCAAAAAATGCGAACACTAGTACGTTGCGCATTCTTGAGTGGAGGAGCTCCTTGCCATCGCAGGCCCGGTTTTATAAACCTCCTCGGCCCCCATTCCGCAGGAGTAAGTCACGCAAGCTGCATGCAACGCGTGCATGATGCGCGGAAGTGCTTCGATGGTAAATTGGTCACGAGAAGCAAGGTGATTCCTCAAGTAGGTACTTGGTCTGCCTAAGATAAAGGATTAATATGTACAAGAGTAGTTGATCGATATCATACTATTGGCAGTTGAGCTGAACTAGGCCGAGTGTAGAAGGAACAAACATTGTCGGCATCTTCCGGATAACATTATTAACGGTCCTTATCCTTCGCCGTACTGCTCGCCATGTCACCTGGGAAGCCAGCAAAAGCCATCAGAATCAAGGTTCCGCGTCATGGTGCCCAAAGGATAGGCGCAAAATTTTCTGCGCATGTTGAAGCGCTAGCTAGGAAAGAGAAAATTCGTGCGGTTACTTACCAGCCTAACCATGACTCGAATAATGTAGCTCAGGCTATCGTGAGTGCCATGCAGCCCTGCACAACCACTTTAGCATTAGTAACGTTATATTTAGGAGTCTGCCTCGGAGTGGAACTCATTGCTTATCACGGCCCGTGCTCAACGTGGACCACAGTGGGATGTCGGAACTCAACAGTGCGTAGTCTAGCCAATGGTGTCGTATTCAAAGGGAATTGAAAGTTGTTCAGATTCCTTGTAGACCAAGGGTCTGACCTATACTATGACTCGTCTCGATTGATGGAGTACCAGAAACAGCAACGCGAGGAGGAAAATGCTGCTCGAACCTCAATGCAGCCTCCCGACTTTCGGGCACACGATCCTTCTCGTATTACTCGAAATCACTCCACCTCTTCAAATCATAACTATCCATACGCATCACCGGGCATGTCTCAAGGGACTCCACGTCATCCCAATCTTGGGGGTTACTCGAACGTTCCATTCAATGCCATTCCACCCAATCACTTCTACGGCCATGGAGCTGATGGGGCTTCTCCTGCGAGGATGGGTATGAGAGACAGCATGGGTGCCAGCATGTCTCCAGATGTGAGGAGAAGGTCAGCAAGAGGCATACCAGAGGATGGATTCATTCAACTGCATGGACCATGATTGCACACGACCATTGATTCCCGTGTATGTTATCCAGTGCTGTGTATATCATCATTATTTCTACTAGATTTCAGGAGAACTTGTCTATTGCATTCCCCGGCGTGAATTGACTACCCATGCATCATTCCATCCGAGCCACTTGTGTCGTTATAATTTCTCTTGCTCCGTCCTCCCAGTCCTCCCATGACATAGCCATAATTGCACTGTCTCTCCCAAGTCCTGCCAACAGGTCGGTTGTCCTAGGTGTCTTCCCAAGTTCCTTCCCGACGGGCAACACCCACGCCCATCTCAAAGTTCCTTCGCGTTTGAGCCCCATACGAGCAGCAAGTTTCAGGGATGGCTCGTTATCCGTATGTGTATACCAATATACTCTCCTCAACCCCAACCCAGATTCAGACTGGGATGCACAGGGCATTGTGAAACAGTACTTGAGGAGTGTTCCTACTGCATGCGTTGCGACATGTGTACGCTGAAATTCGGGCAGGATACACAGAACCCCAGCCTCCACGGATAGGTTCGTTGGTGAATAATTGAGGAGTCCAATTGTCCCTGCAAGCTTCCCTCCCCACTCCGGATAGTCCGGGTCTGGGGTTGTCCTGTCGATGACTGCGAGGAGGACACTGTACGGGTTCTGGCGCACGAAGGCGTCCATGAACAGCAGATACGACTCTGGATCTTCTATGCTGGAAAAGGGATAGTAACGATAGAAGTGCACGGGGTCTGAGATTGCTGCATGATATTTTGCAGCGTGAATGGAAGGGATGAACGGCGTTAGCTTCAGACGCGAGGTCTCCAGCTGAGTAAAGTCGAGCGGAAAGGCGACGTTGATGTCATAGGGGACGGGACCATGAAGTCCGTAAGCAGGTTTCGCGGGAGGAGGGGGTTGATACGCATTGACATACGCCATGTGGGCAAGCACAGTCTGAGGCCAAGTCATACACATTCAATATTCTTATACTCAGTTGGCTCGCAGTGATTCACATAGTACGTGTGGTTGCGTTGGCAAATCAATTTGTCATGAGTGTTTACTGTAGTTGTAACTCAATTGTACCATCTCGTCATCCGAACAATTCACTTTCAGACGAGCCATTCCTTAGGTTTACCAGTGACCACGAACTTTTTAATAATATTCATCTGACACCTGTTCACGAGCATTGGTTAGAACGTTTTTCCTTAAACGTGTCATTTCGATCTAATGTAGCATAGTTGATGCCGCAGCCCAATTCGAAGAGGGCACCAACTCCGGTGCGAACAGCGGCTCCCTTCGCTCCGCACGACGCGATGGTCGCATCACAGCAGGGTCACATAGAGAACCTAGTGCAGAAGACTCGGAATTTGGAACACACCATCAAGAAGCTGAACGATGAACTCAGTCTTGAACAAACTCGCGCCAAGGACACTGTCAATGTCACAAAGCAACAATGGCGAGCAGAGCAAAAGGAGTGGCACGTTGGTTGCGATGCTTTACAGGCGTGCCATAGGATTGCTCATCTCAGGACAGCATGCGCTTTGGACGACGAACGAATTGCAGTGCTCAAGGAGCGCGAAATTGCACGGCGCGAGAGGCTTGCGCGTATACAAAGGGATTACAAGATAACCATGTTCCAAGCTAGGGAGGCAGAACTGGAGGGTCAGATAGAGGACCTCCAGGCAGATCTTGATTCTCAAGTGGCTCAAACACAGTATTCGCTTAAATCTCGAGATCAGCAGTACCAGAAGACTATCCTCGACTTACGAACAAGAGACGCAACGCTTTCATCGGAGTTGAAGCTGAAGTCGGACGAAATTGTAGCAGCTCATAAGCAACGTGAAGATGTCGAGGTCTGTTCCTTCAGTGCCAATCTTCTTATAATGGCCGATGGTCTAACTTGGTAGTAGGATGAACTGCGCCGGCTACGGGAAGCCCAAGCAGACGCAGACGCGGCTACTGTTACAAATGTATCCAAACTTTCCCGCATAACTGTGCAACGTGATGGTCTACAAGCGAGGGTGACTCAACTCGAGCGGGAGCTCGAGGATCACAAGGATAATAGTGCCAAGTTGCAACGTCAACTCGACAATTGGCAGGGCTTGAAAAAGGGTGATGATGTAGACTTGGAGATATTGCGGAAGAAGAATGTCGAGTTGGAGGTTCAATTAAGGGAAGTGAATGCAGTAATCCAAGAACGTGATAAAGCGCTCGAGAAGGAGAAAGGTCGCACGACTAAACTTAAGGAAGTCCTCCATGAGTGGAAGGTCAGATTTTTCCTTCAGCTATCACGTTGTATGTTCAAGAGATTGTTTGTTTATAGACCGAAGCCGGGGAGCAGACAACGCTCCAGAAACAGGCTGCAGATGAGGCTGCAGACGCGAAAAAGGCAGCAGAAAAACTTGAGCAAGAGATATCAGACCTGAAGGCTCAGCTAACCGCTGCGCTCAAAACATCCGCTGCTCCAAAGGTAGGGCAAACTTTCATGCGCCTATGCTATGTCTCAACGCACGATAGTCCCAGAGCAACACGACGTCTCTTCCTATCCCTTTACCATCAGAGGAGGCGGATCAGACTCTCCCGAAACCAAAACCAAAACCAAAAAAGCGCTTGACGTTAGATGACAGTGACATTGAGTTAATTGAACCTTCCGCCAAAGCGAAAGGGAAACGGAAGGCATCTCAGGAAGACAGTACCGATGAAAAACCTGCAGCAGAGAAACCGAAGCGTGCACGAGCAAAAAAGCCCGCCTCTGCGCCAAATGAGAAGGCACCAAAGAAACGTACTCTTGAATCCGAAGCCAAGAAGCAGAAGAAAGCTGCCGAGTCGTCGCAAGCAAAGACATCAAAATCTGCTGCGATTGCAGATAGTGCTGCAGAAGACGACCAAGAACTGGCGCCTAAGAAGAAGAAACGGAAGCTCAATGTAGGCATCTTCCCTTCTATGCAACCACAGCCTCCGGTGTTTCAGTGGGACCAGGTGTGTTATACCTTTCTCTAGTTGATGGTTCGCTGAAAAATTGGGGTTCAATCCCCTGCAGGGTGGGACCGGTTTAGGAATCCCTACCGAGCTGTCACCTGTGAAAGATGCGCCGCGACGATTACATCCATCAAGCACAGGACCAAGTTTCGCCAAAACTCGCGGATGAAGTCTGTCCTGGGCGGATGCGCGGCAGCTGACTGAAGTCTTTGATGTGATCGGTGGTCGTCATGCTTGGTCTTGAATCCTTGATGGTAGACGCGAGGTGACTGGCGAGTTGCTGGTCACAGTCGTATGGGCCAAAGATGTACTTATGAACCCGCAACGGCGCGGACCTTGTTTGTAGGAAGGCAAGTGAAGATACGATCATTTCAAGTGTTTTATTTCTGGACTCAAGGTGTTTTCAAACATGTTGCATTTCATGCTGCAGTTCTCGCAGTCAGAGGTACATGATTAATTCATCCATGTTCCACCATCAATTGTGATCGTCTGGCCAGTGATATAAACGGAATCCTTTCCGGCGAGGAACGACACCATGCCCGCAATGTCTTCCGGTATTCCGATCCGCGGCAGCGCCGCATTCGTTTGGTACTGTAAAGGATTGGGAAACCTCATCTCGAGAGAGAAATACTGATACATACATCTTGGATAAATGTCTTGTCATCAGGAAGCCTGTTTCAGTGGAGTCTTGTACTGGACACCACATATCGGTCCTAGCCTCGGGATGCATAAGCTAATCGTAATGGGGCGCCAGCCCCCGACTCGCTTATTCCTGGCATGTTTTGTGCTCACCGAATTAAACGCGAACTAGTCTTTTAATTCCATTTTGCGTTGGCAGATGACTGCTAATCCTATGTGATTCTACTGTCAATGCATCTGCACAGGACAGAAATCTGTTGCAGGTTTGAAACCTGCTCAACAATCCGTTCCTCTATCTACTTTGCCACGAGTGGTGATGGGGCAATTTTGCGGTCAGCTGTGGCGATAACGTGCTTGCTGCCGTGTAGAATGGACCGACAATGCCGCGACTCGCACATAGGTTTCCAACCCACCCACGCTCGAGGTTGCTGATTCGCTTGTTGAAAATCAACCTGCGGCTTAGTATGCACCCCAGAAATCCCTTCCGTGACTTTCTATGCGAGGTTCAAGTCTGGTTTCTTTACAAATACAACAAGCCTTCCGTTCATATATCCTACAAGCAATTCCTTCTTCCTTGAGTGTTCCATTACCAGGAGTGGTGACCGCCACTGACGATGATACTGTGAATTTTACAGTTAGCTTTACTGCTAAGCAAGGAAATACAACGGAGACAACGTACTCGCTACCCGTGCAGAATGTCGATGCATCAGATGCCAGCCACGTCACTACACCACGCAACTCGTCGGGGCGTCCAAGCCGACCCAGAGGGTTCATACTAGACCACGCATCGAAGAGGTGCGGTTGGCTGTCCAGAAATGCCGCAGTCATACTATCACAGCCATCACGATTTGGTATTGCAGTGTAATTGATCGCAAAGCAAACCTGGTGTAGATATATCCTGGAGACAGTGAGTTGACGCGAATCTTCTTTTCGCCGAGCTCGGAAGCCATGCTACGAGCCATCTGCAGGACAGCTGCTTTGGAGCTGTTGTACGATACCCAGGCGTGGCCCTATACAGGGTCAGCATGCAAATATGGACATAGCAGTTGTTGGGAGATGCGAACCCTGTTAGTGATACTGCCTGACATTGATGCGATAAGAATGATGCTGCCACCGCGTCCGAAGCGCGACATTTGTCTGCCAGCAGCCTGTGCAGTGAAGAGGACGCCACTGACGTTGACATCCAGGACCTTGAAATCAGGTTTAATTTCAAAAAAAATTCGGTGGCAAGCAACTCATCGACAACCACCTACCTCTCTGTACTTCTGCGCCGGGTATTCCAAGCAGTCTGTGTCCGACCTGAGAATACCGGCCGCAGCGACGCAAAAGTCCATTCTTCTCTCTATATCACCAATCTCCTCCGTCTTCTTCCAAAGCGCCTGTTGATCAATGACGTTCGCGCTGAAATACTCCATTCGCGAGTTATTCCCTAGCTTCGCGAGTTATTCCCTAGCTTCGCGACGTAATCTCTGCTTGCAATCCATTCATCTGATGGCTTTTCTGGAAGATCGAAGCAGTATACGACACGTGCGCCAGCTTCGCAACATGCAAGAGCCATCTCCAGGCCAAGGCCCCTATTTCCCCCGGAGACAAGCCCAACGCGATCGGTTAGCGCGAATTCATCGAAGATCTTGGGCTTTGGTGTGATGGATGGGTCTGCAGCAGCCTCAAGGGCAGCCTCGATACCGAGTTTACCGAGAGGGGATGCAGATTGAGCTGGGAATTTGGAACTATGGGAAAAATCAGCTTCCGTTTCATGTTAGCAGTCACAACATTTTGGGATAGATAGATCGAAATAAACGCTCGACACAGCTTACTTGGACATGGTTCGGAGAATCGAGGATAGATGGTTGCGATAAGATTATCCTAGCAACGTCAAGGCAAACGATCACATACGAGGAGTCTTTATACTGCACGGATCTCCACATAAGGCCCTCCTGTGAGCTCACCTGACCATAGTCAAGGCAAGATGCGGTGCCGGGCGTATCAATAACCTGTATTCTGAATTCCTTAGTGTCGGACCACATGAGCATGAGGTGTTAATTTGCGGATCGAAGTGGTCTTTCCACAGCCGCGTTATCGGCCTGACCTGATAGTACTGAGGTTCTAGATTGCGAGAGGGGATTAGGGACAGGCCATCATCAATGGCATTGCCACCTGCATCTGATATCATGACATTGGATCCCGCAGGTGTAGTACTTTACAAGCTAGCGTGTTACATAAAAGAGAAATACTATCTGCGTGAAGGAACAGAGCTCGTCTGGCATGTATGTGGAACGACGTAATACTGGTCAGCACCTATCTGCGGTGAGTCTAGATTATGAATGATGCGCACCTCGGCATATAATACAACAACAAAAATAACATAACGGAGTATGACTTACAGAGCCGCGTATCGACTGACCTAGGCGCGTAGGCGTTTACAACGATGTCGTGTGACCCGAATTCACTCGGTGAAACGCAAGAACAGGAAAATGAGATGAAGTAATAGAATCTCTTGACTACACACCGAGCACCTGGCCCGTGTGAATGATGATGGAATGGCAGATTTCGACGCACAGTCAACGGTATCCCTTTCTTCCCTGATACCGACGACACGCCTATGACAACGGTATTATCATCCAAATACGAAAGAACCAAGGGTCGTGCATACTGATAATCCTCCCATCATGCCCCCGCTTGATTATAGCCTTAGTTGCAGCACGCAATCACAGGAACGTCCCACGCGCATTGGTGTTGAAAATCCAATTGAAATCGGCCAGCGTAGCTATTGGGGTATGGCGCTCACCATGAAAGCGCGTCAAAGATGGGGCTAGCTTACAGTTAGCCATAGGCTTCACAATGGTTTGACCGGCATTCGCTACCATCTAGAACACCATCCATCAGACTATTGGCAGGTTTACAGCCGACGAGACACCCACCACGTCTAAACCATTGAACTCTTTATCCGAAGCCTACACCATGCGCTGGACCTCCTCCTCTTGTGACACATCATATTCCAAGACAATACACCGCCTCCTTTGTGCCCTTACCCGTCCGCGGTGCCGTCGAGCTTCGTGCGCTGCGATTTCAAGTCTGCGATTGCGATGTCAAGTCCATCCTCTGCGAGCCGCAGGGCAATGGCGCGTCCGATACCTTGGGCTGCGCCAGTGATTAGTGCGACGTGAGGCCTTTGGACTTGTACTGGAGTAGCGAAATCAGCCATGGAATTTGGGAATCAGACGTCCTGATTTTTATATGGAGAATTATGCGTTGGTTATGAGTCTGAGTGTTGCGGGCAGAATTGTCGGTGGGGAATTTTGTCGCGAGAACTACCAGAACCCGGCAAATAGGGATTCACCATGGCAGGACAATATTAGCTCCGGCGCCTGTTGGACTTCTGCCACTGGCAACTGAAAAGTTCTGCAAGGTTTTTCTATGGCGAATGGCATTAGAACGGCAGCGATCTGCCGACAACACTAGGACTAATGACCTTATATGCAAAGTCATCACCTCGGGAATACACCAACTTGTTACCGAACCGTGACTGCGCGCGGCAGCAACTTGAATGCCACTTCAAGACCTCGACTGTGAATTCTTCAGCAGGTCAGCCATGAAGCTCGTGACTCGAGCTCTGAGCCCAAGAGATTCTAAGCGGATTCGCATTTCCGTACCGAATAACAAAGGTTAGTCCAAAAGATGGGCAAGTACGCCTTCATAGATGCCTCGATGGGTTGAAGCCTGTCAAAAGAATAAACAGTGTCAGCAGCCTTTACACCGCACCTATTCAACACACACTGGAGGGGCCGGGTCATGCGGCGAGCAAGGTCGCTGAGGATGTGCTTGTCATCCATAGAGGTCACACATCGCGCTGAATTCGCGTGCCGGAGTAGATGGCGATGGACCGATGGTGCATCGATCTGATTCTGAGAGTCCGGTGTCGCCAAAGACGCACACGGCCGTCTAACGATGCACAAGCAACGAAAGTGCCGGAAAGATGAGTGGCAATAGATACCAGTGTGAACATGGCCCATCCAGCGATCACTGACCTGGTTCCAGGCTGGTGCATCCCGCTCCATAATGTTGAGTCAAGTTTGAAATTTGAAATTTGACACTCGATGCATTTTTACCCAACAGCACCTAACGCTTACTTGGATGTGCATCGCATCGACGCATCTCATAAATAAGTTCAAGCATTGCAATTTGAAGCATGGATCTCTTTAACCAGCTGGCACTTATGTCGGCCCAAAGAAGAGTTATAAACATTATATTGCAGCAATGGACATAGTAAAGTGCAATGAGGCCAAAGGAAAAGAATTTTGTCGCCACATCATGAAACTCCTCTCAACGTAAATATTCGTGATTAGAGTGATTAAAGAGGCTTTTCCTCTAGACCATCCTGTGATAGATACACACGGTGCCCTCATTCCATCGGTGAGCGGAACGCTTCCTGGAATGAGTAGTGAGAGGTGGTCATGTAAACGGTGAAATTTTTTGACTACGGCTTTGAGGACATTTATAGGCCTCGGAAGATGCCGGTGCCACTGACAAACAAAAACTCGGGCAAAGTTAGCGCCTGAGTTGGTGCAGCAGGACGGACCGTCAATTGATGTCATGAACTCTGTGTGCTTTTCGATGAGCTTCATCTACCGCCAGCTCAGGTATTGGTTGGATTGCCTGCTACTCAAATGGGTGCCTCCATCTCTCCCAGCAATGCAACTTGGGCCTGACGGAAGCTCTCAGAATCCTACGATGGTGAGTTGTCAGTTGCAATTTGTATGCCGAAATTCAAAATGGATCCTTAAAGGTACAATTTTTCACATGGGATGCCCGGCACCCAGACATGAGCTGGTGGAAACATCTTGCGAAAGAAGCCCCGCAGTTGGCCGCACTGGGGTTCACGCAGATCTGGCTCCCTCCGCCGAACAAAGCAATGGAACAGGTGAGAGTCAGCAGTTCTGATGATATGTTCACAATCCCATTGTACTGTGATTACTGTAGACGGGCCGCGGATATGATGCTTATGACTTGGTACGATGTTCCGTAACGCTTGTTCCAACACTATACAGACGTTCGTGTAGTGGGATCTTGGCGAATTCGACCAGAAAGGCTCCGTTGCTACGAGGTGGGGAACAAAGGAAGACCTTTTGAGAGCTTGTGATACTGCAAGGCAATGCGATATGAACGTTATCATTGATGCAGTTCTCAATGTAAGGATATTGACTACACGTCACGAGTCTGCGCTCACGCTCAGTCGTGCACCACAATACATAAGCATAAACTCGGTGCAGACAGAAAGGAGGCCTTTCGTGCTGTACGCGTCGATCCATTAAATCGCTTACGGGATATTGAGAACGAGAGACCAGTCAATGTACGATTCCCCTTCCCTGCTCTGGAGACCTTTTTAATATCATCCGCAGGGCTGGACTGCATTTGATTTTCCTGGACGGCTTGGGAAGGTGATTCAATACATTGTAATTTCGTCAGCTGGAGGTAAACATATAAGCCAGTATAGTAGCATGCGGTGGAATTTCAATCATTTTACGGGTCAGTCCGTGTTGGACCTTCTTTACTTTTTATGGCTGAAATCATCCAAGGGTTGGACTGGGATGATCTCACGCAAACCGATGGTGTATTTCGCATTTCTTCAGAAAGACACCAAGGTTGGTCAAGGTGGGTGGACACTGAGAATGGGAACTATGATTATCTCCTAGGCATCGACGTTCGTCGTGGCTTTTCGTTGAAGTGCTCGTTCTAATTCTCTATAGATTGACCACCGTCACCCTGAAGTGCGAGGTGATCTATTTTCGTGGGGCTCGTGGATCCTTGACGTACGTCTTGTCTCCATCATCTCTTACATGATTTTTTGAAATCGTTCTAGACCACAGGTGCTTGCGGGTTTAGACTGGATGCCATCAAACACATGGACCGCAAGTTCCTTCTTGAATTTGTAAGGGGCAGTTTTATCTTTATTTAATTGACCTGGTGACAGAGCCGCTTTACTATCGAAGATCAAAAGAACTCGGAACCACCCAGGCAAGAAGCGATTGTTTGCTGTATCAGAGTACTGGTCAGGGAAGTAGGTCCATCCTAGATTCTGTGATCTACAGGCCCCTGAGCGAGAGCAGCTTGCGATTTATAATCCCATATATTCGGGCGTTCCATGGCCAGGTGTGCATCTCCTATGACATCACTGACGCGGGGCTAATGGCAACAGACCTCCTTTTTCGACGTTCCACTACACCAGAACTTTCATAGAGCAAGCAAAGAAGGTGCTTCATACGACTTGAGGACCATTTTTGAAGGTTCTCTGGTAAAATTGAGGCCAGGAGATGCTGTCACTTTTGTTGACAATCACGAGTGAGTGTTGGCACTAGATATCTACAGTTCCATGAGTAACTGTTTCTTTTAATAGCACGGTAAGTAAGCGTTTGATAACTGCACATGATTTGGCCAATGATTGTTCCAGCAAGTCGGCCAGTCTCTGGAGAGCTGGGTAAGCCGTTCGCACTTCTTTGTTTGGGGGCTTCCGAGCAATTTCAATTAGGTGGACACCAACTTCAAAGCTCAAGCGTACGCTCTCATCCTACTGCGAAGTCACGGATATCCGTATGTGCCAACTCGCTAAATCACCGGCCCTAACACGAATGTCATGGCAGATGTGTTTTCTATGGTGACCTGTATCCCAATGATGAGTGCTTTGACGAGGGCACCTCCCGCACCCTGAAACAGTTACTCCTTGCACGGAAATCGTTCGCATATGGACCTATGGTAGATTACTTTGAGCGCAGAAATTGTATTGGATTCGTACGCATGGGTGATTCCGATCATGCTGGGTGTGTAGTTGTGCTCAGTAATAACCCGATGTGAGTCTCTTCGTGTTTTTTGCACATGCTCATATGTTAATCACTTCCTCAAGGATGGACCCAACTACGTCCAAAGTTCGAATGAACGTTGGCCCAGTACGTATCCATTACAAATTGCAACTATAATCTACTCATTTCCCGTATTCTCCAGCACCAAGGGGCAACGTTTCACAGCTTGTTTGATGACACCCGAACTGTCGCAATTGACCATGACGGTTGGGGAGCATTTCCCTCTTCAGAGGACTGTGTCGAGGTCTGGATCAAAACTGGAGAACATCGATAGCCAATAGTTCCAAGAGACACTAGTACTGCTTATGTGCAAATAAATATTGGACATAAAATACAATATCGTGATGGTGGTTCCCCTTTTATTTAGCAAATGTAATGACAGACTCTTCTGACTGTGTTTCGAGATGCGAAGGTGATCCAAAGTCACTACCCTGCTGCACTCTACTGCGTTCCTGAAGCTCGATATACGAATGTGATCTTAAAGCACTACTCCGGATACTACTGCTTTCATGCCCGAAATAGTTGTCTGGGATATCTTTCTCTAGACGGGGTTGTCTAGGTCCATATTCAAGTTGTGGTATTGTAGTGAAAGTCGTGCTATCTCTCCGTTCTGTGGTATTCCGAGGAGGTTTCACGCCGTCAAATAAAGCAGCAGTTTCTTCCAGAGTGCGACCTGAAGAAAAAATCCAGAGCCGCTCCACAAACCACAAAAACAATGAAAGTCACCTTTCGTCTCAATAACGAACACCATCACAAACACTAACTCCAGAACGAGCCATCCACAGTAAACAAGGTACTTTTCGAGATATTTGTCAACCAGAAACTTGAACGAGATACGACTCACATATTTCCAACCTATGGCATCGAGTGCCCACGGATTGACGAACGTGTTAAAAGTGTTGAAAAGATATGAAGAAAAGCTCTGTGCATGATATTAGACGGTGTTCAGAGACGAGTCACGAAAGTTCCAACCTTGATTGCAAGTCCCCTGGCGCGAATATTGTAAGGTAGAATCTCGAGTGTGTACGAAACAATTATCGGCGTGTATGCAAAGTCATAAAAGAAGAAGAACATAAAAATGAGCGGTACAGTAGCTGTTCATACTTGATCAACAATCACACCAAGTACAACAAGGTTTCGCACTTGCCTTTCGCAGCTACAGTACTCCCGGTCTCTTTGAAAAGAGCGGTGGTAGTTGTCCACATAGAAAAGACTGCCCAGACGATACAATAAGCGATGTTCTCGAATCAGCATGGCGTCACAGAATAGTACTGACCGATCAACATTCCAATATTCGAAATCAGGAACAACTTCCTTCTGCCCAACTTGTCCACAAGCATTGTGCCCAATAGAGCACTAGCGAGATTAAAAATCTACATATGCAAGATAAGCATCAACTCCGGCAGCTTCTAAAAAACCATGGATGAACCTGTAAACCGCCGTTAATTGCTGCTTTTGTCTGAGTCGTGGTTATGCCACTGTTAAACTTTTAGCCAATGTGCCACCGTGCCGACCTTGAGAACATACATGCCGTCTAAAACGATGTTGATGTAATACGAGACGAGACCATTACCGCTGAAAGGAGCATCAATTCCCGTACTAAACTAGAACGAGGTTAGCCAAACCTCCACTGCGAGAATACTGCCAGCGATATAATGATAAACATGCGCCGCCTGTTACCAGGAGTTGCGAAGCACGTCAGATAAGACGGACTGGAGGCAATCTCTCGTTCGAGGTTCAGAGCATGTCGGATTTGAGCCATCTCGAATGCTACTAAATGATGGTCACATTCGTTTGTCCCATTAGCATGGTACTGAGCGAGGACACGCGCAGCTCGCGATTCCTATAAGAATAATGATGAAAAGCTCGACCGATAAATTCTAATTGATCGGGAAAATTCCTCTTGAATGCTCACCAGACCTTTAGCCGCTAGGAATCGAGGGCTCTCCGGAATGAACCTAAACACAATCAAAAGTGCTAAGTCACTCTGAGCAATTCAGGAGTCAACAATGCCGACCATATCAACATCATTTGCAGGATAGGAACAGCAGCTTGGAGAAATACAGGGACTCTCCATGACCATTGCGATGTCCCTGCTTGATCATAGGCAACCAGGCAGATCCAAGACGCTGCAATACATGTCAGAAGTTAAATCTATGTCACTGAATGCTACACACAGATAATGCTGCCAAGATACCACATCGAATTGTATAGAGAGGTCAATTTTCCGCGCTTAACTGGGATTAGAGAACTGATAATGGACGAGGTGATTGGACACACATGCGTTGGATAACTAAGTTCGCTGATAAGCAAGGGTGCGGCATTGATGGAGAAAGCTATGCCTAGTCCGACTACAAGATAGGGATAAGCATCCAGTCATTCCGTGAATGGGAGTCTTACTGAGCACACGAGCGCCAATGAATACTTGCACGGTGGTGCATAAGGCTTGCGTGAGGACACCAGCTAGCGCGAAGGTTGCCCCGATAAACATAGATGCTCGTCGTCCTAGCAAGTCAGACACATAAGGGGAGAACGGAATCCCCTAAAGCGAAAGTGAGCTGAGAGTAATTTAAACGATCTGCTACAGCTTACGCTGAGGGCGCCAATTCCATGGGCAGAATTTATGAGGCCTAACAGCTGTGAATAGAGGGTTACAACAATGCTAGGACTGCCCACCTAAGGTTTTCCCCTGCGGATTATGGAAGTACTCTTGCCATCCGGGCAAAATCTGCAGACCTAAGGTAGTTTGAGTCGACCATATGATGGTGAATGCTCACGACTGACCGTTTAGTATAGACGAATCAAGGCCATTCAGTACTGATGATAGCAGTGGTAATATCAGATAGATATTTAAAACCAGCAGGCCTGGGTGCCGACATTGTCAAGAAATCAGTTTATTTTTATGCGCTTAGCCAAGCTCATACCACGATTCTTCCACCACGACTCTTGATGAATGAAGTCTGCAATCGTGTATTCCGGGACTGCCATCGAGGTGAAGATGTTAAGTTGACGAGTGGTTGGGAGGAAAGGAACGAGAAGTTGAAGGTGATTAATTCTTGGGGTATCGTGATATACTGTGCTATGTGCTTGCCATCACTTTCAGATGATCAAGCACAAGGGTCGCCTCGAAGCCTTGATTGTAATCGCGCCATACATACTTTGGTAAACAGAGATGAAATTTCGCAGTTCGGCACATTTCTTCCCGAAGTAAAGACGTGGTGAGAACGAAGGCGGCGGGTAGGCGGTGGCTCAACTATTGACGCATTATGCCTTCAAACCTTAGATGCAAGGCCATGACAACCCGCAGCAAAACCGCGATGAGTCCCAGGCCCGACCAGTCTGTATTTGGCACGGCTTCTCGCAGTAGGCAATATTGGTTTGACCCTGTTCCCCTACGTTCTTGTTGTAAGTGTTTAATTAGTACTGCTGTGCTCACTCACTCTCTTTTCGTAGACTCTTTTACAGTACTCATTATGTAAGTTCAAGCCCAGCGATCGAACAGCTAGACAGCCTCGTCAGTCCAGACTGAGCGGATAGTATTACCATGGTCCCAGACTGTGATCACAAACGTTTTTACCTAGATTCGTTAACCTGGTCCTGCAATGAAATATATCTACTGTAGGTCAGGCCCACAGAAGCGGCACTGCGGCACTTCCACGACAAGACTCGTGCTGATTTTCTGTTGGTTACTAATGGACACGGTTAGGGAGATATCTCAATTCCCCTTTCCTGCCGCGATGATAGTCGCTGGACCTATAATGTTCTAGCCTTAGTAGGAGCCGGTACCCGCTATTGTCGATTAACTCACAGTGAATTTCCCATGTACTACTTCACAGATTTTTATCATAAAACCATTATACATGTAAGAAGTATACATTTGTTAAGTGGTCAGAACTCACTGTCTATGTAATTGTAAACTGCAGTGGATAATTTGTGTCAATATGTTTACCAACTGCTGTGAAAAACGTTGGAGTGGTGATCGTACAGCGGCTGTGAAAATTTGCATTATAACCGTGCCCCGGACCCTGGACCCTTATCCCTAGTACTTACTTGCAATGGCAATATTAATTTGTCGCTGACCTGACAGCTATTCTCAGATACTCATCAATGGACTGGTGAACAGATGATAATTAGAAAGATTTGTATATCGCCTTCAAAACAACTCCCGACTCTCGGCAACGCCCGATCTAAGCGCTAGCCCAGTCACGATGGTGCCTTGCCTAATACCCACTCGTTGTGCTCTCCGCCTTCCTGGCCACGCGGTGAACAGCTTCTTCCATCGCACACAAATACTCCAGTGCAGCCGCGTATTCGGCTGCTGTTGATCTGCACGGACCCTGAGTCACTAGGAGAACTGAACATCCAAGCATTCGTTAACAACCTGCCAAGCCTGAATCGCTCTTCGCATCTTGCTGCTCGTACAGAAAGCTCCGGTCCGATTGCTCTTTGTCCTTTCAGAGAATGATAGACTTGCAATAGAGAGATATACTAAGGTGTGATCGAGATTTTCAATGAGTTGGTTGCATTCAAAATACAAACTGGGATCCGGAGAACTGGAAGTAGTTGTCAGTGTCTGTTCCCGAGCAGCGCAGCTGATCAAGGGTGCTTTCCCGGGTGGAGATTATCCTGAAGCAACCTCGGGCAGCTCGGCCGCCGGGAGTCAAATCGCTATCACAATAAGATACATACACTCAGGCTGGTCATCCTTTCAAGCCGTTTCTGATATGCTTCTGATTGCTTCAGGCTGCTCCAGGTCAATCCCTCGGCTCTCCTCGGTGCTTCGGGTCGGTGATATCGTGTTTGAATTCCGCGATAATCTCGAGAGCATTGACTTCAGCGTTTCGCGTGTCAATAAGCTCAACAATAATATGGAATTTGTAACGTGTGTTTTTACCTGGCTCTCTATCAATTTATAATTTGACATCTGAGCATTGCACAGAATTCAATCGGTATAAGTGTATGCACGCCGTAGATGCGATGCAAGCTTTTTGGACAAAGAACACTACAAGACCGTCGCGTTTCACTACCGTGCAGAGCAAAGTGACTACCTACGCAGGTGTCTAGTAATGAGTCGCGACCGACGGCTTGGATGGCCACTCCCCACACCCGACTGATCATACCGGGGTAACATATTTTCTCAGCTGGCATTACACGTATCCTTTCCCTTGTGGGTCTATCTTGGACTTCGTGATCAAGAGCCATTTATTCATGCTTCCAACGATCAAGTGTCATGATGTCGCTCGTATCGTGTTCGCATACATAAAGTATCGTGCTATCCTTGTTCACATTTCGACTCATCCCTGCATACGACCACTCACGTATACGATCATTCGTAGGAGTTCTTGGGGCACACCGAAATATTTATCCGACAGTTCCTAGCTGGGCGGCTGCAATGCACCCCGCGCAATATAATGAACCTATGCTATGCTCAAGGCCGTACTGCGATCAACCGGATACAAGGTAAAACGTCAAGTTTGCTGGCTAACCTACATACTAAACATAGATCTGTGCAGCGAGGATATGCCGGAGCATGCCACCCTATGTCACCACGTGGATATCAACGCCATACTCCGTTTATTTAATGGGCGCAATCACCAAGATCTTGCCGTTCCCTTCCGTGAAACACCGAGGTTGGGAATTTCATTTCAATACAGACGTGTTTGTTCAAGGTGCATGGTTTCATCAGTGGAGTTGACTTGAATTAATCAAAGTGCGCAGTTTCGTAGGTTGAATTTATTCAAGTTAAATCATATTTGAACCGCTACCGCTTGCCCTATGGTCCCAAGATCTATCTTGAGCTTGTATCCCTTATCAACAACAGCTTGCTGAGTTGTATCACCGTGTCACTCTCCCATTGTCTACGAGAATTTCTCGCGATTTAATCAGCTCTAACTTGAAAGCTTCCGACATCCGTGATCCATTGCGATGCGAACGCCGAGTACCTGTACCTGACCCGCAACATCGCAGCGCTCCTCCCAATTCCGTAATTGGACTCCGCAAGTAAACGACCCTTGTAATGCCAAAATATAGATTATTCGGACCTTAGGAAACTTTGCACTGTACAACAGCCACTCCCAGGTATCCAAAGGTAAAATGTCAGCCGGAATATCTGTGACAAAAGAAGGCGCAATTCAATCAAAGTTGTGAGTAATGAGCAAGTAAGCTCAGTCGCATGAGGGAATGTAAACGTCAATCGGATAAAACTCCCATACTCCTAAAAGCAGAAAGCTTAATGTACGTTATAGATGTCGCAGATAAATGATTAGCAAAAGAAAAGCTGTGAATGTCTCTGAAGTCCATCGACTGGTATCGGTCATTCTGATGTCAGAGAAAAACTAGAAAAGCAAGGCAGCAACAGCAGCAACAGCAGCACCAGCAATGCCGGCAGCGCCAACGCGGATGACATTGGCGGAGGCAGCACCAGAGCTTGTGGAAGATGAAGCGGTAGTGGTTCCAGTGCTCGTGGAAGTACTGCGGAACGGATGTGACATCAGATCACGTTGCAACTTGACAACAAGTTTAACTCACGTAGGAGTACTTCCACCAGCTGCAGTACCAGTGGTACCAGAAGTGCCAGTGGTAGCAGGAGTGCCAGTGGCAGGAGTGGTAGCAGTACCACTCGGTGCGGCAGCACTAGTTGCGCCAGTCGGACCCGATGAAACTGGAACACAAAAGCGAAAACAAAACATCAGTGGGGTAATAGATTGTTACACGTAATAAGAGACGTACTCGACGTAGTGTTAGTGCATGAAGTTGAAGCTACGCCAAGGTTGAAACCTAAGCAACCGATCAACAAGGTCAACTGAAACACGTACATCCGGGGTTTACAGTGAAAGGCGCCGACTGTGCAGTCAAACCAGTGCTGTCACGAAGGGTGAGACCAAGAGATGTCCCGGACGCGATGTTGCAGATCCAGGTCACCGAGGTGCTATTTTGCTGTCCCAAATTCTCAAGAGCAACACCATTGGGACTCGCACCAGGTAGGATGCTGAAATAGCTTTGAGTAAAATGTTAGGCGTATACGAAACGAAGTTATTACCTCTGTGTAAAAGGAAATAAAATAAAATTCGCCGAGGGTCAATGACTGACAACCATGTTACTAGGGTATTACTGACCAAGTAGTAGGGAGCTAAAACGCGGTCAGACACGGACGGAAGACTGCATGTTCGAAGAACTCACCAGTTCCACCGGACCACGCGAGGAGGGTGGGCTGGCACTCAACAACATTGGCACTGTTGCGAGGAAGCAATGAGGCCTCGACAACTCAAGGTACACGTGTAAAATTACTTACGGAGTGTTGATTGTGAACTGGGCGAGAGTACCGGCTACGAAGAGTAAGAGAGAGACAACAGAGTACTTCATCATGAACTTGTCGTTGAGCTGAACGAGGACAACAACGGGGGAAGGAAGTTGATCAAACTGCGTGGAAAAAAAAGTTGTAGGTTCTTTATTTATTCGCCCGACTCTATTTAATTATTACGTATTACTAGCTTCCAAACACACCACGCCAGCGAACGTTAGTACTGTATTGGAATAGTAACTATGTACTAAGTGCTCCTTGCCATAGCCATGCATATATAAGCTTCAACCAAATTTCTGTCTCGAGTCTCTCTGCATGGCTAGAATCAGTTTCGAATTTTTGTTCAACACTCGACGTTCGTTGAATCGTTGTTCGGGATACCGTTGATAGCGTAAAAATACATCAGATACTGGGTGCTACTACGTCCGCACTGTACGTTAGTGTTTTCATTGCACCCCGTCAATTCTCACCAGCTCCGATCTTTCGTTATCTCCTCAATCTTCACGCACGACGTGCACGCGTGTTACCAGCCCATAGTGGTCGCTCACCCATTTATCCCTCCCAATCGCTTCACCAATCCCTATCCTCTCTGGCTCATCCACAATGAAGCCCTCTTGTCCGGTGGTGAGCACCTTGTCTAACCTTCCGGGCGGTAATCGTCCCCGAGGCTGGTATCCCCAGGTAAAGCCTTCATCATCGTTATCATCACCTTCCCAGGCGTCATACAGCCCGGCTGCCTCCACAATCGTCTCGTCAGTGGGACTGATAGCATTCATATCCCCTGCTACAATTCCCCCGAAGATTCCCCTCCCACGCAATGCAGCTGCGATAAGTTGCAATTGCCTGGGGCGTGCCTCGGTTCCTTGTGGCATTGATTCAAGATGCGTGTTTGCAACGCGTAGCGTAACGATGCCTCCTGATAGATGAGGTTCGTCTTCGTGAGCCGGGACGCTCAGTTTAATATCAACGAATAGAGCATTGCGTTCCATATTAGAATTGCTGAATTCGATGGTCGAGACATTGACCACGGGAATTGTGCGGGAGACTAGCGTGACATTTCCGTACTTTGCTTGGTCTGGCCACTTGTCCACGCTAGTGGGAACAACTATGAAACACCGTCGTACCCATTCGGCATTGAGGATCTGCGTGAAAACTGACTCGTGTACCTCCTGCAACAGGATGCAGCATGGTTCAGGCCGTTCACTGACGGTCCTGCAGTCAAGAACGTGTTGTTGGATGTAGGAGAGGGCAGTAAGAAGCCGCTTCTTCTTATCAGGAGCCGTGAAGTCGATGTTCCATGTCACGAGGCGGAAGACAGATGGTAGGGGCTCCCTGACGCCTCTGGCGCAGTTGGAAGTCTGTGCCCAACGCTTTTTGCGAGATGAATAACGCACTGCGCGGAGTGGTATTTGGGCATCTGGCTCATGCCGCAATGTCGGACGCACTCTCACTGGCAGGGGAGGAGCTTCGTCTGGCTCCGTTTCATAGAAGTCGGAGGGCGGGGAAGGTATAAACGATTCATCAATATCAGACATCGTTGAAAGATGGATGGATAGTTGATCAAGTCTTGATCAAGATATCGATGAGCGACCGAGTGCGTAGGGGATGTCGAATGCTCCACTGGTCAGCAGCTTTCAGTTTCAGGATAAGTTTCAGGCAATAAGTAGTCGCGCAGTCCATGATGATCGGTTGTAAATCAGTCCTCGAGGCTCCTCGAGGCCTTCCATTTTTCGATGTTATTGCAACGTGCCCTTCAGAAATTGAAACCGAGTCCTGTTTTAGTCTTTCGCCAGCGTCTACAAATTTCGATAGGTGCTAAGTTGGTGCTAAGGTTCCCTATTTATCTTCACTATTGATTGCGTGGTAGAGGAAATCACCGAAACAAGCCCACGATGACATGTCCCGCTTGGAACTGACGGGCATGAAGCTCGGATTAATAGATAGCACCGACATAACATGCAGATTAACAATATATATATGTGTGGGTCCTTCACTATCATGCGTGCATAAATCAGATAAGCGTGCGACATCAAAGCTCAGCCGTGACTCTGCCGATGACGCTCTCAACCTTCTCCTGTGCCTCCTCTAACTTTTGGGCCACAAATGAACCCAAGACGTTGGCCTTCATCTTGATCTCATCGAGCTTGGCAGGGGACATCGTGCGCTTGCTGAGGATAGAAGCGAGGCTGATAAAGAGATATATCGGTTCATGATCAGTTGGACGCCCACAGATGCCCACTGCCCAGTAACTTACCGCTTAGACTCCTTCTCAATATAGGATTCCTGGTCGTTTACAACTTTCTCCATTACACGGATATAGTATTTTGCCGTCTCGCCGAACGATTCGGAGAGCGTCAAAGCTTCCTTATAAACATAGTCACGAGCGTCACCAGCAGCACCCAGGAACTTCTGGGCAAGGGTATCAAGTTCCGCAATACGGCCAGCCTGCACTGTTTCAGGAAGGGGTTTGGTTACCGGTTGACACGTGACCCACCTCGTCATTGAGACCACCGCCAACGGCGCGCTGAGTTCCGCAGCGTTCGTTGAGGAAAGCAATGAATGCTTGTTCGGTGCGAGGCCCTTCATAGGCCTCAACTTCCTTTCCGCCACGAGGGAAGAACTTGATGGTAGGGTAAGATGACACTCCGTAGCGACCAGCAATCTCCTTGTTCGGTTGTGCGTCCGCGTCAATGTTGGCAACAACACACTGCAAGAAGTATGCTGATTAGTTGAAACAGAAAGTATATCATCGGGCAGCACGCACGTTGCTCTCTGGTTTGAAGTCAATCGCAACTTGTGTGCAAGCATTAGGGAAATTGTCCGAGAAAATAAATACTGACGCCTACCTTGTTCATAGATTGGCTTGAGGCTCTTGCAATGCCCGCACCATGGCGCGGTAAATGTGACAATAACGTCTTTTGTCTCGTCCAAGGCAATATCATCAAAGTTGTGGACATCAAGGATCAAGGTTTCAGGGGGCGGTGGGGGCTTGATGTTCGATTTCACACCAGACTTCGCAGTGATGCTGAAAGAATACATTAGCACGGGGAAGGCACATAAATTTGGTGAGCGCACAAGGAAGCAAGTGCGTCAAGGTCTCGGCCGCCTTCATAAGGCTCGACGTTGCCTTTCTCGTCAAACCACTTCAAAGCTGCAAACATTGAGTATGGTATTCGTAGAAATTTCATGTGGAAACTCACTGGGGTATCCAGTAACACCGTATTTTTGTCCCAAAGATTTACCGGCGCCATCAGCATCGACTTTGGCGACGGTAACTTTTCCCTTTGCATGCGCAAAGGCATCTCCAAGTTGCTCGTATGTAGGTGCGAGGTTCTAGAGTGAGTGTAAGTGTTTTGGGCTGGTGTTGTCACAGGGGCACATGCCTTGCAGTGACCACTATACCGCGAGGAGTTCATCAACTAGGGTTCACGTGAGAGTGTAGAACACAACGCACCACCAGGGGGCAAAACTGGGAGTGGAAGTTTAGGAAAAGAGTTTAGGAAATACCGCGGCAAGCTTACAATTCAACTAAACCAGGCTTCCCCTTGCCAATTTCGCTGTCAAAATTGTCCGGGGTGAGCTCAACAACGTTGGAGGCACTAACGCCAGCCAACAGTCCCGCGAAAAGAAGCGACAGCGACAGCTTCATGGTGGTTGAACAGTAGAAAAATACTTAGAGGCGACGTGGAGCGTTTGAAGTCAATAGATGCTATGCCTTAGTCAGCGGCTTAGAAGACTGAATCTACAGATAACCACGTGGTCGATTATCGATATCTTTTCGTTGTCATCTTTCGGTGTATCTAAGCTTTACTCAGCGCGAGATTTCTCAGCAATTGCAGCCATATAAGAGGGCTCCTCCAAAACAACGCCTACTATACCACCCAGATATTACCAATGAATACGGCCCAGGAAACAGCAGAGTACGTTGAAGAAGAAGAAGGGGAGGTGTTCATCGACTCGGGCGATGTACTTACAGAGGTTGCCGATGACGGCGATCATGTTATGGACGAGGATGATGAAGCAGAAGACGGGATCGACGATCTTCCATCTAATGTGAAGGACAACTCGTTGCAGCACTTTACCACTCACAGCGGCTCTGTGTTTGCTATATCATGTCATCCCACGGAACCGCTTGCAGTCTCCGGGGGTGAAGATGATCTTGGATACATATGGGACATTACGGATGGAGAAGTTATTGTGAAACTGACTGGACACACGGATAGCGTATGCAGCGCGTCTTTCAGCAGCGATGGTCAGATGGTCGCGACTGGTGGAATGGATGGCAAGGTGAGGATATGGAGAAGAGTTGGCACAGTGGACTTCAGAAATTGGGAGTTCTTGACTGAACTTCAGGGCCCAGATGAAGTGATTGTGAGTGTATCAGTAAACTCCATATTCACATACTAACGATGATTCAAATTCAGTGGCTACGCTGGCATCCCCGTGGATCAATTTTACTCGCAGGCTCCAATGATTCTACGGTTTGGTTGTGGCAATGTATGTCAATGATATACCAGCCGGCCCCTGATCTACTCACGTAAACAGTGCCATCGGGAAATACCATGCAGGTATTCGCTGGACACAGTGGTCCAGTTCAATGTGGAGAGTTTACGCCTGACGGTAAGTCCGACGTGCTGGAGCCCCATAAATAACATCAACTTTTGGTTTGCTAGGCAAGCGGATAGTAACCGCCTCTGAGGACGGAACTCTCATGTATTGGGATCCGCGATCACCAACTCCGTTGTTCAAACTCTCACCACAAGACGCCCGTTTTGATCTTGAGAACATTACATCTCTTGCAATAAACGCTTCTTCTACGCTCGCAGTTGTTGGTGGAACATCGGGGAGTGTGCGTGTAGTAAGTCTCAGCAAGGGTGAGGTGGTCGGTGCCCTTGGAGGACACGCTGAGGGGGAGAGCGTTGAAGCTGTACAATTTGTCGATCTCGCTGGAACAGGGAGCAGCCCTGGTGTTGTAGTCACTGGTGGGACGGATGGAAAAGCGTGTGTATGGGACCTCACCACAATGAGACTCCGCGCAACTCTCGAGCATCAGGTAAATTGATGTTTGTATTGGAAGGTTACTGCGCTCATATTCCCCAAGGATGCAGTGACGTCACTGCTGGCTCACCCGTCACCAAAAAGTCACTTGATAGTGTCAGCGTCCGCAGATAACACCCTCCGCACGTGGGATGCTCGCACTGGCGCGCTAGTTAAGGAACACACCGGGCACCATGGCCCTATACTTAGCGCGTCTCTTGGACTTCAAGGTTCTGTGGTTGTTAGCGGTGGGGATGATTCGGCTTGCCTAGTCTTCACTACGGAGGTCGACGAGTCAGGATAGAGGTCTGGTCGCTTTGTCATTTAAGTTCCTGGCACGTCGCAAGAACAAAACTCTTGTACAATCCAGTTGGAATTATAGATTATTCGAGAGTATGTGACTTGAGTAATACCGTGCAGTACTGCGGACAGACGACTCTTGGATCCCAAGCCAGCCAGTTGGTTAGTAACCTCCATCGCCATGCTTCCGATCGAGAAAACGGCTAGAAAGAGTAACAAGAAATTCAAGTTGGATGGCTGCTGATATACAGATGTGTGCATTCACAAGATCGTACAGCAGACTGCGATTTGAGTTCAATGGTGTCAGACATTTTTGATGGTCAAAGGATGGGAAGCACTAAGTAAAGATTCAGAACGGAAAGTCGGAGGCTTCAAGTGACATACCACGTGATCCGGAGCACTACTGGGGGCGATTCAACGTCAACTCGGAGCGCTACTTACACTGGCACTTACCTGACCTGTAGATTGCTACTTAGTGGATTTCCAGATATAAATTTTGCTACAGTAGGAGAAACTAAATGAAGAGCAGATACTTAAGTTACAGAGAATAAAACAACATTAATATTGAATGTATTACTCTAGTCGGATGTGTACTAGTCATCTCAGGTCTGCCAGAGCCACGCCACCCACGACTCATCACTCAGATTATACACGATCAAACATCAATATCCTTGTTCTTAATCCTTGTATTCGTTCTACTATACGTCTGGGAATCCATTATTTTGATTGACAGTCATGTATAACGGCTTCCAAGCTGATAGCAACAACCCGTTCTTGAACGAAGCTCAGTCTGCCCCTGCACACGCCCGCTTCCCCGATATTTCTGCATCGACCTATCCACAATCACCGCCGCAGGTGGGCTACCAGTCTTACGACACTGGGTATCAGCAACAGCCCCAGTTCCAACAACAACAATATCCGCAGTTTCAAGGACAAACACCCTATAACCAGCCACAGCAATACCAACAGAATCAGTATGCGTCTACGTCTTATGGTTTGGGGTATGTCAATCGTATACAGTATTCATTATATCGGCTTACTTTCCATGTTTCACCAGACAACTTGGCCCACAGCCAACTGGCATGCCTTTTCAGCCGTCTAGTCATTTCGGACAACAGCTAGCGTCCCAAGTAGACTTCCAGCAGCCTTATCAGCAATATCCTAACGGTTACCAGAATCAGTATGTTCAACAGCCGCAACAGCAATACGGAGGCTACCAAGGTGGCTACCAGCCTCAGCAGCAAACCCCAAGTCATCTCTCTGAGTTTGACCCATACGCGCCACACCCTACTACCCCTTCACACAACAGGTCAAGGTCTCAGCCAACCAGCCTTTCAAGCCAGAATCCTGGTGGTGCGATGCACCCTCGGGATTACATCCGTCAATATAAAGTTGAACTGGAGGCTTGGGACCCTTACACGTGGAAGCAGATGTTTAACGCCTGTGGTACGCTCAACGCAGCCTGGCTTACACGCAAGCAAGAGGCGGAGAGGGCAGTGCAGCAGCTAGGTGGGAACGGTGCACCGGGATTATTCGGCCCAACACCTGGTTATCAGGCGTACGGCAGCGAACTTCAGAGGTGGCAGGAGGTAATTGCTTCCTCATCGAATGCTTTACACTTGCTCACCCATTCCTCCAGATTGTGAAGGAAGCCAACTTGCATCATGGTAATCTATGTCTTCTACTGCGAGTTTTGCTAGTATTCATCACGCACTTTCTGCAGATACCATCGCGGCCTCTACATTTCAGCTGAAAGAGGTTCACTCCTCTTATAGACAGTCAGGTGATGCTGTGAGCAAGCGACGTGTGCGCGAATCTTGCAACGCTGCACTGTCGAACTTGCCCGACTGGCCTGCACCATTAAATGCCAATTAGTCTTGGCAGAATTTCTTCATCTTGCTATGGGTCATCAATGGGATCTACGTTACGATTGTTTACGCAACATGCTGCTGTATTTCTTGCACGTTTATTCTTAACTCTGTTGTAGATTACTAAGATCCGCGTCATGCTGTATTCCTGCGCATTGAGGGCGGTTTTTCTGTCTCCTTTTACATTATTTTCTCCTTTCTTTCTTGCAACCGAAACGAATGGGGGTCCAAGGTGGAAGTAAGTAACTACGTCATAATTTGAGACCTCGGAACTTCATGCATCATGTATCATATGTGCACTCGCGCATGGCGCATTTATCGGAGCGTCGAAAGACCTCACATGAACAAGAGAAGCTTACCCGGTACTTGGTCTCTTAAAACGCAGCACTGAAAGCTCAACTGTAATGGATTTTGTCTTTTCAATTCATCAAACTAGAGTCTTCTGAATCGGCTTGTTGGATTCTTACAGGCAGGCTCAGCGAGCGACAGAATGATGATTGCTTCATGCATGTGGTGCTATCGTTGATTCATCCCACTATGATGAGCCAAATATGTTTTAGTTGTGTATACTTGTGTAGATGCATTATGTTGCAAAAAGCCACCACTGAAGTATACATCGCACGTACGTAGGACACAAAAATATGAATATGAATATTTTACAAGCTCGCAACCTATCGCGCAAAAGATACGCATAGCTATCGAGTGAAGAATGTGTAGCTTGGGAGGAAGGATTGACGTCGAGTGCACGGACACGTCGCTTGTGTTCTCCCAAAATATGTCCCACGAGCCGAATACCACGCATATGCCACGCCTGCGCTAATCGTGACAACAATCCAGATTCTATCGTTGTACTAGCAGGCTGTGGGGATGAGGCACCCACATTGCCTGATGATGCAGTGTCGCCCGAGACGTTGGACAGTGGGGATAAAACACCCACTCGTGGCTCAACCCCGGTTACAAGATCCGCGAGTGGGGGTAATACACCCACATAATAACGCGTTCGATATTGTGGCCACAGCCCCGCGTCGTCATAAAATAAGCGCCGTTCGGCCCTATCGAAAACCTCCCTGATATGATCTGTAGTTTCGCCCTCAAGGAGCGAGGAAGCATTGTCACAGACTGGCACGCTATGCGCACGACGGATAGCCAAGAAGGCCGGCCAGAGAGTAAAGATGTGGTGCGTGCTTTCAAACGCATCACAACCAAGATGACACCAAGGCGGCGTATCGCGAAAGCGGCGATGCCGCACTTGCGCGATGTCAAGTTGTGATAATCGGGCGTATAATTGTACGGCGGCAGAGAATGAACTAGACGCCCGTGTGTACGGCAAGTCATGCAGGAGATGGCGGTCGTACACTAGTGCGAGAGTAAAGGCTTGGACCGGGTAGAAAGAGTCGTTTGACGTATAAGCATCCTCAAGCCGGGGAACAACGAAAGAATATAATTACACTCGATGAACCCACAACCAGGTGCAAAGATAGTATAGTCATCCATAGAAAATGTCGCGCGCGGTGCAGAGGCAAGGCCCCCCGCTATGTTACGCTGAAGAGGCCATGTGATCTACATAATCGTTGGCTAGACATTCGGGTGTGAGATCGCCTGCGTGAGCAGTAGTCTAGAATAGCGAGAGAGAAGGAGACGGGCAATGTTACTGAAACTTCGAAGGAGGGAAAATAACTATCGGTCCAGGTTGTACAACGAACGCGCCGGTTGACCAATCCAGATGTAGGGCAGGGCACATCCAGGACCAATAAGTGCACGGTATCGTGTCTTGTGACCGGTAAAGACGGAGTAGGCCCGGTTTGGATTATAACAAAATAGCAGCTATGTAAGCTCGCCATGCAATACTTACAGTGTGTTGCATATCAAACTGCAGTGCGAATTTTTGAAAAATTCGGCCTCGCTGCCTTTACCGGGGCTTTTCCATCCAAATTAGGCAAAGTAGTGTCATACTTTCCGCGTGCTTGACCACATTTAGATACAAAAGTCTCGGTAAAGGCAGCGAGGCCGAATTTTTCAAAAATTCGCACTGCAGTTTGATATGCAACACACTGTACCTGCACCATGGCTCACAAGGAAATGGAAACCACATTACTTACGTTACTGTCACCTAGCAGTGACAGCGGCACCGATCGCAGCACACCGCCCCAAAATATGTGCATAGGCTCCGAGTCGGGCCCCGGGGTGCTGCGGTATTGCACAATTGCCAAGCTGCAGCGCTTATTTCCGACAAGTCTTGTCGAACACTCATCATCATGTCATTCTTTGAACAGCACCTGTTTGACAAGCCGGAGGCTCGATCACTGAGGCTCTGCAGGAAACTATCAGTGGGAACGATCAACATGATTGGGACCCAAATTTAATGCTGCACTGGAACCACGTTCCCGATTATGATGAAAATGGGCTTGAGGTGCTATGCTTTCTGACTTTCGAAACGGTCCTAGTTCAACTTGGCGCAGGCCAGATTTCAGATCTTCAGACACGTCAGGACCTCAGAAACGACAGGTAACAAAATCCCATGGAGACCTGACTTGGAGGAGAATTCGGAGTTGTGCGCTGTAGAAGGTGAAGTGCGTGCGAATCTGATCTGAGTACGGTAGAGTAAAATTTTGGGTGCCGCTGCAAGTCTTTGATGGGATTGACAACCAACTCGCTGGTCCACGACCCGCTTTGATTCGATTTCTTCACTGTCTGCCTTCGATTATCTCTCCCGCCGTGTCCCACCCCTGAACGCTTCCATCCCCCCTCACGCACGCAATTGTCTTTCTATCCGGTAAAGTGCCAGTGCACATATGCCCCTCCCTTGCCTCACGGTTCCCCAACAATAAGTCCCGTATCACAAATCCACCTGCGCATCTTGCCGTCGTCTGCACCAGTCACAACGCGGGTGTTGTCATGCAAGAAGATGAAAATCTCAAATTTTCTTTCACGGCCTTCAAATTCGTGCTTTGAAGTTGGTTTGTTGGATTGCGATGGCGGTTCAATCTCCGGCGTCGCGAGGGTTCTATAATCAAACAATGTAGCTTCCCGAGTACTAGTGCTCGTTGCCACAATGAATTTTAGTTCAGAAGAAATAATTTCCTGGACGGTCAGCGTTGTGGAAGGCTTCTGCGTTTTTCTGGCTGACTCAATTCGTGGTCAAGTATCACGGATACTTCGTGGCAAGCCGACAAGGAGGGTGAGTTGTATTTGTGTCGCTGGCATGAAGTCTGTGAGACAGCGCTAAGCGTCTTTCTACAGGTTCATATACTCATACAGCAAGCTTGTCTTCCATCTCGGTTGGCTCCATGCTTCCAAGCCATGAGTTATACCTACTATTGTTCCTCTTCAGAATGGCTCTTATACTGCGGCGGTATCATCAATATTCCGAGTTCAGCAAGTTACCTTGCCCGATTTTTATGCTTGGTTTTACAGCATATGGATGTCGGCATATTGCATGGTCATATACCAGCGCCACCATGTTTTTTAAAACCAGAGACAGGGATGAGCCATCCTGATGCATTCCTAACTTTTCAGAGGGAGGGTGTCATGTAACCAGTCTAGCGGTTGCTGTCCACCCAACGCCCAGTGCTTGTCATTTTGATGTTCGTAGTAATATCTTGCCATCATTGCCAACTTGCACGTGCGGGCTTCTCTGGTCGAGTTCGTACAGCTTCAAAGGGATTGCGAACTTCAGCCCGTCGGAGCAAGTTATTCTCTGACAGTGATATATACAGGTTTCAGGAACGTTATCCGCAACTCGTGGTGGTCCCGTATCAAGACAGAAGACAAATACATGTTATCACAACAGCCCCTGTGTGTAAATTTAAAGAGTTTAGAACAACGGCCGCCCCCTTGCTGATTTCGGAATATGGGCGCGATTACGCGGCCTAGTACTCCCCTCCTTCCATTGATCCGATGCGAGGCGCTTATGATTGCATCAAGTCTATTGCAACCAGCTACAACCCTAGTTCTGTATTTAAACCGATGACATTTATAGCCTCCATTTTCAAATTACCAGCCCCTTCTGGAATACACGCAAATCTGTCACCTGACCTCAGCGGCCATCATGATTCACCAATGTTGGTTGGATGGTGTTCATGCACCTATACATGTACTGGATGGCTCCAAGACGTCGCCGCAGCCCAGAAATCAAATCCCATAACATACTGTTGGATGACGGTACGTTTTTTTGAACTGCGGAGATATAATTAAACTTGCTCCATCATTTGACAGTTCATTAAACACATTAACAGGCAACGTTACGCGGAGGGCGGCAGCTACTTGCACCTGAAAATTGCTGTAAGCCGACCGTGCGCCTACGGAGCCCATTCAAATCTGTCACTAGTTACTGAGCAACTACTATGCAACGTGGCTGCGTCACGAAAGATCTGCCGAAGCTTGTGCTTATGAATCTCCATACCGGTCTCGAACTGGGCAATTCATCGATGCTGTGTCTCAGGTCAGGTCTTGAAGACCAATAGTCATGAGTATTTTGTTAACTCTTCCGAGGCTTGGTGTACATGTTCTGGTACTGGCATAGGTTGGCTAAAGATCGGACCCTATGCATTATACAAAGTGCTCCGTCGTGTCCTACTGGATTCCTACATGCCCAAAAGAGGTCTCACGGCGGTAGGGGTAGCCGTCTGGAACTATTTAGGCGATACGCTGCGACGTCCGGCCAAGCTGTCATCCCACAGCGCAAGATGCGGAAGAAATCAAAGCGCATTCAGGCACTCCGGTCAGTTGACAAGTTCCTGTTGGGTGCTACCCAGATTCAAAGAACTCGTATCGCTGATTGGCGATATTACATTCTGAAGCCCAGTGCCTTTCACAGGTAATCAATTTTTTTTTCATTTTACAAGTCCGTAACACATTCGAGTTGATTGGCGGAGACCTAAAGGTGGGAATCTGCTAGGACGTACTAGTATGAGGAATTACTGCCTCACAGTCGATTATTTCGATCCACGAATCGGAAGATGTGTAGGCTGACTCTCAGTGGCAGCGTTGTGAAGCTGCTTGAGCGCGCAGGGAGCCCTGCGCTCATGCGGGCCGTGCATCCTGATACCAGGGGCACTACTTAAGCTGAAGGATGCGTTATGTCTCGCTCATCTTCCTCCCATTGACTTGAGCGTTGTGTCATGTTCCAACTCTATGTATTCTTGTGCTTTCTGGCAAGCCTCCAGAGCCACGCCGCGACTATTGGTCCAGTTTCTGACCTCGTCGTTGCCAATGGCATTGTATCCCCAGACGGGTTCACCAGGACGTCAGTGTTTGATGCATTTTCGACCTATTTGATTACTGAAGTCATTACAGGGCAGTTCTTGCCGGCGGTACTCATCCCGGGCCCACGATCATGGCTCAGAAGGTGGTATCTATTTTGCATGCGCAAACTCTTGGTTGACCTCATGTGTATTAAGGGGGATACGTTCAAGATTAACGTCACAAACCAACTAAGTAACGAGTCGATGCTAACGAGCACCAGTATCGTAAGCACCGTGACCGGCTGATAAATGCATGTAGGAACTAACAATGATGTCTATCGCAGCACTGGCATGGGCTATTCCAACATCATAGTAACCAAATGGATGGCGTGGCATTTGTTACGCAATGTCCGATCACTCCAGGATACTCTTTTTTATATGAGTTCAATGCTGGCGACCAAGTAGGAACCTACTGGTATCACTCTCATTATGGAGTTCGTACTTTAATTTTTCACGGTGTCAGAAACTGAATTCAATTCAGGTCCAATACTGTGATGGTCTACGAGGCCCGCTGATCATCTACGACCCCAACGACCCATACAGTTCGTTGTACGATATTGATGACGGTGAGTGATTTCGACGAAATGAAGTTGCGCTTCTCACATTTGAGTGAAGAGTCTAGCATTATCACATTGATGGACTGGTAAGAAAAGAAAAGGCTGATGGATCTTTTCCTGTTGTTAAATCAGCTTGCTTTGTAGGTATAACCTGCCGTCGCCTCTGGTACAGAGACAAGTGACTCCCGACTCGGTGCTTATTAACGGCGTCGGGCGTTACGATGGAGGGCCGGATGTGCCTCTCGCCGTCATCAATGTTCAGCCACGAAAGCGATATCGTTTCCGCTTACTGAACATGGCGTGCAAGTCCAACTACATTTTCTCGATCGATGGCCATAATCTTACCATAATCGAGGTTGATGGCCAATACGTCGAGCCGCTCGTGGTAGACTTTATTCAGATCTATGCTGCTCAACGATACTCCTTCATTCTTGAGACAAACCAGCCTATCGACAACTATTGGGTGCATGCCAATCCCGATTCGGGTACAAATGCCACAGCTATTTTACGTTATGCAGGCTCTCCCGATGCAGACCCAAAGAACATGACAATCTCGGACTTGGCAGCTCTAAATGAGACTAGCCTACACCCCCTATCACCGCCTTCATCTCGTTTACTACAGGAACCAGACGTCAAACTTGATCTTATTCTTGGGAAAAATCTGTCCAATTTCAACTTCCTCATCAATGGCGTCCAGTACATTTCTCCTAGTATTCCAGTCCTACTACAGTTACTGAGCGGTGATATGACGGCGGCGGATCTTGCACCCAACGGCTCCGTATACACTCTGCCACGGAATAAGGTTATCCAAGTTTCATTCAACCCCGATAATTCTCCTGGGGGTCCTGTGAGTCCATTATGTATGTCCTTGATCGACAGCGACTGACACATTTTGACAGCATCCATTCCACCTGCATGGGGTACGTCTTAGCGTGTCATCTACATACACCCGATGTACTAATAATAAGTGGTTCATAGCACACCTTCGCTGTCATCAGAAGTGCTGGAAGTAGCAGTTATAACTATGTCAACCCCGTCATGCGTGACACCGTGGACACTGGCAACACTGGTGATCGTGTGACTATCCGCTTCATCACCGATAACCCTGGGCCTTGGATGTTGCATTGGTAAGCGTCGTGTCTATGTCTTTTTAGCTGGCAATGACTTTCGGTCTTTGTGAAGTCATATCGATTGGCATCTCTACGCGTGAGTTGTTCCTTTCACTGAGCCTGGACTCGAATTAATGGGTCCATAGCGGACTAGCCCTAGTATTTGCAGAGGCTCCTGAAGATGTAGCGGCTTCGCAGCCTATCAATAGTAAGCACCGAGCACTATGAACTAGACCCAGTCTGACAATCAACGTTAGATGCTTCGAAGCAGCTCTGTCCGATATACAATAGCGTTCCTCAGCAATATTTCCCTCTCCCTCCCGTTGATTGATATTTTGTATTTTGGACTATGCCTCTTTTTGTTCTAGAGAACACCAAGCAGGAATTTTTTTGGCAAATGCGATTTGTACTAATAGATTCATAATAAAGGACACGGTAGATAGTAAATATCCCCTATTTGTAATGTGGAAGCTATGTTCGAGGTGTGGTGCCTTGTATTGTATATTCATTGCATGACTTGAACGTCTTGGCTGACTAAGCCTTCGGAATCGCTCCATGGGATGGGGAACCTTCCGATTCTCCTCGAACCTCCCTACTCCGACGTCATCCGCCTGCCGTGGATTATTCAACGCGTTTCGTCGATTTCCCCACTTGAAAACACATGTCGATGCTGTGAGCATTGATATCGATCCTGAAATCTAGTCATTCCAGCATACCTCTACAAAATCTCAACGTGGGCTTCTCTATCGTAGCAGATGCTAAAGTTGCCGCTCGTATCATTTTCAGCGTCGAACAAGTTGGCCATGCGGACTTGGAGAAGTGGGAGGTGAACCAGTACCTTCAATCTTCTGGCTGTCCTATCACACCGGAACTACTACGAGGTCCCGGCGACCTGAATTGGGGATTATCTGGTTCGGGGCGATTGTCCTGGAGTTGTAGTTGTTGATGGTTGCAACTGTTTTCTCCCCTCTGATGTCGAATGGCTGTATGATATACGTTTGTGTTACGCATGCCCTAGGTATTGATCACACACGAATGAACAGTTATCGTGTATTTAGGGCTACGCTCCAACATAAGCAATCGCATGTGCCCTGGCAGTGTCACTCAAGGCTAGTATCATTTCTTCTTGTCATATATATCATTCTACCTGGTACAGTTTTCCGAGTCATTGTTCTCTTGTCGTCCACTCGTACAGTTACACTGAAATACACCTATACTGTAGGAGCGTTAGTTGAATCCTCTCGCGAATGATCTCGCTGCATATCCCTCGAAAAACACTATCAGTCATCTTCTTCGTCTGTCACCATCATCCCCAAAGCATCTGACACCTCCTGCCATCGATTCCCACCCATTCCGTGGGGCGTGACGCTCTTAAGCCGGGGTGCCATCGCATGCAAGAACCGCGAGATCGAGATTGACTCCTCCGTCAGCTCTGACGATGACTCACGCAAAGGGCGCACGGGGCACTCGATCTCGATAGGCGACGGCCCGACTTCTAGTTTGGTGAAGCGCGTGTTAGGTTGCAGACCTACTTCGTCGTCGTCTGCATGTTTATTATCTGTAAGTACATCGACCCGCACCATGACATCCAGGCAGAGCGAGACCTCGCGCAACTCGCGACAGCGCCTGAAAAGGATATTCAAAGCATACAAGGATACGGGGGTATTGCGCGGCCCCAAGTCAAGAATGTGGAGATGAGGGCATGTACGAGCGAGCGTGGAGATGTCGGTGTCTGTGAGTATGATCGAGGTTGTGGGGCCAGGAGAGAGTACGAGGGTGCTGAGGCCTGCAAGACTTGGATGCGCAGGAAAGATATGAAAAGGTCCAAAGTGTCATCGGATGAGATGTGCAAGTGGGTGAGTGCCGGAAAGGGCTGGGAGATGTGGAGAGGTGCGGTAGGAATGTTGTCGAGACCTAGCTTTAAGGTGAGCGACCGGAGCGATGGCCAGGACATGATAACGTTAAGCACTGTGCTCGGGACATCGTATAAATACCCGGGCCGGTCAAGGAGTGTCAATGAAAACTCTGTGAGACCATCGGGATAGCTGATGAGGAGGGACTCGATTTGTGACAGATCTGAGTCTGAGTCTTCGTAGAAGAGGCTGCCCTTGATCTCAAGAGATTTGAGGCGGGGTGCGGAGGTATGGAGCGCAGGGATGATGGCTTTGCGAAATGAAGAACCGTCCGAGTCTGATAAGAGGTCGAGGTCGAGGATCTCAACTGTGGGTAAGAGGAGTTTGAGAACTGAGATACAGATGAAAGAACAATCGTTCCATGCGAGGGATCGTAAGTTTGGGAAGAAAGGTGCTTGCTTTTGAGCACATGCAAGAAGGGATGGATATGCATTGCCATCCTGACGTGGTTGTGATAGAATCTGTACGCGGGAAGCGAGGACCAACGGACGAAATGTATCAGGATGGAGCATTGAAGGTCTGGATGAGAGAGTAAGAGGCCATAAGTTTCTCAGATGAGAATAAAGAACATTCAACGCTAAATCTCGAAATGCACGGCAGGTGAGTGCAAGTCGGAAGGTGGAACGTCGATCCTGAGTTTCCGGTGATGGTATGAGATTAGGCAATAAATGTGAGCAGAAACGTCGTTGTCTATCGTTGAACACAAAATAAAAAATCACTTCCAGGATCTCACTTACGCAAAGACACTGGTGCATGTCGAGAGTGAAGCAGGTGTCCTCGATTTAGATTAGCATCAAAGTAACTTTGCAAAGTGCAGGGAAGTGTCCGAATAAAGAAACTCCTGGAAGCCTTTGCACAACAGACCAAAACAACGCTCACCTTCCCTTCTGACATACTAACTGAGGGCTATGGCGAATTCTAATATCAATACAACTCTTGCGTGAGGCGTGCAGCTATGCCTCGTACAAAATTTATCACAACTGTGGATTGTTGATATAGCTATCTCAAATCGATATGTAATCTATCTTGTTTTTCCTCACAGTATAACTGTTGACGGATGGTTCAGCACAGAGAATGCTACCCTCATCTTGCATCATAATCGGGTGTCTATATACTGGACAAATTTAAGCTATACAACTGCCCGCTCGTGCTCGAGTTTGCTGGCTGCTGTCTTAAGCAGGTACCGCTGCCAAAGTTCATGGTGGTGGTCGAGTGTGCCGTGACACTACTCCTCGAGAATGCCGTTGTTCACATCCTGGGAACCTTATCGGAGTTGTACTGCTCCATATGTAATGTGATCCTCTGGTGAATAACCACCGGTACTTTGATTGTCACATTCCACGTTTACCAAGGGTAAGTGACCTTTGTGATCTTGTGGACTGTGTGTGATGCTACAAAGCAGTATATTCTAAATTGAATTCACAAGCCCACAGGAGCGTTTCCTATATGGAAGTATCCACAGACGCTTCCATTTTTCCGATATGTTGTCGGGGCACAATGCTAAATCGATGGCTTCAATGCATGTCCACAGGCCATCCTTTGTCTACCGCTTTGCTGCCTGTCGCAAGTTATAAAAACCCCTCATCGTTATCTCGTCCACTTCTCTCATTACTGCTCTATTTTTCAACTTCATCTTGTCATCTTAGCCACTTCGCTTATTTGATTCATCGATATGTCTATGTGAGTCTACTCACATCTCAGTTCGATATCTTTATATGCTAACGATGGCTTTCACATCTAGTTCCTCATTTCACTCCCTTCAAACGCAAATCGATAGGTTGGTCTTCAACCTTGAGTTCAATGGCGGACTTCATCTTATCGTTTTCTTAGCGAGTCTATGCCTATGTCAAATGACCACCAGTCGCTCCCTGGCGACCCAGATTTCTTTCAGCTTACCCAAGAAGACGTAGCTAACTTGGTCTCGGTTTACCAAATCCAAAGTGATAAATTATCCCCTGAACTGCTCGCCCAGTGGGATGAGTACGTCCTTCTAGCACATTCAAATCATTTACTCAAGCTCACGACCTTTGACAGATTGTTTAACTACAGCGAGGAATTACGTGCCTGTGACGCAAACGCGCTGGCAGGCCAAGCCGATGCTAACGTTAATGGGTAAGTCGATTTAATTAGCCTACCTGGGCCAAGCAACTCACATCCAACCACAGATCAAACTATGATGAAGTAGCAACGCCGCAACAACTTGAAGGGTACGCGACACTCAAACAGAGTCCCCATCATTACTTATTTGTTTCTCCAGGACTTCGTCCGATTTACAATATGTTCAAGATCCTCAGGCGTCGTTTCCGACATTGGAGAATTTTACGGCCCCAGTGACTGATCTTCCCCAGTTACCCCACAATGATCCCGCGCTTTACTACCCTCCGCAGCCCAATGTTGTCCCGCAAGCGCCCCCCCCAAGGCGACGCATGGCCCCAGCATGAATATGGCCATGGTTATTTCATGAACGGGCCTCCCGGTGCGTATCATACACAGCCCTCTGCCGCACCACAAGGCCCCGCATTGCCCCAGTATGAATATCATCCTGGTGATGTGTATTATTCGCAGCCTTCTGCAGAAGTTCAAGCACCGCTGCAGGGCCACGCATGGCCCCAACATGGATATCATCCCGCACCCTCCTACCCTTATCAGCAACCTCAGACCGTCGCGGGTCCGTACTACCCTTACCAACAACCTCAGACCATCGCGGGTCCGTCCAACACGTATTACCCCACCGCGACATTCCCTCAAGGTCAAGTTGAAGATGCTCCCTTGCAGACGGTATCTAGTGCGGGCTCAAGTGTAAAGCCTTCTTCCTCTGCTCTCGACGAGACAGCTTCTGCAAAGCCTCGCAAGCGTAAATCCCGCGAGACCTTTATATTCGTGGACTGTAGTTCAAGTTCGTATGTTCCACCAACAACCCACAAGCGCAGACGCCAGAACGGCAAGGACCATGGCATCAGCCAGGGGAAGTTTGGCCCGTACACGCTAGCAGACGCCAGTGCCACAATCATGGTCATGCCTGTTCATGACCCAAAGCCGGTCGACATCAGTAGCCGCAGGACCCATGATCCCCACGGCAATCCCCTTCGGACGAGGAGATTTGGGGTGATGGAACTGGATGATTCCTACCCCAGCATGTCCGACAACGTTACGACGGAGCCCTCATCAGAACTGATCTGCGTACGCTCATGCGATTGGACTGACCAGCCATGTGGTCTGTTCGTAGAGGTGGACAAGATCCGGATCGAAGACCACCTATGGTGTTGGCATGGTGTGAAGAAACGCATTCTCTGCCAATTCGAGGATTGCTCGGACGTAGAGGTGATGATTGTTGAGAGGTGATCCGTCAGAGCACTGAGCCGGTTCCAGATAGATATATCTAACGGTTCCAGTTCTATGTACCTTAGCTGCCACTGTTACTGACTGTCATCCACCCTAGTTACTGACCATTTTTCTCTTTGCTACTTAAGGATGGCTAGACGCTACACCCGCACCTCAGTCTTTCTTCCATTGACTGAGGTGCGTATACCATTCACATTATACTATACATGATACTTACTAGCGCCCTACAGACTCGCGTTACCTTAGGTTAGCATACATGAACTAGTCTTTCTTCCATTGACTGAGACTCGCGTTACCTTAGTTCTCGCTCTCTAACAGGTTATGAGCCCTGCCTAAAGGGTAGCGCCATCTTCTCCTCAAAATCTCTCATTCCCGCCGATAATACTCGGCTCTGACGTTACCATGTCGTCTTCGGACTCCCTTCCCAAAACTGAACGATATCCGCATGAGAAGCTCACCCTCGACGGATCCAACTATTCTCAATGGGCCACTGGCTTTAAAATGTGGTCCGGCGGCATTGGGCTATGGCCATATGTCAACGGCGACGAGAAGGAGCCATCCCCCCCAGCCACACTCACGGACGTGGATCAAAACATCATTCGCGCAGAGAAACACGCTGAACGAGTACAAGTCTATAAACAACGCCGACTTCTCGCCCTCAGCGCTATGTCCATGGCGATTGATGCGCAGGACTTCGTCCACCTCCGCGATATAGATGACCCGCACATGGCGTGGATTGCTCTAGAAAAGAAGTACCTTCCCCAAAAGGCTATTCGATTCAATCAATACCTGGACCGCCTGTTCACCATTCCCAAGGCGCATGATAGTTCCTCCATCGCCCAAACTATGCAAACCCTCACCGTGCTAAAATCCGACCTTGCAGCTCTCTCTGTCACCACAGCAGTCGCACCCTCCACTTCCAGTGTCGTTACAACTGCGGCAAAGGACGAGTACAAGATCCCGGACGCGATCTTCGTGCACGTCCTGTTGCGCACCCTACCTGACTACTACGACCCCCTTCGTCAAACCCTCGTCAACAGCGATACTTCGCTGGACTTCAGCGATGTCGTTAACCGCCTGAAGACTCAGGAATTACACCGCGCTGGAACCAGTGGCAGTGACCATGTGGCCATGCTGTCTGGACATCGAGGAGGAAACTCCTCCAACCCCAAGACCAGCGATCGTGTCCCGCCGAAAGGTTTTGATGAGACAAAAGGAGATGGGTGGATAGTAGGATGGCGACCTAAGTGCGGCCATTGTCAAAAGGCCGGCCATGTCTGGGTACAGTGTCGCGCACGGCTCTCTAAGGACGACAAAACTCCAAAGTCAGCACCTCGTCCTTCCTCCCCTGCCACAACCGCCGCTAACCCGGTGCCCTCCCTGCCAGACCCAACTGACGAGTCTACCATACCACCTCCATTCGTCCTTACGCTGAAGGATCACTCAGCCAGTATCTCATCAGCCCTTGCTTTACCGGCTGGGTCCTTCCACGTAGACTCTGCCTCGACGGCTCACATGGAGCCTGAAATATCACGCTTTTCTCACTATACGAAACTGCGTGAACCTATCCGTGTGACCTTAGCTGATGAGCATGTGGTGTTAGCTCCAGGATGGGGTAAAGTGAAACTTGTACTGCGGTTTGGTGATTCGTTGACGGAACACGAGCTCGAGTTCCTGCATGTCCCCGATTTGCGCTGTACGCTCATTTCGGTATCCACCCTCGCCTCTGCTCGTATATCCTTCGCGACTACTTCTGAAGGAGGAACGCTGCGCTCTAACAACGGCAATGGGCCATACATCGCCCACGTGCACCAGAAAGACGGATTGTATCTGCTGGATGCAACGTACCATACGGTTGATTCCACCCCTGCACGCGCAATGCTCACAAAGTCCATGCCTCCATCTCTTAATACGTGGCATCGTCGCCTTGGGCATGCTGGTTTTTCGACCATTATGAAGGCCACGGGACATGTCAGCGGGATGAACATCGATGAGACCACCCTGCATCATGACGTCGGCGGCGCCGACACGATACATTGCGTGTCCTGCGTTATGGGAAAACATAAACGGCTTCCCTTTCCTACCATCGCACGCCGCGCTAAAGCGACAGCTGACCTCATTCACTCTGACGTTTGGGGACCGGTCAACATCACCTCCTCTACCGGTGATCACTACTTTGTGGTGTTCACTGATGACTACACAAGGTACTCCGTAGTTTACTTGATGCGTGCCAAATCCGAGGTCTTTGATCATTTCCAGAATTTTATCCCCTGGATAGAAACACAATCTGGGGGGCGCGTCAAACGGCTTCGCAGTGACAACGGAGGCGAGTACATGTCGAGGGAGTTTCTGGCCTACCTTGGGGAACATGGCATTGAGCATGAGACCACCATGCCCTACACTCCCCAACAGAATGGCGTCGCGGAACGCGGACACCAAACCATCGTCACCCGTGCACTCAGTTCGCACCACCTGAGCGGTTTCCCGCGTTCGTTCTGGGGCTGGGCGATTCTTAACTCAGCCCACATCAAGAACATGCTCCCTTCCTCATCTCTCGCTGGTCGCACACCCTTTGAGGCGTTCTATGGTCGCAAGCCGGATGTTGGCTACCTTCGTCCATTCGGTTGCCTTGCCTATGCGCACATACCAGAGGACACTCGTCGCAAGTACGACTTTGTCTCTCGTCGCTGCTTCCTACTCGGCCATGTGCGGAATGCAGGCTACACTCTCTGGGATCCCTCTACCAAACGCGTCGTGCGTTCCCGTCACGTCCACTTCGATGAACACGTATTCTACGGGGATCCTGCTTCCTCACCCCTCGCTCCTCTCCTTCTTGACTCGGCGGATCTCCCTGGTGCCACTTCATCGGTGGGAGGTGTCACTCAGCCAGTGGGAGCACAGGCTGGTGAGCCACCGCTATTGACCCCTGCTGACTGCGTACCACAGGTGTCAGTGGGAGAACGTGACAACCCACCTGACCATAACGATCCGCCAACAATCCCTGGCCCAACCGAACAGGCAACACTGCTTATCCCCCCACAGCAACCTCCAGTACCTCCTCCTCCTGCACCTCCTTCAGATGTTCCGCGTCGCAGCACTCGTTCACGCCAACCGGTACAAGCAGGTCATATCGCACCCTCTGGGACCAGCGCAACGGCCATACCAACGCGACGAGTTCCCGTCGCCGAACGCTGGACATATGTACCAGAGTCCTCGACCAGTCAGCACGACAACGACAGTACCGAATCCGCAATGCACACAGCTACCGAACCTCCCAAACGCTCAAACATAATCATACCCGAAACCATCAACAAAGCTCGGTCATTACCTGAGTGGCCTCAATGGTCAGATGCCTGCAAATCTGAGCTGCAGTCAATGCAGGACCTCAAAACTCACAAACTCACGCCACTCCCAGAAGGACGCAAAGCGATTGGTTCGAGATGGGTATTCACGGTAAAAACTGACGAAGAAGGCAACATCACACGTCACAAGGCACGCCTCGTTGCGCAGGGATACACGCAAGTCGAGGGGATCGACTATACAGAAACGTTCGCGGCTGTCGCCAAGTACGACACGGTTCGTATTCTCCTCGCCCTCGCGGCGAAATTCGACCTTGAACTAGACCAGATGGACGTACGTACTGCCTTCCTCAACGCTGACCTCAAGGAGGACATCTACCTCAAGCAACCGGCTGGTTTTGAAGACCCTGAACATCCGGACTGGGTGTGGAAGCTGGAGAAAGCGCTTTATGGGTTGAAGCAGGCAGGGTATGAGTGGAACCAGACGCTGGATGAGTACTTGCGGATAGAGGGGTTCAGATTCGTAAGGAGCGAAGCTGACCACAGTCTATATGTCCTCCACGAGGGGGACAAAGTCATATGGCTAGTCGTCTACGTCGACGACATGCTCGCAGCGTCGAACTCTCGCGATTACCTGGACAAGTTCAAGACAGAGCTAAAGCGACGCTTCGACTTATCAGATCTCGGTCCCGCTCGCCACTTCCTTGGCATGCACATTACGCGCGACCGAGAGAAGAGGCTCCTCACCATTAGCCAGAAGGCTTACCTTGAGAAGATTCTCAAGAACGCCGGCATGACACTGTGCAATCCCGTCAGTACGCCTATGACACCTGGAGTAACCTTGCAGAAGGCCACTCGCCCCCCAACGAGTGAAGAAGCGGACGCCATTGCGTCAATCCCATATCGCCGAACTATCGGGGAACTCAACTACGCTATGCGAACCACTCGCCCCGACATCGCTTACCCAGTTTCATGCCTCTCCCGATACATGGAGAATCCCAGTATCGACCATCATCGTCAACTCAAACATCTTCTCCGGTACATTCGTGGAACTACGGATTTAGTACTTATCTTCGGCTCGTCAAACGAGGGACTCGTTGGGCACTCGGATTCGGACTATGCTGCAGATCGGGACGATAGCAAGTCCACCAGCGCTTATGTTTATCAACTCTTCGGAGGGCCCATTAGTTGGAAGTCGCAGAAGCAATCTGTGGTCGCTACCTCGACCACGGAAGCCGAATATATCGGTCTATCGAACGCTTCACGCGAGGCCTTATATCTGATCCAGCTTCTACATGACTTCCGCCTCGACCCTGAACTCTACGACCCCGCACTCCTATATGGAGACAACCAGTCCAGTATTGCACTCTCGAAGAATCCAAGGTTCCACGAAAGAGCCAAGCACATTCGCGTCCACTACCATCTCATCCGTGACCTCGTCGACACAAACAAGATCGAACTCCAGTACAAATCCACCTCAGAGATGATTGCTGATAGTCTAACGAAGGCGTTACCCTCGCCCAGCTGGGGTCCAGCATCGGGAAAACATGGGACTACGTCGTCAAGACCTGCCAGGCGCTCTGACGAGTGGGAGTGTTGAGAGGTGATCCGTCAGAGCACTGAGCCGGTTCCAGATAGATATATCTAACGGTTCCAGTTCTATGTACCTTAGCTGCCACTGTTACTGACTGTCATCCACCCTAGTTACTGACCATTTTTCTCTTTGCTACTTAAGGATGGCTAGACGCTACACCCGCACCTCAGTCTTTCTTCCATTGACTGAGGTGCGTATACCATTCACATTATACTATACATGATACTTACTAGCGCCCTACAGACTCGCGTTACCTTAGGTTAGCATACATGAACTAGTCTTTCTTCCATTGACTGAGACTCGCGTTACCTTAGTTCTCGCTCTCTAACAATGATATATTTGAGCCGTCACATCGAAAGCATCCACTTTGAGGTGGACTACCAATGCCCCTACTGCAAAAGAATGTTGTCGAGGGCTGATTCTATGGGTCGGCATCAGAAGGTGTGCAAGCCATTGCTTGCTAGCAGGGCGCACGCTGAGCATGGAGGGTACGATTTCTGTCTCCAACAGTTGATTAAATCTGTCCATGGGTATATTGTCCCTGCCAAGAACGCGGCCTAGGAATATGTATGTCCCTCTTTCCCTGCATCTATCGCTGCTGCTAATTTTTCCGTACCCTATGTCTCCAATTCTTGAAACCACTTCTCTCTATGATTAAAGACACTGGTTCATTCTATTACTCGCATTCCTTTTGAATATTTCCTATTTTTGACTTGTTTCCTCCCTTCGTCCTTGCTTAATGCATCTTCTATATGCTTATTGGGTTATCTTTATTGCACATCTCTATCGCACGCTGGACGTAGCTGATAGATCATATCCCACCATGGAGCTTGGACCTTTGCATCGCATTTGTTACGAATGAAACATGCATACGATGTTGCATTTGTGTCTTCCTTGACACTGCCTACGGTGTGACCGTTTGCCTATGGATTTGCTTATTTTATTATCATCCTTGAAAAATCCAGTGTGCATACGCGCCTGCTTGTGTACGAGACGCGTCCCACTTCAAATATAGTGGTATTAATGTTAGGCCGGGATAGAGAAACCAGTAAAGCATTCATTTTGCGTATCCGATATTATGTCAGAAGAGAGTGACATAGCCCTAGATGCAAACAACTATTCTAATAATTGACGAGGCACCAGATAGAAGCACCAGAGTCACATCATGATTGTCTGAGCCGAGGAGTCTGTAATACTTACGGAGGAAAGTAGCCACCGTATGACGGTCAAATGGAAGGTGTACACCTGTTCTCTGAACCACCGGTATGGTTATACTACATATGCCGATGAAATATGCCAGCCTCCCAGTTAGCCCAAAGGCAAAAACAAACACTTTTGATTGACAACGACAACTCGAAGGAGACTTCTGCTCCGGCGAACAGCTTAGAGCATCCCAGGGAATCGCCGCCTGCCATTCGTACGGAAGATCAATCCCAGCATGCTTACGATATTCCACTTCTGTCATCGAGCCGAGAATCAGATTATGCCGTGACATGTCGATGTGGAATGACAGGCAACGGATATGATTTGCAACTCGAAAAGGGAATGATCAAGTGTGACGAATGCGATAACTGGGCACACATCGCATGTCAACGTAATGCCCGAGCTAGCAGTCTCTGTTCACGAGAGAAGTTCGTGTACATGCGACCGCTGTAATATTGATGAGTTTGTGCCGTGGCGAACTTCAGCATCACAAGGACAACCACCAAACCGTCGGTCAGTTCAGAATGGCCCAGTGTATCATGTCTTTGACTGACTGAGCCCAGGAGCCATCGCAAAAAGTCCCTTTGGCTAAACGGCTGTTGCAAGATCACGTCGCAGCCATTGTCTCGCATGAAATGTTGACACAAACGCGGTGCAGGAAAGGGAGCACTCGCTCGCCATGGCAAATTTTGGTATCTTGTAAGACTCACTCAATTTCACGGAGAGATGGACGCATGGCAAGTACGGTGGTGATACAAGTTTCTCGCAGACAGACCTGTGGACCCGCAGTCCATAGTTCAAATAACAGATTTGGTTGACGAGTTGTAATAAGACAGGGCCGGGAGGCGTGCAATTTGGGTACGTTGCCTGTGTTTCAGCTGCATTCATGCACTAACAAATGAAGCCAGTTTGGTCAGTGGACACATGCACATGATGTTCCTGTAGGCGAGGATATAATCTATGCCTTCCACGATGTACCTTGTCCCCCCCCCCCGAAACGGACGCTACTCACGTTACAAATTCACGATACAGCTCATCAGCCTTCCTCGCCTCAAGGATATCCAACATTTGCCTGTCGGACGTTGTCTACAGCAGCAGGGAATAAAAACATCGTTAACTGGGGGCTACACTGTCAAGTATTGCGGTGATCTGACCGTAGTTCAGCAAGCACAGGTCGCCCATCGGATATTTGATAACATTGAAGAGGCGCAAGAAACTGTGGTGCAATGGTTAGGCTGTGCGGCATTTACTCAGGCGCTCAGCATTATGTTAGCATACAACAAGCGCAGCATATTGGAGGCGGATCCAGACTACCCCAGAGATGGAAACACGGACGCGCAGGAAGAATTCATTCTCGACGCCGCATGGACGACCCTTTTGAAGCAGACCGGCAGAAGCACAGACGTGATCCCCACGGACGTTGACCTGGAATGTCTGTCGGTCTTAGAACAGCACCTGTTCGAGAAGTCGGCTCAGTCGGGCTCTGCAGGAAACTATCAGTGGGACATGGATGGTGGAAACCATCAACATGGTTGGGACACATATGCTGGGCTTCCATCCCACTTGAACCACGAGGATCACAATGAAGGAGATTCTGATTGTGATGAAAAATGAGCCCGAGGTGCTATGCTTTCTGACTTTCGAAAAGGTCCTAGTTAACAATCACTTTGGCGCGGGCCAGATTTCAGTGAAAGCGATAATGTCGAGCAAGCACGTCAGGATCTCGGAAGCGAAGAAAGGTGGCACTGACCGCGTGCTGATATGATGTCCGCGACTGTGCAGTCACTCATTCGGAAGAAAGAAAAATAATATTGTGTGCGGAGGAATCAGACTACAGTTTAATATAAAAGATTGTTCAGTGACAAGGAAGACAGTCATTGAAGCAATATATGGAAAACCTGATTTGCAGACCGGGAGTACTTGTGTGAATCTTAATGATACTGTCTGACCGCCGTGACTTTGTGAGCGTGGATATAAATATAAGGATTCGGCACACACTCAACTAGCTCGTTTGGACTCTTTGGAGGACAAGCACTGGGAGGTTCCAGTGACTAGCAGGTAAGTGTGGTTGATGCGCATTCACCGCGTTTGGGAGCACTGCAGCAGTAGTCGCGGCAGTTGCCGCAGCAGTCTGACAGCGGTGGCGATGCCCAGAAATTTGGCTAAGAGTAAGGATGTGTCAGCCAAGGCCCAAACTGCTCAATCAGTTTCACGACATGGCCGCGTCAAAGCGTCATCGCCATCAGAATCACAAACTCTACAACGTTGCCGAAGCTGAAAGTGTAATCTTTACAGATCTGAATCCGTGTTCATGAACGTAGAATGTCTCTTAATGATGCCATTTCAAAACATTCAGTTGGTCATCAAGGTGCTTTCGGCGTCACCTGCTGCACAGTGCAGACAGAGCCATCTGAGAAAGTGGTCAGATAGAAGTAGCGACGGCGTGTCTTCTGCATGCATTGCCGGAGTAAAGACTAAAGCCTCTTTGTGTGTCGAAATGTAGCAGTGCTCAGTGCTCAATGCGCCAGAAGGCGAGAACATTAGGTCAAGGTATGCTACCAACTTATTATTGATGGTATAATGCACTTACTAGTAGGTTTCAGATTTCAGATCTGGTGCAAGCACCCACTGAGTACTGAGTCTTGTTCGAGCCTGCTGACGGAACAATGTACGCTTTTCGTTCTCCTGTGGTTCCTACTTCACCGTGATTATGCGCTCTTGTTACCATCTGGTCACATTGTTGATCTATTGTGACTGCTGGGTGCTGAAACTTTTGTTACCTTGGATCTACAGTGGCTGTGGATCCAACATCCATCCACAGTCTGAGTTCCGAGTTACAAGAACTTTAGATTTCTCGTCTATTTAAGTAACTTGAATTCTGCAGATATACTAACACTAACACTCACACCTCTGCAAACGTTTGCGTTATCGCGTGCTACGACTAAGGTAAGAACTACTGTCACTTGACATCTAGCCTATGCTTACGTTGTGCAAAGCTGTTTGATATAGGTAAATACTCCAGACGCCTGCGTTGTTGTGTGCTACGACTGAGAGAATCTATTTAATATAGATCCGCGCGACACTGCTATTGTTGTTATACCCCTTGTTCGAATACGTAGCAAACACTGACTTGTGAAACCTCTCTATCAAGCCGCGAAAGGTAATACTCGCACCTGACTGATTCTTCTTCTGCACTCGGCTGATGACTCCGCCCCACAGTCCTCCATGACGACACTGCTATCCCCCCTGGCTGATGTTACATCTAGAAGCGCAACCGCTGACGCTGCGCAGCTTCGCGCCGAGATCGACGACGACCTTGCTGCAATCACTGAGTCTATGCGCATCCTTCGCTTTCGCAGGAACGGTCTAGCTCCCATCTCTGGCCTTCCAAACGAGATTCTCACAGTTATCTTCGAATACTTGGAAGAAGAAGAGCGTCTCGATGGATATGATAGCCGGGATATCCCTGCTTGCGTAGCAGTTACACACGTCTGTAGACACTGGCGCAATGTGGCTATCGAGTGCCCAACTCTTTGGCGATTCATCAGCTCTTCCTCTCCTTTTTGGCTAGATGTCATGCTTGAGAGGTCGAAGGAAATTCCTTTGATTGTCAAATACTCCATTCCGATGCCACTAGAGTATTGCTTGGAGAAAGTCCTTCCACACCTACCTCGGATCGAATACCTCGAATTTCGCCCATGGTCATGTGATGTCGGTCAGGTTATGGATCTGTTATCATCTCAGCCTGCACCGATGCTTAAAACATTCAAATTCTGGGCTAGAGATCCCGTGTTCCTGCCAACGGGACCCATATCAGGCCCCATCTTCCGAGGACAAGTACCCCTACTTCGGGACGTCGAGGTTGACTATTGTGACCTCAGCTGGTCATTGTGCACTTTCGGTGGGCTTCGAACTCTACGTGTGCAAGGAGCCCCCTTGCCGGACCTCCTTTCGGCTCTGCGATGTATGCCTGCCTTGGAGCAACTTACGCTTGAATCAATAGAATGCAACGAAACAATGCTCTTCGATGAAGTGCCGCTCGCTCGGTTGGAACATATAAAATTATGCGCCACCTCGTTTCAAACTGCTATACTTGTCTTCGCACATCTAGCCCTTCCCGTCGACGTCAAGGTTTCTCTGCGTCTCTTCTCAATTCAAGGGCCTGAAACCTTCTCCGATCTGTTTTCGGCTATATATAAGCACCATGGTGGATCCGGTCCTGTCTTACGGTCGCTGCGTGCCACCAATTACAATATAAGGTACATGGGTGTCCAATTTAGCACGTCGAGGGAGATGAAGAATCCTGACGACGATGACATACGACTGTCGATACAATTCTTCTTTGACCTACCCTTTGTAGTTCAACCAGACATCGTACTCGATATATGGCAGACCATCACCCATCAAACCTTCTTTTCTGGCGAGCTCGAATTCATCCATTTTGAGGAGTTCACAGGCTTCATTTGGGGCTTAACCGCTGCGCTCCGGATTGAGGGGTCGAACGTAACGTATCCCTCGCTCCGTGTTCTGGAGCTTCGAGATATGGTGCTCCACAATGACGAACTTAAAGACCTTCGGGACATCTTGACAATGCGAACCAGACATAATCTCTGCATACAAGACCTCCGGCTCACGCTATGCGACAATTTTACGGATGATCAGGCGCGGCTTTTTGGGGAAGTGGTTGCGAACATTGATTGTGATAGATATACTCTTACTGGTGGTTTGAAATCGAGAAAGAGACTACCCTGGTTGCTTCACTATGTAGATTGACGTTTGGATGATGTATTTTATGTTCTTTCATCACCATAGCCTTTGCCTGCTCGTGGTATCTATTTCACCAATGCTCATGTAATCACTGCAATTGCAGACGAAGAAAACCATTTTACAACTTCGTTGTGTTGATGTATGACAATTCATGTGTTCATTGTTCTTATCTATATATATATTTACTTGAAGGACCCTTTGAATCATGTTATCAAACGTAGTGTACAGATATCTCTTATCGTAAACGTCCGAAGGTGAACAGTTTTTTTGTTGATAGTAATCACGGCGCGGTTTCTTTGTAGGCGTGAAGTCCACCAACGAGTGAACCACTGTCTTCCTTCTATCGGCTCTGCCTACGAGGCTATACCTGATAGCTCTCGGTTGCATCTCGTGCACGCGCAAGCAGGTGGTTGAATGCCACATGTGGCATATTTCAAATTGCGCATAGCACGTACACAAAACGGAGCTAAAAAGTTGCGGAAGTGTCAAAAAAGGTTGTCGAATGCTTGACAGATTGGCCAGGTACATCCACAAGTTCTAGATGGGTACGAGAGCGTGCTGAGATATTGCAAGGGAAGACCATAGGGGAGCTAAAGCGACGGAACTGTTAGTGACGGGAAGATGGAATGATACGAGAAAAACCAAATACTGAGTGAGTCCCGTCGTGAATTGGGGGGTGAATTCGATCACTTTGCCCTGCTCATCTTTGGCAGAAGAAAATTCTACCGTGGCCAACATAGTAACAATAGCGGACCACACAGAGGCATCAGCAGTATATCGGCCTGATCAAAGAATGTGTTAGCTTTATACAATCATGAAATTACTCAACCCACCTGGACATCCACGCCGGCCAAAACCGAAAACATATTCAGCAGGGTTGTCGTCCGTCAGCGTATTATTGACGTTCAGGAACCTCTCTGGTATAAAGCTAGATGCTTCGGGGTACCGCTTTTCATCTCGTGAAATGCACCTGCAATATAACGTCAGCATTTTGAAAGCAGACCTAGAGGATCAAGTTGACCACATGTTGCATATGACGGTTGCTCCTGACGTACAATATCACAAGATATCTGTTCGCTAGACGAAAACGGCAGACCTTTTGGAATGAAATAACCATCGAATATATCGTCACTTGAGGTAGCATGTGGCGTGCCTATAAGATTGTTTTTAGTGAAGGCGAGATCACTCGGCAAATAAGAATACCAATGGGCAAAATGGGATGCCATCGCAAAGTTTCCCGCAGGACTGATTCAACGTAGGGTAGCGAGGCTCTGTCTTCGAATGTAGGCAAGCGATCCTCTCCAACCACTGAGTCGATCTCCGCTTGTGCGCGTCTCTGAACAGCTGGATACAATACCATGGCGAGAGCAAAAGTCATCAAGGTCGACGTGGTCTGTGAAGAGGTTGAGCAGCAGACAATATGACGGACATCTTCTGACCGTCTCATATGAACCTGCATGGCTATCTATCAAAGAACAACGTCCCATATAAAGAGTTGACGAACCTATAATAGCAGTAGTAGCTGCTTTCTTTAAGGCAGTCTCGAAGATGGGTTTTGATACCTGATCTAGGTCCTCCATCCGTTGCAAATTGTCTGATACCATTGAAACTTGGCCGAGGAACAGGTTTTCGGCCTTAGCAAGCACGTGATCAACATCTACCAAACTAGATTTAAAAAGATGCCCACCATACGCTCCTGCGTATATTGGAACGGCAGGTCCGTCATTTCAGTCATACGATGGGTCGAAACTTGGGAATCGCGTTTGAGAGCGGATCCCAAACACCAGTCAGGTAACCTCAGCACTGTATCAGAGCGTGGAATGTCAAGTCTTTTCTCATCAACGAGAATGAACTCACGGAAGGGGAAGATTTTAAGTAAGATTGCTCTCTCTGGGGTTAACACCGCAAGGCCAATAGCCATTGCATTTTCTATTATTCGAACCAGAGGATCGCCACGAGGACCAGTTTGGTAGCCGTATACCACTGACATCGCAACTGATGACGAGAATCTATGGACAGCTGACAATCATTTGATGTTTACAAACACATCGACTGACGTTGCGAAGTGAGAATGATAATGTTGAGGGTCATCAATTAGGTTGACGACCATCTCACGAGCCCGCTTAACCTGCGTTGGACGAAACTTGAGTGCAGAGTCGGGACGGAAAGTTTGTTGGAAGAGTCGTCGGCAAAGACGCCATTCGTCACCATAAGCTATTAATGAAAAGTTGACCGACCAACCAAATCTATCCGGGCCGGTACTTCATGATGATTAAATGTAAGACTGTTAGAAGAACGTACGGTTCGAGCGTGGCTATGTATGGTCGATCGGAGTAAATGCGAGAACGCTTGTCCATCAAGGCTTCTGCAATCTGCTGAGAATTGATCACCACGACTTCCTGGCCTGCTAGAAGTCGCACGAAAACCAAGTCTCCTGATATAATGATTTGTACCACATATGCACCACGCTATCTCCCCACGTACCATAGGTAGCGCCCCATTCAGTATAAGTCAGCCAAGGCTCCTTGGTGTTGATAGATAAGACGTTTCCTAACAGTGGGAGCGGCACTGGGCCAGGAGGAAGGCAAGGTTTGTTCTGTCTGTTAACAATGAACCGCGCGAAGGCTTTTATGACGACAAAGGACGCGGGTAAGACGGCAAGGATAGCAAGGCGACCATCAACTAGAGGAAACATGACGGTTAGAACAATGCGTGGGCAGACACCCAGCACACGAAGCGGACCTTGTAACTCCACGGAGAGCCACTTACCCGGGTCATGGCACCCTAGTATGGCTAGTGTAGGAGGCAAAACTGTTGTTTTGTAGCTCGTGACCAGCCTGGGCCGCTTATACACCACACGGTGTACACCTAGGGGTCGGAGTCACTGTATTGCTTAGCCTTCTTGCGATAACAGGGATAAACATAAATCTTTCATACGCATGACGGACGTGTATTATGTGTAAAGTTCTGATCTCTGGCTCGGATATCTCTTGTATTCATCAGGGAAAACCTCCCGCACAAACCTAGCGCAGTTTAGACATAACTTCAATAGTTACCGAAAATTCTTCCTAAATATACTGTTTAGCAGATGATTAAGACTCTTTTACCCCAATTTTACCCCCCCTGTAACTTTTCCTTCATTAGACGATGTTTTTGCAGATTATGCAGAACATAGCACTAATGTTGTCAAGATTTTCCGCGCTTTCAGATTCATCATTGCTTACGAGAACCGACTCGTATACAAGAAAGAAATTAGTTTTCATTAAAAAGAATGTAATAGTCAAGAGCAAGGCAAGTATATAACAATTTCAAGAGGCAATACTAAGGAGATTTAGTCCTCGTCCATCCCGTCGAGGTCGAGGAATGCAAGCGCATCAGCTTCTGCATCAGTGGCGGCGTTCTTGTACTGCATGAGATCCCTTGCAAGACTCAAGTGAATTTAAGATGTACGAGAGAACAAGACTGGACATACTGTATTGCAGCGAAGATATCGGCCATCAGCTTGTGGAATTTCTCGGGTGATTTTGCGCTGAGATCTTTTAGGAATTTGACATGGAAGAAATAGACCTCGCTAAATTGATTTCCGGTAAAGTTAAACTTGGCCGGAGCACCATGTGCCTTCCAGAAGAGCGCTGCGTACACCTATATAGTCATTGTCAATATATCTTGGTGTTGATGGCGACAGGACACGTTACCGAAGTGGCTGTCAAAGCAATCATTGGAATTGTGACCTCGGGCCTTTTGGCTTTATTCTTGGCAATATCGGAAAATCTTTTCGCAAACATGACGCCGACTGACTTCGATCCACTGAAATAACGGCCCTTCATGAGGTGAACCATAATATCACCCAGGTAGGGCTTGTTCTGCACCGGTATCGGCACATCATCATCCTGAAATATATCAGTAGTAAGTCAGTACAAGGCAATGGTATGAGTTGCGAGACACACATCGAACTTCATGAAGTAATGGTAGCGGTGGTTGACGAGGAGAGCGGAAGCAGAAGCGGTACAGTTAGATCCTAAGCGAAGGTAAGCAGCTTGTATTCTCTTGGCTGCGTTCTCCCTTCCAATGTGCTTGTATTCGTTTATCATCCAAGTGTCTAGTTCTAAGCTCGGTAGTCTAATACTGTTCCGGTTCTGCTACTCATTTAATCACGCTTATTTACTTGCTGCAACCAAATCACGTCTACCATTGAACCTGACTTTTGTTACCCAACAGATTTCTATAAGTGCATTTGTCTTCATCCTGCGACTCTGTTTCTTTCGGTAGATATTGTTATGTTTACGATTGCCAATCTGTGTTTGTATCCAAGTTGTCATAATTATGCTTGAAGCTGCTAAGGTTCCTCATACTGGTCTGTGTTGGCGAATAGCTCTTAGATCATCTGCCGGTGAACCATCGCCAGTCCGCGACGTCACCTCCAAAACATTTGTGAACTTAGGACCTTCTTTGATGTATTGAACTCGTCTTAGCAACAGTTTTACAAGAATATCTACCTCAGTCATAGTGGGACGGTGATGTTCACGCAACTTGGATTGGTAGTCCCATCGCAACTCGTGCAATAGGCTCCTTCACATCCGCGTCGACGCCTAAGCCAACATATGCAGTGTTCGGCTTGTCTTTGACAAAATCAGGAGGGTTGATGCCCGCGAGGAAGGTCTCCGCCTGTTTCTTGACGTATTCAGTATTCATGGGTGTCTGTGGGACCGCGCCGATGTACATCACTGAAATACATCGGTTTGCATTGGTGTGACCCATAAACCAAGAAACGCAGAACGTACCTGCCGAATCTTCTTGACCGGTGTGCTCTTTCTCGACGGAGTGCACAACATCCTGTGGATTGTGCTCGGATGATAAATAATGGAATATAAAGGAAGGAAAACATACGCAATGCCAGAAAACCATGTCTCCCGGGTTGACCTTTGGCACGGAAGTCATTGTATTCTCAAGCCTGAGGTGCGGGTGCAGTTCTGGCGTCGGACGCGGACCAGAGAATCCGTTTGGAAGAATTAAGATACCAGGGAAATCAGGGGTTGAGATGTCTTCCGACGAAGTCAGCTTGAGCTAATGGTGTTCAAATAAATAGACGTACCAAACACCCAATTCTCAGGCTTGAGGATATCCTCTGAGTCGAGCGGGACGGTAGGGCGGAAGAACGGGCGGAGAATAGTGTATGCGTTTGAGAGGACGACATCGGGGAATACCCGGAGCGTTCCTTGCGTCGGAGCAGCCTCACTGAAATTATGACCATGTCAGGTCTGCTGTATGAATGGGATCGAAATTTCGTGGAATACAAACCTCATGGCCAACCAACCTTGGAAGGACCTGAATATAGTAGCCTGAAATAACAAAGATTAGGTAGCTCAAAGGACAGAAGGGGTACCTACCTGTCCTGGTCTACCATACAACGAGCTCCGGGCATCCAGACGACCCTCGAGTTCATATGGGTCGTGCGCGCGCCAGTTACCACTGAGAATATCAGCGTAGCATTTACGGAAGCTTTCATCCTCCCAACGCTCAATTGCACCACCTTACGTACGCTCAGCTATTCCAAGGATGATTAAATTTTGTGTCATGGAACGCACCATCGACGTGAGGGGGGAACCTGTCCCATCCTGGGCCAGGATGGCGAATACGGAATCGGTCGGCGTACACAAGGGGAACATTGAGGTCAACGCCCTCGAGTGGCTTGCCTGACTTGACATGGTACTGTTTGTTTAGCCATGCGGAAGCCTTGAGGACATTTGGGTGTGCGCGAGCTTGCACTTGTGGACGCGTCCAGCTAACAGAATGATTTAAACATCATTCAAAATGATCGTAAGAACATGCTTACTACAGCATGAAGAATTGCTTATCTTGCTCGGGGAATCCTGTTTGCCGTATCAATAACGTATTGTGCGGAATATTTACTCCATACCTTCAACATGGGGATTAGCTTTGACAAAGTCATCAAGGGCAGTCTTCCACGCTCGGGCTTCACTATCATCGACAACATCCTTGATGATGACGGTGCCTTTGCGCCGAATAATATCGACTTCCTCAGCGGAAAGCTTGTCAAGGTCCTCATACCGGACTTGGGGGATATACTATGCACTTGGTCAATTTGCATGAAAGTGAGGAGACAGGATGGACGCTCACATCCGGACCAACTTGCGCAATCTCGGCGGTATACTTGTCGAGCTCTCCGAGGAGATCCTTCCAAGATTCTGTGAGACGCTTCTCATAGTCGGGCGTAGCCTCGACTATCTGGCGCTTCAAGTCAACAAATCGCTCTGGCCATGGAGTGCTCTGCATGTTGCTGCGGGGAATGTAGAAAGGTACCTGCAATAATGAACAACTTCAAGTGACCTCGAGTTTATATCCTTTTCGTGACATAAAATCTTCATGCTTATGGAATGATCAGGTGGACCATTTCCGATATTACAGAGATAAACGGAGTTTCCTCGGTGAATATACGTTTTATGATTGGGTGCGCCGGAGTTGGAGAATTAGTGGTGAGGGGCACGGGATTACAGGCCGCTATTGGGATAAGAACAAGACGGCCCGGTAGACAATAGATTGATCCGATAACAAGGTGTTGCATTTCACGGTGCATGGAGTGTAGTGTATTCATCACAATCTACACAACATTAGACACGGGCACCGAGCAGAAGCGCAGCTCAAGGCGCTTGTGTAACGGAAAGGACTAGTGACGTCTTGCACGCGGGCGAATTTTCTCAAGCCTATAAGTTAAGCATTGGCTTAATAAGTATCTGGGAATTTTAAATCTAATTTCACAACACAAGAATACCTTGTTGAGGATGTAGAGAGAAGGAAGACGAAGGACTACAAACTCAGTCAGCTAGAAGCTTAATGGAAAGCCGAACTCGACTCATGTACAGCACCACGTGATCAATATGCATACTTATGTTTGGTGATGCTTTGACTCAACACTCACCAAATTCTTTCCAGTGCACCTCCGATCGACTCTATTTCGACGTTGTCACCATCGGCCTCAACAGCGAGCTCGGCGTTTCTCAGCAGTTTGCTTCCTTTGCTTTAAAATCGATCTCATGCTTGTGAGCCAAACTTTTTGACCTGAAGTTCCATATTGTTGACACGGATCGCGTTTCTGATCTAGCCATAACTTTGAAATCGTGGTCGATTGCTGTCATCTGGTGTTATCCGATATTCATCGATAAACCCACAGAATAACTTCTTTAAGGTGTCCCTCTCCGTAAATTCCATGACCCAATCACTCATACAACCTGCAAGTTGCAGCATGTTTGAAGATGATGAAGACTCTCTCTTTGGCTCGCCGCCTCCATCTCCAGCTAGAGGTAGGTCACCGGCGTTTCCCGCTCAAGCAGCCCAAGAGAGGGGCGCAGGCATAACACAAAATGTGGGGGCCATTGCACTTCCTGGTTCCCATATGTCATGTTCTGAACTACCAGCCGACCTATTAGCCTTGCCGTTCGGCAGCTTTAACACTCGCGAGCCTCCTCCCTCGCATGCGCTGCCAGTGAAAAGCACCTTGCAAGCGCCGCAATCGCCTCGTGTTGCCTCATCGGTACCTTTTTCGACATCTCGCCCCTCTTCGAGGGCCACGGGAAAACGCAAAACAACGAAATCACAATCAGCAACACCCCGTCCTGCACCCCCGCCTATACCGTTCCCTGGCCCAGATGAACCACTACCTTCCAATTTTTTGCGCAACCAGGAAGCGTTATTAGGCATAGCTGGCCTCGTCGGAAACGTGAAGCCAACCAGCCTTCCACAACAAACAATCCGCGGGTCTACGCCTTCTAACCCCATCATTATTGAGGAATCTGATCCGACGCGCCTGCCTCATGTCGATCCTAGTCAGCTCACCTCCCTCATCAGACAGAAAACTATATTTCCCGTGTTATCAAGCATCATGAAACTCCTGGGCAACTCTCCAGCTGCGTCCACCCAGCCACTTTTCACCAATGATTGCCCATCTTCGCGCCAATGCAGTGAGCCCGCAACGACTGCTCCACCCCCACTGAAACGACGCAAACTCACAAGCGTCCCTGCTGGTGCAGTGGAGTGGGATGTGCCTTACCCATTTCCTGAAGGTGAGGGCCCTAAGGCATATCACGCTACATGGGAGCGGGAGCGTGCGAGGCATCTAATTACGCAGCTTGTGGAGTCGATCAAGGCTGCTTTCGAGTCATCTCCGCTTGATGATGATCAGGTTCCACCATCTTCTTCGCAGTCATCCATGCGCACCTCTGAACCCTCCAGGCACACGTCATCACCATCTCCTGTATCACCTACAACTACCAATACCTTTCAGCATATAATTCCGGACTGCACCATTGATCCTGCACTTCTTGCTATTTCCGTTCCACCATCAGTCACATACAATGCATCTTCCCCGGTTCCCGCACTCGTTCATTCTCCGATCACATCTACCGAATCGTCTGATGGGGCTCTCACCCCGCCTGCATATAATGACCAAGGTGCATTGTCTCCAGATAGTTGGATGGCTGAATATGCTCACCTGTTTCGCGCGAATGGCGTAGATTCAGTGGCTGCTGCCAAAATGTTATTGCAGTTCGCTACAAGACCTGTTGTACCTTCGCCTGCTCCCTCACACATAGACATTTCGCCGGCAGTACTCACGTCATATCCTCAAACTACCCCATCATGTTTCTCGCCATTGACGCACCTGCAGTCAGTCTCTCCTCAAATATCTCGCTCGCCGTCGGTTCAATCTATGCACAAACCGACTCCTTCCGTTCCTCGTCGCGCCGGCTTCAAGGCGGCTCATAAAGAAGACATTCTCCACCGCGCACGGGAACGTCGCCGACAGATCGTTGGAGAGATCGAGCGGGCAAAGGTTGAGTTATGGGAGACGAGTATTGAGGGAGGGGTGTTGGGGCATCTCATGAAGGATCCAACACTATCTTGACACGTTTACTTACGAGATTCGACGTGTATTGCATGCAGTAGTAGCTCAACCCGTTCCCAGAGCCATGCATTCACTGTCTTAATGTCATACAATGACTCGCCTTCGGTCGGCTTTTGTACGATACACTGTGTTCACGGTAGTGAGATGCGAGTGATGTCAATTGAGTTATGTGAATAGATACATGATCGTCACAGTAGCAAGTTGGGAAATACAATATTAGCACATTCTTGTCTTTCGTTTGCATCTGCAAATAGACACAATGTATCTCTTCGCGTTCTCACTCTCGACAATGCTGTATACAATTGACCGTTGAGCAAAAGGATCCGTTCGCAAGTCGAGCACCGTTCTTCCTAGCGTCAGTCCTTGACAACCATTAAAAGTAGTTGCATATGCGAGTCATAGAGGAAATTTACTGTCCAGGATAAACGGTTTGGATGGAATGAGAAGTTGATGCGGGGAATGCAGTGGCTTTCCATTGTATTGAGTTGTTGCACTTCGACGAACCGACGATGCAGTGCAATCACGCGCACGCGTGCGTTTCTGACCAATTCCTTTTCTACCGAGAGGTTTCGTTGAATGGCGCAAATGCAGTTCTCTTTGAGATCCAGGCGATGAGGAGGTACTCCAGGATGGGTCAACATTGCGAGATAGTCCAGCGTGTGTTCTGGCGCATTAAATGGTGCGTGGTCGGCTTCTTTTAGGCTGTCCGAGCTGAAGTAAGATTCTATGTCTCGTCAGGAGAATGTGTACTCGATGTTTGCCTGGGATACTTACGAAAATCGCCAGGCAAATTCTCTAGAATTTTATCGTTGAATTCGTCGACGTAGATATTGAGAGGGGAGAGGAATGCGCGCTGAAGACACGTATCGGCGTCTTCGAGCACATGTGGCGGGAAGAGTAAGTTAATAGTATCCTCGAAGTTTGTGGTCGCTGCTATGAGCGCGAGATTCTGTCGATTTCCGGAGCAATCTTCACCAATCCTGTTTACGAAAGCTGTGAATCGCGGGTCACCCATGCTTCGAATTGCAGTGTTGAGAGTCAAGATCCGAATGCTATTCCATAGCGTTGACGACTTCACTGACGCTGCGAGAGTGGCTGTCTCTCCTGCTCCGCTGACAATGGGGCCTGCTTGACGAAAATCTCCTAAATCTATGAAGGTCATTCCTCCGAATGGTATTATTGGGCGATTGCAGATTGTACAGTAAAGTTCGTCGACGCTCTCCCATCCGGCTCTGTTCATGGCAGGCAGTTCATCCCAGATGATTGCAGTGGCATTTCGAATGAGGTCTGCGCGAGGTGGGTGAGGATGAATGGAGCTATGTAAATTGACGTTATCGTCGGTTACTGGGATGCCAAACATGTGATACGCTGTGCGTCCACGATTGTATGCAGTTGCGCACAGAGCATTGCTTCCGACGATAAGTACAATTTGTTCTTGGGCGCGTAACATGGTCGAGAGTGCTTTGACTAAAAACGTTTTTCCTCGACCTGGACGCCCTTCAATGAAGAAGAAATTGTTTCTGCGCTGGACCATGCTCTCTGAAATGCAGTTGAGAATGTGTCGTTGCTCTGCATTCAGTTGTTCACCCATGTTGATGCTTTGCGCTTGGAATGCTGCCTGGTTATTGTGCAGATAACATTGCTCATTGTAGACTTCGATGGAACGTCTGGGAGGGGATGGAAGACCAAAGTCAGCGAGGTGTTTTCCAGAATGAGACAGTAGATCGTCGATGACTTGTAGGCAGAATTCGTAACCGAGGATTTGGCTTCCCAGTCGCTGAATGTGTTCAATGGACAGCATCTCTCGAAATTCCATCCATAACGGCATATCTGCATAGCCTTCGAGTACGATTTGTGAGAATAGAAATCGTAATTGAGCCGGGGTGCGATGGGATTCGACGGCTTCACGTAGCGCAAGATATCCCTCATTTTGATTGTCAAATAATCCAAGGTCAGATGCTGCTTCATGGAAAGTATCGAAAGTCTGCCTCTGAAATGTCCGAAGGTCAACGAAAGACACCGCGGCTCGATGGAGAAGCAGAGCTCGAAGATAGAAAAGCTCCCCAGATTGGATTGATACAGATTGGATTCGAGCTACTTTCTCCAGATGGACGCGTCTGGAAGCTTTCCGTCGAGTGACACACTCTCTTTCTTTCTCAGGATAATCGTTAGGCGTAAGTTCATCTTCCACAGAGTACGGATAGAGTACAAATTGTTCGAAATATTCTTCATAGCGAAGTCCAGTAAGTTCATCGGCACGTAGAAAGTAACGATTTAAAAGGGAGGTGGATGATCTTTCTCCTCCTTGCTGACGAAACTGAGGGATATTTGAGCCAGGCAGCTGAACTGGTAGGTTTGTAACTGAAGGTTCCTTTCGAGTGACCTCGAAATTGAGAATACGCCATGCCGCTTCTGGCGCTGACAGATATCTTCCTTTTTGGTAGTCGCGAATTTTATTCAAGGGGACTGGTTCGTCTACGTGCCGCTCTCGAATTTGGATTGAACTGAAGACTTGTTGAAGAGCAGACAGCTTTTGTACCACGTGATCCCGACGCGTCGCGTTCGAACTTCGGGGACGTAAACATACCTCAACAAAGGTTCTGCACATCTTTGGACGTGCTGCCTGTGGTGTACACGACCATCGTCACTACAAGATCGCAATGGCGCCCGCTCGCGATGCCCAGCTTGATCAAGAAAAAGAAGAATATCGTGCTAGCATCGCCGAGGCCCTCCAGGAAGACGAAGACCCACTAGCTGCCTACGACGACTTTGTGAAATGGACCGCACAGCAGTATTCTGCAGATGATGTGACATCTGGTCTCATCGAGCTACTTGAAGAGACAACCAGACGGTTCAAAGACGATCTGAGGTACAAGGGCGATCTCAGATATCTGAAACTCTGGTCGGCGTATGCGAAGCAAGTCGAGAGACCGACTATAATTTACTCATATCTTGTAAAGCACGACATTGGGTGCGTATATGCACTACTTTACGAGGAATATGCTGGGGCACTGGAAAAAGAGGGAAGGTGAGTGGCTTGTATGCCCAAACACTAAGCGCGGGTTGGGTGAACCATTCGTTTGCATGATCCAGACACACCGAGGCCGACAAGGTTTTCCGTATCGGGATTACGCGTATCGCTCGTCCAATCGAGAGGCTGAAGAAACGTTATCGCGATTTCCAAAGCAGTCCTTCCTCATCTAAACCCACACCCATCACCTTCCGACCGAGTGGGTCCCAAGAAATCGATGCCCTCCGCCGTAACCCCCTCAAGAACCATAATCTGCCACCTGCTTCGTCCGCAAGTACTTCGAAACCATCATCATCTCTCAAATCCAGTACTCCGCAAGCCACCACATCGAGCCCTAGAGCTCATAGCCGCTATGCTCCGATGCTCGCTCCTCCTGTCCCAGGGAGGCGTCCAGAGAAGCTGCGCTTCAATCTCTCACTGCTTTTTACTGCAGACGGCGTTGAATACAGCGCTGCCGAAGTGCGCGCCCGCTCCATGGGACTTCTCAACAAGAAATGGGGTTCACCCCCACCTTCAGAGTCACGCGAGACCATCCGAGTGAACTTCAATGATGACGGCACACGGAGCACACAGAATATGGGGTACGGGAAGCGCAAGAGCATCGTGACTTTAGGAGAGCCAACAGTCACGATCAATACGAAAGAGGCGCTGGCAGATGTATTTGGAATGTATAACTCCCCGGATAAGACTGTGAAACGGATGATGCCTGGGAGCAAGCATGCGCCGGTGAAGAGGATTGAACCCATGACAACTGCAACAAGACAGTCACCACCTGTTGTCCAAATGGAGGATGAGAATGCTAAGACACCGGGTAAGCGGAAATTCACTTTGTCCTTGGGGCTCATTTGTATTTCTATGCATGAAAGGTGCATTCAAACCCTTCGTCGACGAGAACGCGAACCGCAAGGAGAATAGCACCCCTGCGGTAAAGGTGCTAAAAACAACACTGCTTTCCTTCATTCAATGCTAAATCTGCCGGTAGTTCAAACCCTTCGTGGATGAACCCCCAAAACAATCATTTGTTACTCCTGACATGGGTCGGCGTGCTCTCACAACGAAGGAAAGCACTCCTGCTACCTCTTTCAAACCTCCCGCCACCCTCAAAGCCATCTCGGAAGAAAATTCGGGGCGAGAAAACGAGAACGTCAATGTCAAAGCCAGCGTATTCTCGCGCGTCTTCACTCCCGTATCTCAGAAAGAACCCCTCACCCGACCCAACTCACAGGGGGCGAAGGCTAGCCCTTTGAATGAGAACGCAAGCATCTTTCAGCCTCCTGGTTCTAAACCGGAGGCAGCACCATTCGTTGCATTCGTCGACTCCAAAACGCCTTTCAAGGTTTTCAGTCGCCCACCACTATCGCTTGATGGTAATGAGAACGCAGGACACGTTTTCACCCCGAAGCCGACCACGTTCAAGGCGTTTGTGGATACTAGTACTGTTGCCACGCCTGAGAACCAAGTGGAACAAGAGGCTCCTCAAGCACCAAGGACGCCGGCCTCCGAGACCTACACCGATGAATCCAGTGATCCCGCAGACGACCCTCAGCAGAACTTCTCTTCGAGCGATGAACCTTTTGAGGATGGCTATATCGAGGGAGAGCCTGATGTACCCTTCTCATCATCTTCAAGCATCAGCGATCACTTCGAAGAAGAATACGAGGAGGAGCAACCGCAGCCTCTTGGAGGTCGCTTCGGCAGGATAAACGTGATGACGCCCATCACAGAACGTACCTTTGAGTTTAGTACTCGGGGATTCCCCACGCCGCATGAGAATGGTGCAGTCCAGGCTGCAGAACGACTCGCTGCAGAGCTAAGAGAGGAAGACGAGCGTGAACGAGGATATGTGCACGATGGGGAGGAGTCGGACTCGTCGTTCGCTTCTTATGACCGTCCAGGATCGGTCCCACAATACCAGCCAGCAGAACTGGAAGTGATCGAAGAGCGCACAGGGACCCTCAGTCTCTCAGACGCTCTGGCAGTAGTGTCCGCCTTCAGACCATCGAACCCCTGCAATCCTTTTGACCCCACAATTATGTCCACACTGCTTTCTCTCTTGCCTGGAGACGAAGATTTTCACGACCTGCGAGGACAGGACTCAGGCATGCTCGAGGGTCTACAGAAGTTCGCAGCCAAGAAGAGCAGGCGAGGGAGTGGCTCAAGCTCCAAGGGGTTCGATGACGATGCGTTCATGGTCACCCTGGAAGGAAAGAGACTGAAAGTGGTGGATAAACTAGGGGAAGGCGGCTTTGGAGCAGTGTTTACAGCTCGAGACGTTTCGTCCAAGAACGAAGATGACGAAGACGAGGACTTGGATGAAGACGATGAAGAGGACGGATCTTCGATGCTTGCTCTGAAAGTTGTGAAGCCTCGAAACCTATGGGAATTCCACGTTCTACGCAGAATTCACCGCACGCTCCCTGAGCCACTTCGCCGTTCCCTCGTCTTACCGTATGCTCTCTACGCGTATCGTGACGAAAGCCACCTCCTTATGCAGCTATGCCCGCAAGGCACCCTGCTCAACATCGTCAACCGTGCTGGCACTGCTGGCATCTCGCAGCAAGGGGCGTGTCTTGATGAGCTCCTCGTCATGTTTTTCACGATCGAGATCATGCGCTTCCTTGAAGGAATGCACAGCGCAGGGTTCATCCATGGTGATCTCAAGATTGACAACTGCCTGCTACGCCTCGAAGACGTTCCAGGCGGCGCGTCTTCCCTCTCCAGTATATACCAGCCCTCGGGTGAAGGCGGCTGGAAATACAAGGGCATCAAGGTCATCGATTTCGGGCGAACGCTCGACACGTCCCTCTTTCCTCAAAACCAACAGTTCGTTAGTGACTGGCCAACAGACGCACGAGACTGTTTTGAGCTAAGAGAGCACCGACCCTGGACGTATCAGACTGACTACTTTGGTCTCGCTGGCATCATCTACTGCATGCTGTTTGGCAAATACATCGAAACATCATCCATCACCCCTAAATCCCCTTACAAGGTCACGACGCCGTTCAAGCGCTACTGGCAGAATGACTTATGGACGAGGTTATTCGATCTCTTACTTAATCCTTGCCTCGTGCGTCCGGATGGCAAGTTGCCCCTGTGCGAAGAGCTTAGTGATATAAGACATGAAATGGAGGGTTGGCTGCAGCACCACTGCAACCGGAGTAGTAACACGCTCAAGGGACTACTAAAAAAGATCGAGCTTTCGGTGTACACCGGGTAAATAACACCTCACTTTACCCATGATTCGTATGTTCATAGTTCGGCTATTTGCTCACGTTCTGTATACACACCCTGACAACATCTCCATCGGATACTCAGACTCAGTTCTCGATCCACACCATCAATTAATGCCAGAGATTGATAGCTACAACATGCGCCCGGAGAACATCTAGGCTATGACACAACAACAATGACACAATTGCATGAAGACAGCGGACAACAGATAACGAGAAGAAAATATGCGGATACCATGCTACCCATCGCTCGATCATGCATGGCCCACACCACCCATCTGTTGAGCTGGGCCACCTTCGTATGGGTGGGGAGGACCATTCGGACCCGTAGGCGGCATCATCATAGGGTAAGGGACAGCGTGTTGTACTGCAAGAAGAAAAGGAACAATCCTCAATCACAGTAAATCTGATATTAGGTCAGCACGCACGTTGTGGGCTTTGGTGGTAGTATGCGTGTGCGTGAGAGGGGATCGGAGTAGGTGGCATGGATGGGCGTGGGCCAGCACCGTTAGGTGGAGGAGGGTACGTGCCAGGTGGTGGTTGCATGTATGGTGGCGCTACGATGGAGAGTCAGCCGAAAGTCAGAGAAACCAAGATGAATACACACGAGGCATCTGAGGCATAGGCGATGCAGCATACATGGCTGTGGGGTATCATGAGCTATGGTCCACATAAATTTAAAACCGAGACTCACGTTGGCCGTTCGGTGGCATCCCTGGTGGGTACGCCATTGGTTGCATGAATGGTGTTGATACATATGCACCAGGTGGTGGGGGAGCCATGCCAGGCATCATGGGCTGAGCGAGATTTGAGAAAGATTCCACACGGGAAATAGGGACATGCACACCTGTCCGGGGTAGTATGGGTAGTAATAAACACGTTGTTCGCCGCTGTCTTCGTATACAGGGTGTGAGACGGGTGGCGGACCGGGTGGCGCGATGTGGACGGGTTGCTGAGGCGATTGGTGTTGCAGGGGAGGGAACATATGCATGTAGCGCTTGCCACTGTAAGGCCAGATAGCAGCTACAGCGGCGAGCCATTAGATTCTATCATCAGCACGAGGATGCAGCACGCACTAATTTGGTTCGCCTCCTACAACTTTGTTATGCTTGAATGGGTTGAAATCATCCTTGATATGAACCGCTCCTTTCTTCATGATCTTGGTGCCAAAGAATGGGTTGGGAGTGGGTGGTGACTAAGGAAGCTAGGTTAATCAACATTCACAGGTCAGATGATGGATTCACCGATTCAGCAGGCTTGGTCTTCGGTGACGCGGAGGCTGATGTAGAACTCGGAATCGGAGACGTAGGGCCCTAATCACGTAGACCAGTTAGTAACACGGGATCTGAAACCCAGTAGTATATTACAGGAGGGAAGGTATTTGCCTTTGGATTGGGCCTGAACGACGAGGCGTTCGCATTGAGCCTGTTTGCGGTTGTGGTGGGCGACGTGGGCACGGCAGCGCCGTTCGTGTGGGTCGCCGGGGCAGGCAATGGCGTGGTTGAGCGCTTCGCGCCTTTGAACGGGGGAATGGGCTGTATGTACATATTGACCGAGTTCTTCTTGCCGAGTTCACTGGGCTTCGTAGCGACGGGTTTGACGACAGAGGCGGAGGTACCAGCGACGGACGCCTTTGGGATGGCGGGCGGAGCAGGAGTAGGCTTCGCGGTAGCGGGGAACGATCTTGTTAGAGGTCGAGGTCGGCATGCGAGACGCGCTAGGGGAGGTATTGAGAGTAGCGGTGATGCCGATGGCACGAGCGGTGGTCGAGGCAGCATCCACCGAGGCCTTCTCCCGAATCTGTCGCTGTTTCTCTTCATCCTTGGCAAGAATAGGAACCAAATCATCCGGAATGGGCTTGTTCAACTAGAGGGAGCTCAATGATTGAAACCAGTAATTGGAGAGACAACACTGACCTTGAATGTCTGGCTGAACTTCAGCAGCTCAGCCTTCCGTTTGTCCATCTCACTCTTGACGAGCGCCTTGCTTCTTTTGCGTCAAGCGCTGTCTCTCATTCGTGACAAAGTCACGGAACGCCGGCAATGGATCCGCCGGGGGCTATCATCAACCACAGCAAGGGAGCGATCGTCAGCAATCCATCAGTCGTGACCAATCAAAGGTAAAACGCCGTAGCACAGCAATTCGAATTGAAACAAATAGATCAAGATCGGAGGGGATTACCTACCTTATTAGAAGCCGATGATGTTGATGGTGTAGGAGAAGGGGACTTGACAACAAGAGGCGCCACGTCCTTTGCAGCAACAGGGGCACCGTCGGGGCCATTGACAGATACTTTGGGAACATCTTTTGGAGGAGGGCTTGTTCCCGAGGCTGGTCCGGTGGTCTGCAGTTTGCGAGCGCCTGGCGGAACATAAGCATTCTGCCCTCGGACAACAGCACCAAATCTAGAAGCAAGGCCATCAGACAAATGCAGACCTGACACCGAATGGACGCACTTGTCTTCCTCGTTCATACCGCTATCGTCAACACTCAAATTCCTTTCCTCTGCTACATGAGGATTGTTTATGGCACCCTATCAGAAAAATTAGCCCAGATTAAAATAAACCTAAAACGTCATAAACATACGTTCAATATTTCACTAGCAATGCGCTGAGCCTTGCGCTCCCTCTCTTTATAATCAGCAGCCGTCCGATCCAACTTAGTGGTGTAAACCTCCTCGTCAAAAGTAGTCGTGACGCCGAACTTTTGTTCATTAGCCGCAAATTGATCCCAAGATACGTTAGCGCCCGAGCCCGGGCCAAAGGTAACTTCATCGCCGAGACCCTCATGATGCATACCCGCAAGAGGCGGAGAGCTCGCGGTAGCAGTTGCAACTGGCTGCCATGCTTGGAGTTCCCGCTCACGGACTGACTTGTTCTTGCTGATATCCGCATCTGTTCGAAAAGCTATTACACAGCAAGTATGGAGATCAGCATCAACGATTCAGGGTGGGATCAGCTTCCTGTGGTAGAGCTAGAAGCTGATGTGATATACTCACAGTCGCCATTTGGAGCCGGCAATTTGGCGTCAGCGGGACCAGACTGCCAAGTGTCGATGTTAGTGGAAGGAATGAAAAATGACTCCTTGAGTGGTGCGCCGAGCTTTGAAATCTCCTTGACGTCCTTGAGGGTGATGCCAGCTGTATCACCCTCACTAGCAGTAGATGAAATGACACCCTCATACCGCTGAGCGGTTTTGGTGGTCAGGGTGATAGTTGTGCCCTAAAAATATAACTGTTGGTAGACCAATTCGTGGGGTAACGAGAAGAATGGAAACACACGGTAAGACCAGATAGCATATGAAGAGGACGGTCCTGAGTTGGGTCGTGAATACGAGAGCCATTAGTCTGAGCACCTAGTGGAGGGAATCCCCCCTGATTAGCTGAAGGAGGAAGACGAGCCGAATTGTTCGTAGGTGATAACGTAGAATTTGGCCTCGAGCCAGTCTGCCAAGCAGGACGACTGAATGGAGCAAGGTTAAAGTATGTATTGGCTTGTAGTGATAGGACATACCGAGGAGGATCTGCCATTCCCTTTCCTCTTGGTTTAGGCTGGCGAGCGGTAGTTGCCATTTGTGAATCCGTTGAACAAGCAATGAAATAAAGTGAACAAAGTAATGAAATGTAGCAGACAGATAGGCTACGACGAGGACGCGACTAAAAGCCGCTTGCCCGCTGAGTTGAAACCTAAGCCTTAAGCTCTGCTTGTTTTTGTTTAGAAAAGAAAAGCGAAAGAAGAGAATATTTGCCTGCTGTCTGAAAGCTGGCGCTATAGAAGAAAAAACAAGCTAGCCAGAGGCTTCAACGTCGGAAACGGCGTCGACGGTGAGTCGTCGGTCAGTTCAAGAGTCAATATCCTTGAAACCCAATACACCCGCGGGAAATATCGACATCATGTTCCCCGGATACCCTAATCTTGTAAAATTGTACAAAATCTCAAAAGCACTTCAATGTGAATGAACCCTGCCATGCCACAGCTTCCTCTATTCCTTCAATCAACCGTCCATTTCCGTCTCGAAACAATCATTTCTCCTCGATGATCATCTCTCCCGGCTTGAACACAGCATACCCGGAGTTTGAATATCGCACCCGGGGTCCTTACAACGAGTCGCAGGCAGTCATGCACACAACGCGCTGCACCATACGCAGACGGACAGAGTACACTCTGGCTCGCAGAAAGGAACCATTTTGATCCATAGTGACGCGATCACTTCTTCGACATGACGTGTCAAATGTTTATTCATAACAATGATAGTCAGCGAACTCGGAAACATCCACAGAGAGGAGAAATCGCACCGGTCGAGAATAATAAAATCAATTGCTCACCCGGCGGGCCGTTTCGTGCGATACTCGGAGGGTGTCCAGAACACAACGAACACCGAGGGGTATTGGAAAACAAGAGGGATCCGCAGCTTGGGCTCTAGGGTATATGTGATAGTATTCCATGGCTGGTATCCCTGAGCGAGTAGCGTGTGACGGAACCGCAGGGAGAGGCAATCTATCAAAAGGCCGCTAGTGGAATGAAGCTCCTAGTCATCTGTCAAGCTCAGAGCGAGCATCTAAAGTCCCGGAGAGATAGCTGCCTCGACATAAAGCCCATGTTACAACGTCCGAGGATATCAGTGAACCAAACATGCAGTGACCTTCTGATAGAAAGGATGAGTGAACTGCAGCACCAGAGTTGCACCATAAGCGACCGCTTGGATACAGTATCCCAGGATAAGAGACATGCCGTAATGGCACAAGCATATATAGAACTTGAATTGCTTAAATGAGTCTTCGAATTGGCCTCATGGGCTGAGGAAGGTCCAGAAGACGCGAAGCTGGTTACGGACGTTCTCGAATTCATGGGTCTTGCTAAAGTGGTATGCACGTTGCTTGACAAGACAAGAAAGCAACGGCTGTGTTTCCAAACGAACATATAGCCAATCGATGGTTCGGAAGCGAAAGATACGGTTAGACAGAGAGCCACAGCGCAGGATATGCAACTCTTCTACGACACAAGGAACAGCTGCCAGCGGAGTACACCGCCGCTACGCCATAAATGCAAACTGCGATCAGAATAAGGAGTGCATAGAATGTGGCTTCTAAGAATCAGATGAAGAAAGGTGACGGTGCGGCCTCTTGCCTTGGAGATAGGACATCTTCCATGATCTATTTGTGTGCTTCTTAACTTTGAAAAGAACGACTCGGAGCCCGACCGAGGATACCGTTAGCCGGGAAATTCGTAGGCTTGTATGTTTTAGCGTGCCAGCCTGGCAGTAACAAGGAACACGGACATGTCGTAGATCGGGAGTAGAAATGCGGATGATCTTCTAACAGCGTTTGCGTTTGCGGCAAACACGACATGGCGCGATATGTCACTTTTCATTCCGTTTCCGTGTCGTACCCGAAGATGTTTGTCGCCGAGGAACATAACGCAGGAGGAAGAGCGGTCCGATGAGATAGAAGGGCCCTTGAACGGAAATGGGTAGAACAAATTCTTGTTACTGTTGACCTGTGTGGGCTACGAGCGGGAATGTGGCGGTTGCCACTGCTCTGTTGCGTTGAAGGAGAGTCAGGTTAAGTTTAAGGAAATAGACTTTCTGCTTGGATTGTGGAAGAAAATGTACCGGTCAGTGAGTACTCGGACGTGGATGAATCATTGAATGACATATGCCGGGCGGGTCATCATGATACTTTGTCCAAAGTGTAGATCAACAATCCGACTGGTCAGACATGATCGTGACCTATCGTGACGCGTCGCAGACGGCCAAGGGACGCCCGCCGGTGATTTCCAGAGGAGCTCTACGCGTCAGAGCCCGTCAGAGCGGTCACAGCGCCATGGTGATTGCACGCGTCTCTGCATGCGCAACATCTATATCTGCCACGTATACTATTGGCCAACACATCAGATATCCTTCAGTGGAAACTGGAGCCCCATCGATGAAGAATAGGTATCCAGGGGCGTGCGACATCGATGCATCGATATGATTATCAACTTGAAACATATTCTATACCCCCTGGCCCAATTTTTTCAATCATATTGGACATAGCAAGTACTCTATTCTTGTCCTATACGGATCCAAGTCACCCGAACCCCATGACCTTGAAACGTATGGCTAATAAATCACGCTGGTGACCTCTCGCTAATTCAAGAGAACCCCCGATATCCCAATCCGTTGCAACTCAACTCACAAGAAGCTCTCCTTGGAAGCTCCTTGGGGGAACCTATTCAATCTTGCCCCGGAATATGCCACTTGTGAGCATATGTCGATCGTCAAATTTGTAGCCGAACGGTCAAACTCGGGCAGATTGTTGATCGATTGACACCTTGCTACGTCGCGTTGCATCAGGCGCTTCATTCAGCCTACTATTGATTCCTAGTAAGTACCTCTTCTCTCATTTCTGAACCTGGAATCACCTGGAATGGTAGTTTTCGCCTCATGGGTTCTCCCTCCCAATAAAAGGCCCACTCCAACTTCCCCTCTTTTCTGTCCCCCAAGTTCTTCCGCTCTTCTCAACTTACAGCCATGTCGTCCTCCAAAATTATTTTGAGCGACATTTCCTCAAGGCCTAGCTGGATGACCTCTTGGGAGAGGCTCAAGCACAAGGAACTACACTGGTTCACGGAAGTCGTTGCAGAGATGGTATGTCCTGGCTGCGGTCCATTATCGCATCTTCTCACTGACATGCCTCGCGTAGATGGGCGTGTTCCTTTACGTTTATGCAGGTCTGTTCTTTGACTACTGGTGTTCGGCTCCCCCACTCACCATCCCCGTTTGATATATCCAGGCCTGGGAGCCACTGCTGCCTTTGTTGTAGGAACTATCGTAGGGATCGATGGAATAGGATGTAAGTCGATACTTTCTTGTTTACGATTTTGTTCATGGCCACCCCGCAGCATTATATACTGTCGGCTTCGCCTACGCCATCGGTGTCGTGTTTGCCATCTCGCTTTGCGCTACAACGTCCGGAGGCCACTTCAATCCAGCCGTCACAATCTCATCCGTCATCTACCGGGACTTTCCAAAGCGCAAAGCAGTCAGGTTTGTGATAATCACCATCCTCTTCAACGTCGCTGATCCATTCCTCAGGTATATCATTGCACAAGTTCTGGCAGGTTACATCACCTGCTTGATCGTCTATGTCCAATGGAGAGATTTACTTGTGGTACGTAGAATACCGAATTACGCTCAATATTCCACGATCTTACTCTCCCAAGGATGCGGAGAATGTTCTGATTAAAAAAGGCTTGTACGACAGCGTGATGTTCTCCAGCAGTGGGCCGGCTGGTGTGTTCGGTCTATACGTCGCCCCTGGGACGAACCTCGCCCGCGTGTTGATGAATGAATTCGTCACTGTGAGTATACTTATTTATATCCAACTTTGAGCCGAATACGGATCTTATCTATCAATCGCTTCGTAGGACTTCCTCATCGGTCTAGTCATTTGGGGCACTCTTGACCCCACGAACCAGATGGTCCCACCAGCAGCCGCACCTTGGCTCGTCGGGATGGCATAGTACGTATCACGACCCTGTCCTCGCTCAATATTAACGCTCTCCTCAGCGCTCTTGCAGTCTGGGGGTACTCGCCTACCGCAAGTAAGCCCCACACCACACCTTCTCATTTTTTCTTGATCTGACTTTCCGGTCCAGTCGCTGCCAATACCGCCCGTGATGTCGGTGGACGCCTCATGGTCATAACCATCTGGGGATTGAAAGCCTCAGGAGGGAGATATGCAGCCATCGCCGCGCTGACGAATATCCCAGCCACGATTTTCGCCGCTACGGTGTATGAGCTGTTTTTGGGATCTGCGACGCGCAGTAGGTATTCTTTCTTCACATATCATGCAGTGCTGACGGTTGTCCTGCTGCAGCGCTTACACCGCACCACATCGATTTCCTCCGCGCTCACAAACAGTACTACGAGGACAACAAACTCGCACCGTACGGCTACCTCGAAGCGCTTAACCCACGGTGCGGTCAATCAGAATTATTCGGGTCAGACATCGGGATCGGGGACAAAGTGCGAGACAGTCGGATCGAGACTGTGTCTGAAGCTTGAAGACCGTGTTTAATGGATGTGCAACGAGGCTCCGAGGGAACATCGCTCGTACGTACTAAGACGTACGCGATGATGCCCTTGTTTTGTGTGGCCAATGATCAGTTTCGAAGTCTTGTAACGTTAACCAAGCATCCCAATATTCGATAGTACTAGTACTCAACATGCACCGCCTAATCTGTGATGTTGGCCGTGAAAAGTCCTAGGGATTCATTTTCAGAGATATCTGGATTTCAAATGCAGGTGCAACACAGTGCACGATCGGGCTTGCAATGAAACTGCCGAAACCTGAGCCTGTCAGCAAGTTCGTGCCCGCAGTGCATACTCATCAAGCTACCACCTGTTGCCACGCCTGGCATATCTATAATTTGTTGAGCCGAGTGACAGTGGGTATTCTTCACGTTATCGACGATGCACCGTAGCGAGCAGTGGCAGGAGAACTGATAATACCAGTATACCGGATACCATAGAATACAACAGATACTAATAAAGTTAGCCAATTTTAATTATGGATAGTTCGGTTCACCAGTGTGACTGAGTGCAAGATGTAAAGCAGGGTCCCAAACAAAGGGGGAATCCCGATCTACAGCTTCGGACTCATAGAAGGCTCATCCGAAACTTTAACAACTCTGCATCGCCATATCAGCCTTGAGTGCATAACGAGGGAAATACCGAAGACACGCACAACTTTCCCACATTCGCCCCAGAGAAGAGCATAGGCAGCGCACTCGGAGCATTCTGGAGACCTTCGACGATGTGGAATTTGCTTTTGATCGATCCATCAGCAAGTCCGGCTGCTATCTCCTTGACGGCCACTGGATACTGCTTGACGTAATCGAAACTATGAAGAAAGTTAGTAATGTGCTAAGATATGGTCCTCACTCGCACGTACACGATGAAACCTTGCATCTTGGCACGTTGCGCGATTAACGTCTGATACCCCCTAAGACCTTTGGGTTGTGGATCATCTAGCACATACATGATGAACCTCCAAATGTGTAGGTTTCGTGAAAACACTCACTATAAGAGGATATACCCCCTGCATTTGCACATCAGTACAAGCCCTTGCAGCTGTAGAAATGATGTCGCGTACCACACAAAACAATCCTCGCATTTTGATTCAACCTCGAGAGCGCTAATTCAAGTATCTCGCCTCCAACGTTGTCAAAGTACACGTCCAGGTACCCAACAGCCTTCGCGAAATCCTCACGGAAAGTAGGGCTCTTGTAGTTGAGCGCTTTGTCTACGCCCAAGTCGCCCTCGAGCCAGGCACATTTGTCCGCTGTACCTGCGATGCCAATCACACGTGCGCCAGCCCGCTTTCCGAGCTGGCAGACGAGGGCACCGACTGCACCAGCAGCACCGGATACGACTAGTGTTTCACCGGCTTTCAGCTCACCGACATTGTGAAGGCCCTGCAACTTTATCAGTATGCTGCGACATGGCGGCAGGAGCGGAACGGACAAAGTATGCAGTCATGCCTGTTAGCGAACGTCAGACGCGCCAGCACATATGCAAAATGAGAAGTCGGACCTGTCATGCCCAGAGTATTCAAAAAGTCCATGGACGTCGATCCCGGAGGTGGCCTGTGATTCATGGTATCAAGACAAAATACCGATGCAGAAGGAAATCCTACGAGATCGTCTCTATTGACTTGTCATCCATAACCGCATACTCTGTCCATCCTGTGCATAACATGAGGACGATGCTGGGAAAAAACAACCATTCGCGCAGACGCACCAAACATTCCAGCAACCAGGTCTCCCGTCTGGAACTTGCTCCCCTCGCCCACGCTCACTACGACTCCAAGCCCGCCCGAGCGCATCACCGCCCCAATTTTTACTGGAGGGAGGTAGCTTCGCATGTCTTTGATCCATCCACGCATGGCAGGGTCCAGTGAAAGGTACGTGACTTGGACTAGAGCTTGACTCTTGCCGACATGGAGTTCATCGAACGCCTTCGTCTTGGACTCAAACGTATCTGGGAGAATGTCTGCGACGGGGCGTTCGCGGAGGACGATCTGTCTAAAGGCATTGGGAGACATGGTGAGCGCTTGAGCTGTTGATCGTATCACATCGGAAGTTGTATATCAATGCGTCCTTATAAATCAGTCCATGATATCAATGTCCGGGTCCCGGCTCGCTCATGATCTGATAAGTCAGCTCATGAGAATCACGGTATTCCACGGTATTCCGGCCGCGCCGGGATACAGTACATGTCACCTCGCTCACAGTACCCCTAAAACGTCCAAAGTACGTTGTAACGTCAGATACACAGTACATAAATTAGCAACACAACATGTCCATGTGAATGATTGATTCGTCGCGAGAGAATGCTGTAACCTGCTGCAGCGTACGTGGTGCCTTCGTTTGAACTATCAGACAGCTCAGTAATCACAGTACTTACTTAGTCATGAGCGGTGAACCTTTGGGGCCGGAAGAAGGCCCAATAGTCCGAACGTGAGTGCGTACAAGCCCGATGCTGAAATGCAAAACTGAAATCACGAATATCATTGGACAGATTGTTTGTAAACTCACCCCCTACTACTCCTTCTAGGTATCCCAAACTAGACCACCTTCCAAGGGTAAAGGACAGAAGTGACCAGCCAACCAAGATCGCAGTGGTCAAGATTGGAATGACGGAAGAAAGTATTCCAGAGTCTCGCCAAGACCGGTACTGAGATGTTATCAGTTGTGTATAATGAAGCCGCTGCAACATTAGAAAGAACTGACATCTGGTTCGAGGCCGTGTATCCACGGTACCAGGAGGACGTAGAGGAAAAGTATGATCACAAGTCCTTCAAAGCCTGTGGAAGCAAAGGCAAACAGTCTGATCAACCGTAAATATCTATTGAGAAATCTGTCAATCATAATCCACCTTCCCCACTGCCCTTCTACGTCTTGTCTGGTTAACAACTCCAGAAAGACGCGGTGGGTGTTGAATGTATATGTGATTGCAGCTCCGGGGATGATAAACTTGAGCTGACGAATGGTATGCTTGGAAATTGTCCTCCCGATAGATTTTATCCGGGGAATGGTCATTCTGAAAGAGTATGATGTGCGAGCTCAGTGCGACTAGAATGGCACGATGCATGCTCCTAGTAAACCATATTCGGAGCGGGTTTCGGAAGCAAATATTTTCGTGTTTATCACTTCAAACTTCAAAGCGACTTATTGCTAGCAGCTTTCTACCCTCACTTATTAGTTACACAGCCAACTAGTGAACATTTGAACTTTGATTGATGCTATGATGGTCCTTGAGAAAGATCATGATGACCACTTGGGACGGTACGATACACTTTCACTGAAGCCGAGCGCTTATCTGACTAACGGGACATGAAGCATTGAAGGTGATCATCTAGGTCAAGCGACTATATGACAGCACCAGGGAGAGGTCTCTGGTAAAGACTTCACATGATTTATTTGGAGAGGCCCAGCCGCGGTTCCCCTTCAGATGTCAGAAGTGTCAAGGCTGGAACTTAACAAGGTGTTACAAGGCATTCAATTCCCAAGCTGGATTCCTGGAGTTTACAGTTGTAATGAGTCTAGACCGCCCCTGCCTCCAGCTCCCTGTAAACCGTGTAAGTGCTCTCGGACTCTTTTATTCGTGGTCGAGACCTCCGGTGAGCAGTCGCGAAGTATTTTGAGACACCGGCCACAGCAAGTTACCTGTTTTTGCTTCTGGCATGTGCCGTATCCAATGCACTTACCACAAAAAACAGGATTATTCCTTATTCCTGTACAAATCTGCACTGATCCGCCACTTCATTCTATTCGATGCCGATACATACATGCTTCATCTTAGAATATGTGCGAGGAGCCTGAGAACCGCAATCGCGGATGATCGATGATCATTGGCTCCCGCGCTCATGCCTTTCATATGCTTTGCAGCACCGTCAGTTCTTCGGGTACTATTTCAGCGTCACCCAAGCTGATCTATCATTTCGAAATGGTGCATTATATCTACATGCGGCAGTACAAGCACTGATTTACCCCGCTGCTTGAAGTCATCTAGTGCTCACCTCTCTTTACGTGTAAGGACGGATGTAAACGAAGGCACATCCGTCTCGACATATGTCCCTGACCTAGACCGTCAAGCATCCTGCCCCGGGGGTCTAGACTCATTGAGCGCTTACGTTCAATAAGCAAACGCAGCTTCTTCAGGGTGCGATGGGCGGTAACAAAACTTGTTTTACTATATTTCTCTTTTTGTATCACCAGTGTCAACTTCTGGGCTATTAATCTATCTCGTTCTAGACCTGGGTGCGAATGACCTGGCCCTTGTCGTGAATGTGGTGTACCTATCCATCCAATTCTATCTAACTTTCTGTTAGTGGGGTCACGAATCCAGGACTCTGCGAATGTATATCAATGAGGGCATGGGGGTTGCGATGTGTTCCCTCCGCAGCAGCGATTGGCCCCACGCTTCTGCAAGCTAAGGAGACACCGCGGATCTCCGTCTGGACGTGAAAGCTTATCCCGTCTGTATAAAAGTGCTGCAGATTTATGATTCGTTCATACATTTCTTTACCCTCTGCATGATGACGCTCCAGGACAAAACTGTTGCATCATCTCAGACGGCGATGCTTTCTACCCCCCAACTTATATCTCCTGCGCTTGCCAGAGACTTACAAGACTACAGGAAGACTTCCCTGAATCTAGTAAGTGTTCACATTGTTGAAAGCCATGGTGACTTACTCGACCTCTTTTTTACAGCTCATGGCATTTCTAGCGTCAGTTCAATTCTGATCGGATTGTTCTTGACATTCCAACAAACAATTTGCTATTTTTGTAGCCTTCAGTCGGTATCAGGATCTGGAGGTCTTGTAGTGGCTACCCTCACGCTGATACTATATACTATCAGCCTGCACATCACTGCTAGCGCAGGTGTCTCTCATGTAAGGCATTTTAAGTCATTCATCCGCGCACAAGCACCTAAAACCAGAGCAGCTTGGAGCAGTGATTTTGGGAATTTTGCATGCAATCCCAGCGGTTGGAATTCTCGCCGTAACGTCAGTGGAGTTAACGTTTGCGATAAAATCACCAGCTTTGGCTGTTTCTATCATCATATCCTGTTTCCTCCCTACGATGATTGCGGTTTTTCAGTACCTTCGCATGCGGTACATGAGGGCAATGATAGACCAGCTCCAGGTGACCGTCCCTGGGGACCTCCCATCAGAGGCGGACGTGGTCAGAGCTCCCTGATACTTATATTGCATAGTCCTTCCCCACTGCCTTTTCTGAATTATCCCTTTCCTGCTGGGAGGGCCATAACAAAGCAAATTGTAGGCCTGGCTTACGCATCTACGACACCGCGTCTTATTTATCCATATTTCCCTCGACGCCTACTTATACCAGATGCATACTCATGTATTGGACCATCACTTCTTATTCCGCTCGATCCCATACGCTTTGACTCATCATCTCTGTTTGACCTCGATCCCAGTGTTTCCGCCCTCACGGGTGCGTTTCCACAAAAGCTTCAATAGTGATTTATAGATACACGGGCATGTAAATAGTACACCTAACAAAACACCATTATGTAGCATAACCTATACATTATCTTCCACTGGTACACCAACTGCTTACATGTCCCACTCGTCCCATATACCTTCCACTGATGCGGGTGTCATCGGTGTTTGCATGGAGCTGAATTCCGCGGTTCGAACTAGTTCTATTATCTTGTCGCTGACACCATCTTTGTCGTCCTTGGTCCCACGCATCGCCACGAGTAGCGTATCATCAGCCGAGTGAGATTTCAGGTTCGTGTGCAGCAATAAACGAATGTCGCTCCCTTCAATGACTTGATCAAGTCTGCCGGTAGAGAGGCTCCGAATTTCAATGAACTCAGAGGAGAACAACAGCACATGGGCCCCGCGATGGGCAAATGACGTAGCTGTCGTCTCCCAGCGGATAAATCCGCTTTTCCGGGAGGGAACGCCGTGCTTCGTGATGTAGCATCCAAGAGCTATAGTGAGGCACAGTGAATTATGGTCATAGTTTGAATGGAAAAAACTTACTGTCATAAATGACCAATATTTCGCCTGATTCGGTCCGAATTAAGCCGAGGGGCTTAGCATCCTCGCAGCGAGTCTTCAGATCGGCCATGTCTGTGTCGGAGGTTGCTCCGCTGAAGTCCGGGACAACCGAGACCATCTGCCTGGCTGCGCTGCAATGTTACATTAGTAGAGTACAGAGGGCGGGTGATGAACAACTTACTTGGTCGGATCGGCGATCACGATGCCCTTCTCTGTACTTATAGCAATTGTCTTGGCTAGTGGTGTAACGGAGTAGGCATCCTTTGGTACATACAATGGCTGGTTCATAGTATTGAGTATGTGAAAAGGAAATAGTCATATCCACTCACTTCGCCAAACGGTCTAAACGACAATACGGTACCCTGGGATCCTCGTGATGGAGTTCGCCGAAGCTCAGAAAAGTTGCAGGCCTCTAATGCATGCACTGTGATTTGAAAGAATGATTTAAGACCATAAACAACTGGTGAGATGTGAGTCAAAGTACCATATGAGTTAGGTCAAAACTTACCGATCATTCGCTGTTTTATTCGTCCTGCACTACAGAATAGGACGGTCCCATCTCCCCCTGCGATTTTCTCCATTGAAGCATCTAAGCTACTTGCAGGGGCCTGGTACATTGCGACTCTGGCGAGAAGATCCAAGGAATAGGCGAGCAGATAGCTCTCATGATGCACGATGAACTTATTGAAATCTTGTAAAACTATGATAGAGGAAGGATTGCCATACGACAATATCTTGCGGAAGTCTAAAGGCGAACATTAGCGATGGAATAATATTAGTGTGTGAATATTTCATACTGTTATCACCCCTTGAGCCAACATAGATTCCAGTTGCGCAGCCGACCGCCATGAGCCTCTTCCCGCCGGCAGCAGCTAAACAGATTATCAATTATAAGCGATATTAGACGGGAAAAGCAGCAATATGCTGCGTACTAAAAGACACAGCATTGGCGACCCTCCCTGACGCTTTAGATCCAAAGCCGCGGGGAGTGTAAGCTCCTGGTGATCGGAAGGAGCCATCATCAACGAGTTGCGGTGCAAACCACTAATCAGTTGAATAAAAGCGTACCGACATGTGGATATGGATGCACACACCTTGTTTGCGTCTCGGCGCACGTCGTCTATTCCCTTGGCCTCAACAAGAGCGTTCCGCCACTTCTCTCTCGCAGATTCAGTCGGCGCATACAGAGTATACCGCCGCGTCAATTTATCGGCAGAGTGATAAATTGTGAACGGATAGATGGGTTTGTATTGTGCGCGCAAGTTGTCCAAAATCCCTCCTTCTTCAGACCGCTCCTTCCTACTTTCTGGCTGTCCTTCGAAGCCTCCTAGTTTGAGATATTCCAAGGGTATAGGCTGTATAAAAGTGAGCTTGAATGAAATCAGCGAAAAGCAAGTGAATGGCTTTACTCTAGATGAAACGTAGCGCTTGAGGATTCCTCCCGTTCTTCTCTCCTCTTTAGTGAGCAACACTGCGATGAATCAGTGACTTCAAGACGAGCAAGAGGCTAAAGACAAAACTTACGATAGTTGTCGAGTAAGGCAACGAATAGATCAGTCCACGGGTGCCAATCCATTTCGGACTTCGACCTTCGGGCTACAGGGCCAGAGTACACCAGTGACCGACTTTCGTTATACCAATCCAAATCCTGCACTCGATCAGCCAAAAAACGAAATAATGCCCATAGAACGCACAATTATTTCTCCCTTGGGCATCGTCAAGCTTTCACAGACATTCCAGTATTTTACTCTGTTCTCCGCAGCTGCAATACCAGGTTGTGTACTCTTCAGGAAATCGCTCAAGATGTTCAGGAGAAGTGGCAGGTCTTCAAGATCCGGATGGCCTGGTTCTGTGATCTTCTGGATGTGCTCAAGGATCAAATGTAGGCGTGGGAGGCGAGTCACTGGTCTGGAAAGGAAGGTGATCATGTCGCGCTTGCGCACCCGAGGATCTTGAGAACATTTTTGCATGAACGCTTGATAGCTTTTATTGCGACTGAGTTCAGTGCGGTGCCGCTCCTCTGCGAGTGGATAGTGTTTGATATAGGACTCGTACTCCGATTGGAACTGAAAGCAGGCTAAAAGGTGTTGAATGTGAGCTATTGAGTATTTTGCTTGTCAACTCACTTTCAAGTACAATGTCAGTCACGCTCTGTACCAGCGGATGCTGATCCAATTGGCGTTCAAAGAGTGCGGCCAGCATATGCTCATGGTGCACAGAGATCTGACCCAAATTCCAAAATACCTCGTGAATAAAGGGACGTAACTTTTCGGGAGCCATGACTGGGGGGTTGGCGAACTTTAAAGGTTCAATGAAAACCTGCGGCAGAATATTAGCTGAATCCGATTGTATAGCGGTGGATATCACCTCTGTGACGAGTTTAAGATCTTCCACAGTAGTCCCTTTCTGACTTGAACAGCTCGAATAGAACTGATTGCCGCTCGACTTCTTTTTTGCCAAGTGCTTCCTGAGCTTCAGGAGGAACTAGCCGGTGCCATTCTTCATCCTTCTCTGCCAATTGACCGGCCTGGAATCGTCTTAATCCCTCCTCAGAATAAAGGCTGCATCCTGTTAATAACTATTGCACTAAACAAACCACCATGATACTCACGAAACATCGGACAGTTCCCGAGTCAGTTGATTTATTGGTGCTTCCCACTGTAGAGGTCATCAGGATACGTCATCGTCAGCTTTATATTCCACACACGTACATCGTCGTCTGGAAGGTAATGCATGTATGAAGCAGAGTCTGGTGTCACTGGAGTAAAGGGGGGACTAGCCACATCGTCTGTACTCGGGGGTAGAGAGCCATGACCGTCATCAGACTTGCTGGGACGGTGGCTGGGTGAATATGGGTGAAGGGTCGTTCTTTGGGAAGCAAATCGATGTAGCTCCGGTTCAGGAAAAGAGATGGTGGGTAGTGCGGGCTCATATGCACTATGAGTACGACTGCGCGATCGAAGATCACCTGGTCTGCCATTCGGATGTCTGGCTGTAGGTGTGTGATCCCATGGATTTAAGAGGTTTCCAGGCGGCGCATTATGTTCAAATTCGTATGGGTATGCCTGCGGTGGGCTAGGGTTGGGTAGAGGACTCGCTCCAGGGGGAATCGTAACATATGGATAGCGTCGTTGATTATGCATAAGGAATGTAATCGCCGAACACGTTGAGTGATTGATTGAGTGCTACAAGAAATCAATGACCTATAGACAAGACAAGACAAAAAGTCAAGTTTGAAGATAATAACAGCAAGTCTTACCCTGCCGCACCGGCACAGGGCTAAGTCACGGCAAGGGTTCCATATGTGAATGAAATCACGTCACGTGGTAATTATTTAGTCAGTTGTGCTCGCCAGGACAACTATCATAGTCTTCTGTCACGCAAGTTAGCTATGTAAGTTAATCTCCGGATCTTTTTTCGGTGCATTGATATTATAAGCAACACAGCTGCACGACCGTGACTACGGCATTCGGAGTCATGCCACCAGCTGACGAGGCTGGTCACTAGTAAGTACTGGTACTAGACACCGTCGCCAGTGCCACTGTGCTTTCAAGTCAATATGACTCATGCAAAGATTTTATTGAACCTCTTTCGCCACGTCTTGGGAGATCATTACAAGTCTTGATCTTCTCTCGGTGACATGCAGTTTTCCTGTAACCGTGACTGACACGGTGGTGACCTGGTGCGATACACAATATCACTGATATATCCCGCAAGATGCCAATGCTCGAATCCGGTGTTATCGTGCAGTGCCCTTGGGCACGCTAATGATCTGGTACAGGTCTGTATTGAAGAGCATACACCTTGCTGTCAAAGGCACAGGAAACTTATTTCTCCTTGGAATCCCAATTTTCATTCTCGCACGTCCCGGAATCGTTAAGAAATTTGGCATTTTGGTAAATCACCGGACCATTTGTTGACGCTTGCTCAATGCTATCTGAACAAAACAAACAGAGGGTCAGTATTATACTCTGAAACCGTGGGCTTTTGAAAGGCAAGTGGTCTGTAAATTCGTAAAACATTGGTTTATGTTGAAGTATAGTGCCGGAAGGATAGATCGCGGTTTTGTCTAGATCAAGTTGCCAGTTTATCCAAGCAAAGTTTCGGAGAATTATCAATTTAGGAATGTTGGAAATTGCCAGAATTGCCGTACTATGGCAAACTATG